GTATAGTCCGTTGAGGACAATGTAGCTTCCACCAATAAATATTTGAGAGTTCCACGTGCAGTTTCCGAAAAGTACGACGCTTAACATAAGAAGAATCGTTCCAAGGGCCATGAGAAGTCGATATGTGCGGCCACCAACATGATAGTGACACTCTTCGGTCCCCGAGTACAATTCTCGGGCAACCTCTTCTGTGCACTTGATGAGTAGAAACGCGCCTTCTCGTGTTCTGATCATGACGTCGCCTCTAGGGACCACATTGGTATGTTTGCGGTTCATGAGAATGGGATGCCAAAATGAAGCAAAGCCCACCACAGTCGACGCAAAAGATATCAGGGAGACAGCCAGAATGGCATTGCCATCTCGCCATACCACAGCACAAGCGATGATTGCTATGCTTAGAAGACATGAAAAGACTGAGAGGATGTGGATAGGTGAGAAGAGCTTGGCTGGGACTGCAGGACGTCTCTTCGTGTTGGCAAAGGTCGGGTTGGCAAGCATATCTTGGACTTTCTGCTTAGCCGTAAGACGGCGCACGAGCGGTTTGGGGGCATCCGCATTGCTTGGGGATGTTTCACCCGGAAGACGAAATGTCGTTGTTCGCGCTGTGTTTGGTAGAGGAAGCCCACACTCTTCTACGTGAGGAGCCCGGGGAATTCTAATGCTTTGAGAGTCTTTTGGGCTCGACATTTTCTCCGTGTTGTGAGAACTTGAGCGACGAGATCTGACCCAGTTGAGACTTCGATTAGACCAGCTTTCTTGGGCAGAAGGAGGATTCATATCGACATCGCCAAAAGAAGGGTCTGTATGAGTGATCTCAAGCACGCGAAAGCTGAAAGGTTGAAGGGCATCCAAAGGAGTTATGATAGTGGCAAAGAAGCCCACAGAGTCGAGCGTAGTTCCACTATACACACCCGTCATCTTTGCAAGTGTCTCAGGCATTCGACTTGGACGTGAAGGCTTCAGCAGAGCCTGAGGGGCTGGGATCAGTCGAGGTAGCAGACATAGCAACGATGCCGTGATAGTCTGAGTCTGTTCAGCCATAGAAGATTCTCCAATCACCGCAAGAAGCGTCACGACATCGAGTGACCAGTTAGCCTTGGCATTGGGAAACCATTTCCAGCCTGGGTTGCCGGGTTCAGCCATCCTGACGGTGTTATAATATGGGAGGAGAGATATCAAGGTTTAGCTGGCAAGAGGTGTGCGTCTAATAGATGATATCGAGGGACAAAGAGAACAAGAAACAAAACTGAAGGAGGACAAAAAGTGAGATACAAAGATCAGAGCAACATGATAGCAGAATCAAGAGAGATCGGGATTGAAACTGGGGGGCTTTTCAGTTAAATCACATTTGGTAGGGAGTTTCAGCCCTCTTGACACAAACGGTTAACGAGTGGATCAATCTCTAAGCCGCTGCGCCACGGCGGCTGCACCCGCTCCCAGCTTTCCCTCCCCACGTCTCAGCTGAACCAGGGATACAACGAGTATGCGCATTTAAGCAGTATACGTTTTTGGGTATAAACATTAGGTTTGACTTGATGGCTTGGCCTTATATGATCTAATTCAGACAGTAGGCTTCATTCCTACATTCGAGTCAAAGAAACACGCTCAGGAATGTCCTCTGTGCCAAGTCTCATCAAGTACCCTACAGCCGCTGCCAAGATCGTCAAACCTGACAACCAACAGCGATAGCAGATTAGGCAGAATAGCTCAGTGTAATAGGGCTGTGTGATTACGGTCGATCCAATAGATGAACTGGATTAATGTTTCGTAAGTATCCTGTGTCGTACCACCTCTGTATCGAGAATGATTGACGAATTACGCAAGAGAGTTAATGATTATTCGTTCGATACTAACATTTCTTCGTCCTCCTCTTGTTCTCGAATCTGTCTCTATGGTCTTGACAATCATTCATCTATCGTGGGTAGTCTCAAAAAATCATCCCAAACGCCGCTGCAAGAAGCAAGTAAACCAGAATGGCTATCGCCTTCTTACCATTTGCCAAACTCCAGGCTTGCCAACAAATCAACCGCTGCGTTAATCGTGAGTGGCACCCTCGCTTCGTGGAAAACATTGCCCCGTCCTCGTATCATCAGACAACCTTCGGCTGCTCTTCATATTCCTCAATCACCCACTTGACAAACTCTTTCCACTTCTGCTCCCAGTCGCTGAACACGTTGTTGTATTCAGACTCTGATAGACAAGCGTGCTCCAAACTCCACAACGCCAATTGTTTCCATCCAAAAAGGCCCATGTCAGCCTTACCAACCATTACTTGGTAGAAATCATGAGATAGAGAGGATCTGTCAAACTCCGTTAGCAATATTCGTTACATATTCTGTCGGAAGCACCTTACCTAAATAGTGTACCATTGTCTGAGCTGACCGTGCAATGCACATTGTTGGCAAGAAGCTGATACATTGTATGACCGCTGACACGAGGCGTAAGTCCCAGAATCTCATTTGAGATAGGACAGAGCTCGAGGCAAACACCGCGCTCCTTCATATGCTGCATCACATACGGGTGCTTAGCTAGCGCAAACCCGTGCCCAATTCTCTTCGATTTCAACAGGAGCGCATCAATAAGATTGCCATCTGTATCGGTTCCCATGTCTAGTGTCTCACCACAGTGAAAGAGAAATGGGATTTCAACGCCATCTCTCTCACAAGCCTCCTGGAACTTCAGAAGCTCGGGGATGAAGTCCTTGATGGGGCGCCCTTTGGACTCTTCGCCAACAAGGTCGAAACCTACGCTGTTGTTAGAAGAAAACTTCAGGGGAAATCTATTCTTTTACCTGCAATCCACTCGGGCCACATCTTTTTGAACTTCAGACACTCTGTGAGAGCAGCCTCGATCTGTGCTGGCGCAAATGATCGAGGTGTACAGTAAATTACTTTCAGACCACCAAAAAACTTTCCTTGCTTTTTCAAATCGGTCTGGAAGTTTATGACCTCTTCGATAATCAGTTCCATGATGCCCTTGTTATCGATGAGTTGAGTGCCGTCATCGCTCCAAAGTTGATTGCTGGTCATGAAGTTGGGCCGGATCTCAGCATAGCTGATGTTGTCTTTCATGAAGTCCTCCAGACATAGCCGGGTGTACCTTCGGTATGCTGTCGCATAGTTGAAGAGGCCCTTCATCATACGTGTTCTTCCATTGAACTTTTCCCAAGCCCTGTGCCATGTTAGTGTCTGCATGCGAAAGGTACTGATCATGAACGTACCCAGATGCAGTCTGCAAATGATTATGTGCCTCCTCCTCGTGGAACATGAGCTTCTCGAATAGCCACTCATCGACACTGGTTGAATCTTTTGCGTAGTATCCAGGGAACCTATCGAGAAAATCTCTAAACCGCATTGTCTGCCGAGGTTGGTATGTCTGTGAAAACAAGTTGCCAGGTGTTTCCTTCTCTGGGCTCAACAGAGAAAATTGGATTTCGCATCGATCAAAATTTATAAAGTCGTTTTCCGAAACAAGTGGTATATCGCTGGTAATAAACATCCGATCCATCTCCTTTGCAAGATTGAGCAGGACTTGGGGAGCAAGACAGGCGTTGAAATGAATGTGCAAGTGGCCGCCCTTGGGCATATGCTGCGCTACTCGGAATAAGGCCGTTTGGTCGATGAGATGCTTGTTCGATAGAAAATGATCTCCAGGAAAACGAGGGTGCTGCTGGCCACCATAACCTGTTCGTGGCGCGGCTTGAGCATATACGTTTTCCTCGTCCTCACTCCTCAATCTTTGAATGGTGGCATCTGCTCGTCTCTCTTCAGGAGTGCTGCGCATGCGACATGCATGGTCAAAATCCAGAGCCTTCTCGCGTGCCACCATCCGTTGTCGCAACTTGAAGTACTCCCCAACGGCTCCGGGCTCTTGCGTCACGGCATCTGTGACGTCTGCCTTTTCGGTAAGAACACCTCGTGCCGTGATCTCAGCATCATGGGCCTGGATGTGATTCCGCGCAGCCGCGGCATCATCTAGAGTTGGCTCTCCCATCCGAGAAATCTTTGCGCGTTTTGACAGACGAGTCATGAAATCGGTATGTGAATGATCCTTTCTATGGTGCTGATCGTAATCGTCTTGAGCTCCTTCCACCGGCTCTGTTCTTGAGCAGAGCGCGCCCATTTATGTTGGAGAAGCGAATAGCCAAAGCTTGTAAGATTGGCTAAGTTGAGAGGTAACAAAGGAAGCGCCAGAGGCAGCAGAGGCGCAGTCATTCACGGCTCGTCTAAGAGAGCCGTGGCTGTTTGCGGTGAATGACTCCAATCTCAATAAAGCGCGGCTCACAAGCCAGAGCCAGGTGATGGTCATTAGGTAGCCAACGGTGGGCGGGGACAAATGTCAGTAATGTGGTTTCGCCAAGGTATGGCTTGGATCCGTCTTTGTCTCGCGAGAGAGCTGTTGGTTGACGGGGAATTAAGTAGATATTCTTATACAAACGCTCAGTTCTCACTCAGCTTAGACTCTATGGTCTTTGCTGATCGCAAACAAGGTCGGCAGTTTCATGTAATCGATCGATCAACCAACGTGAGTTTGTTGTTGTTTGTTACAAGTTACAAAGTCCGGGGGCAGTGCCCTTGCCTTAATCAAGGCTGAAGGCTGACTCCAAAGTCCCTGACCTCGCTATAATAAGGGAAGATCAGGTACAGAGTCAGCCTGCGCAAGCGCTGGTTCGCTACATTCGAGTGACTGCAGCGACTGGCAACGCGCTAGTCCCACTTAGGCTCCACGTCACAGGCCTAAGCGCTTAGCCAATGGAACCTCAATACCTGGCCTCCTCCATCTCACATCACCTAAGCCTAAGGTATTGTTCAATTAGGTCAAAACACCCAATCTAATGGACAGACATAGAGCAGAAACGCCTCACCAGGCTTCTTAACAAAGAGCATGAAATATCGCCCATGCTCCTGGGCCTCAGTGCTAGGGCGTGTTATTAGGTCTTACTCAAGCATGGCTGAATACTGCTTCAGCCACGTCATTCATACACTTCAGTTTGTCACGGTGGTGCTTGATCTTTTACTGTTACCCTATAGGGCACTGGAACTAATAGATTCTGGTATGATATATCCGTTCCGATGCACATCCTTTGATCCATAGTCAAGGGCATCTTCTATTGCAATGCCAGAGATGGTATCAATACCTAAATCAAAGGGCCTGCAAGTCCTTCCTGCACTCCCGAACCTGTGGCACCATATACAAGCTCTATCCATTTCGCCTTTATCATTCAATGCTTATCCATAATAAACGTACATAGCGCACGTGGTCTGGCACTTGTTCCACTTTTTTTGTCGTTCGTCGAGTCTGAGGTTGAGCCCAGTCTTCCTTCATAAGATGATGTCCTCAGGCAAAGTAACTCTTCCAGAGTACTCCCTCAAGGTCCTCCAGTTGTTCGGAAGTAAAGTACTAAACAGTTGTTAGTTATGATTTCCTCTACAATCATCAGATGGGGGATATACCTTTTGATCGACCGTCCAACTGTCCTGTCTCGTCTTCTTGAATTCGCTGAGAATTGTCTTTGTCGCTTTACCCACAACTCCAGGATCAGCAGCAGCCTTGCGTGCTAGCATTGCCAGTACCTCAGGCATCCATTCAGGTGGAGGGGTTGCATAAGGGAACGCCTCGATCAATGCGCCCAGCCCAAGGATTGCAGCATGGCGCCTTGTGATTTGCTTGTGAATATCGACTGGGGTATCCGTCCCAGCAAGATGGCGGTTTCGCTTTGGCATGGGATTTCGTTCCAGTTCATCTTCAAAACGGGCCTTGAGGCGTGCAATCGTAGGGTCACGGATACGACGGGGGGAGCAGCGTATCATGCCTGCGAGCGTAGTAGACGCGCAGGAACGCACCTCGAGCTGTGTGTCGCCCAGCATGTCAGACACAGCGGTAAAGAGCGCTTCTCTTTGAGCGCCTCGCGTAAGGAAAATACGTCTAAAATAGATGACCTGCATATTGACCAGGGCTCGAAGCCGCTGGTGCCAGCTGCTCGACGTCTTGCCAATGCGGATGAGTGCATCGATAAATTCTGTGTCCTCGCCATCTCGGAAAGGAATGTTGGGCAAGTGACGGTATACGTGATACGCAAGTCTCATAAGCTCGGGATCTTCCTTGACATCCATCATGTGTAGTAGTTCCTCCATAAAGGGGGTGGGGAAGAAAGGCACGAGCTGAGTACACTCGTGGGAAGATAGTGTACAGTCGAGCCACATAAGCACGGTTTTGGAGCCCGAGGTATAAGAACTGGGAGTCTGCTGACCAGGTGTTCTCTCATGTCGCCATTTCTCGAGTCGTTGGAAAACGTCTTTGATAGTGGCTGAGAACTCTTCTGTTGGTTGGTAAGGCCTGATACCGGTTGGCGAAGCAGCCTTGTTTTGTTCTAACAGCTTGCTGACATTCTCAAATGACTCGTGGTATCGAGTCTTATATATGACTGACAACACGCGGCCAATGGCCTCACGTACCGCCTTGTAGGGATGATCGATGTGGGCGAGGAAGTCATCAAGAATTGGCTGGTCATGTCGGAAGTGCCAACCACCATCCGCAACAATGAACTCCAGAAGTTGAACCTTTGACGATTCTTTGAAAGCCGCGTTTGATGTCATATCGAGTCGGAATGCTCTGAGAGTATCCACAATCTCATGCGATCGACGTGGATCCTTGGAGTCAAGAACGAGGTGTAGACAAGTGAGCCAGTATTGCAAGTTGTCGGGTGTCAGGTCGTCCGCAAAGATGTTCAGCATGAACGGCGCAGCATACTCCCAAACGCGGTTTCGGATTTCAGGAGGATCATCACTGGAGCCCGCGAGCAAAGCGCCCATGATTTCCGAGGTCGCTCGATGCTGATGCTTGTCGTTACCATCACCAAAGACCTCCTTCACCAGCTCCTTGACATCATCCAGAGTGACCAATGTTTTGCCGTAGTGCATCAAGTCAAAAACGTGCATCAACAGGTAAACATTGCTCATGCGAAATCTGTCCGTCGACGCGTCTCGCGGTTCTTGCTTCAGATAGTCGAAGCACTGAGATAGCCACTCGCGGTTCAAGATCCGACCCATTTGATCGCGCACAGCGGTTTCAACGTCATCGTATGCATTGAAAGGGTGCGGTTTCGCTCGGTAGGCCGTGAACTTCTTGCCCCATACTAGCCAGCCAGGGTGATCAGCGTCCACCATATACTCAGCCCCTTCGGGCTTCTTGAAGGCCTCAAGGAAATTGTGGGTAAATTCGGCGTCACCTTTTTCGACAGCAACTTGGATGCGGTTTCGGTCCCCAACTTCCTTTTCAAGAAGATAATTGCGATAATCGTGGCCATAGACGGCCCGCATATCAACAGCTGTAAAGACTGATGTAAAAGCGCTCAGATAGTAGCCACGAAGCCCAGGGTGAGGGTCATTTGTGCCCTGAGCAACGAGATCGATAAACTCAGGGGGCGCCAAGGTATGGAATCGTAGGCACAAGTTGGTGGCAAAAATTGCACATCGCGTAGCTATCTTCCAGTGAGCACCCTTGGCACGCTCTGTCAATTCCAAGCCCAGTGTAGACTTGGACTTCTCGACTCTCGTTCTACGTTGCAGAATAAATTGATGCCGACTCTCAATGGCTGTAGAGACATCAGCAGCAGGTTTGATTGTATCCACAATCTCATCATTAATGATAATCATGCGCTCAAACGGCTTGCCGAAGTCAATTAGAGTGTATAACGCTGATGAGCCCAAATTTTGAATGGAGGGCTTATCAATACCTGCAGTCTCGATATACAATCGCATGGCTTCAGGGGCAAAGCGCCAATCCTTGAGTAGAGTTCTCAAAAGAGACGTGAACAATAGAGTGTACATGCCTCCCTTGATTCGGTCATGGTCGTTCGTCTCAAGTGCTTTCCTGAGACGCTCAAGAATAACAGGAATCACCAACGGCTTGCTGCCAATGAGTGACTTCAACGATGAGTCCTGAGCGCTCTGCGCAACTCGTCGTACATCAGCGTAAAGTGAAAGACTCGATTCGGCAAGATCAAGCAGCAGCCGTTTGTCAAGTTCGCTCTTCTGCCTCGATGACGCGTTATGCTTACGTCGCAAAAGTTGATATGCCTCAGCACGCTTGATGAGAAGAGGTCGAGGATAGACTTTCCTCAAGCCTTTGATCTTGAAGGCGGCAATGTCAGACTTGTATAGTCGAACGTGCCTCTCCAGGGGATGAGCAGAGCGCTCAATGCCAACATCAGTAATCCAGGTACGATAGGCAGCGTACAGAGCGGTGAATGAGTTCACATCATCTTCCTGGTTCTCGTTAAGGAAAGAGTGCGTTTTGGTCAGAAGATGACCTAATTCTTCTCGTAAATCGTGGATTCTGCTATAAGCAGGGTCACTGGATTTGAGGGCATAGCCTGCCTTGTAGCGGAACTGAGGTCGGAGTTCCTCGTCCTCAGCAACCTCAGCAAGAGGGTCTTCGTCAATCATCATTTCGTCATCATCTTCGCGAGCCACATCGTGGTCTTCCTCTGTGTTTCCAGTCATGATACCTGCAGCACGCTCAGGGTCGAACATGGTGGCCATGCCTGAAGTGACAAGGCGAATTTGCTGCATAAGCCGAGAAACCTCATCTGACCACTCCTTGTTCTTGCCAGTACGGCTCACTGGTGGGTTGTCACTCATGAGCGATTCCAGTTGGTCTTTTGCAGACTTTGTTTGGGAAGCAAAGAGTTCAACGGCAAATTCGATCTCGGCAGGAGAGGGCTGGTGCCACCGAATGCTGAGGTCGGCCGGGGCAGTTGTCTTTCCCCAATCATCGACATCGAGCCCGCGTTCGATGACCTCGGGCTCGTACAGAGCGTGATCGATGGGATAGGTGTGCGTCAAGTTGAGCAGGAGATGATGGATGTAATTGGAAACCAAGATAGTGGGCAGACCACGACATTTCTCTTGCATGTACTCCGCAATGCCCAGGAGCTCGTCTTTGTATTTCAAGACCTCACTCCCGACATGAACAACCGCCATGGCAAGCATGCTGACATACCACACCAATGCTCGATCTCGGGGGAGATAGTCTGTTCCACTACTTCGGTCGGACGCGGCGTTGTTGTAGTCAATCTCGTTGCGGATATTGACAACAAGCATGGGAATGAAGACCTTGAGAGTTTTCTCTGGGTTGACTTTGCAGAGCGCATTTAAGATCCATGCCATTGCATCTCGTGCTTGATGGACAACATGGCTTGAAACGAACGTAGCCACCTTCTCGAGAGCCATGTCGAAAAGCTCCGGTGACAACGATGCGAACAGGGGCGACAGCGCAGCCGGCAAAGCATTGATGACATTGTCTTCAGGGGTTCCGCCACGGACTTGGTTTGCGTCAGGCAAATTCTCGAGGAGAGTGAACACTTTCCCGAGAAGTGTCAGGATGAACTCGCCAAAGCCAGTAGTCGACGATCTCAAAATACTGGCCTCATCTTCGTCGCTAAGTTCGTTTTTATAGTCAAACTTCACATTCTGACCTTCGCGCTCCATGCGATCCATTTGTCCTTGGACCCACTCCATGGCTAGTGTTGTATCATGGATGTGGCTTCCTTCCTTAACCAACGGTACCATAGGAATGCTATAAGCGACACTTTGAATGAAATTGAGCGTGTATTGGGTCTTGTTTAGATCGTTGGCATCGATACCGGGGAGTGCCAGAGCCAGAAGAGCTGTGATGTGACATCTATAACCCTTATGCTTGGACATGATGTTGGCAATCATCTGCAGTCCATTCAGACTTGAGGTGGTTCTGTGTACCTCCACAAGCCCTTGAAGACTAGGGTAGAAACGCTGCAATGCACCGGGCAACACTAGGTCCGGTTCGAGATATGCTAGACCTTGCAAGGCGCTGTAGTAGTAGTAAGACACGCGGCTGCTTTTGGAGAAAAGACCCATGAATGTCACTTCTCTGAGTGCCATCACAAAACGCTTTTTCAAGTCGTCGTTGATTTTACGATCTTCTGGAAGATCCAGCTCACCACTCTGCTCGCGATTCCATCGGGAGACGAACGCCTCAGTGAGGTAAAGGGTCAGCTGACCAAGCATGGTGGTCCATGAGCCCTGGTTGGAGGGATGGAAAAAAGTATCGATAGACTCCATGAGGCCCTCCAAGTGCGAGATAATAGAATCATCTTCCTTCAGGCAAGCCGGAGACAAAGAGCTCACGATCAAGCGAGAGATCATGTAGGCCACAGGATACTTCTTCTTATCTTTCTCAACATAAATGCCTGCCCCGGAAAGATAGTCCAGTGGGGTATACGGAGAGTTGGCTTGGCCCACGGGGATTTGCGTGAGCCTGAGAATGGCTGTGAAAATGAGGTCGGATTGGTCCTTGGAAAAGATGCCATGGCTTCCAAATGGGACATAGGAGCAGGCTATGTGGTCTCTAGCAAGACGAGACAGCAGGTCAATGAAGAAGATATCGAATGCCTTTGATCGATTGATGATGGACCACAAGTGGAAGAGCGTGGGAAATATGTCGGCCGGTTGAGACTGAGGTTCGTTGATGGGAGCGGGGTGACTTGGCAGCAAAGCATTCAAAACACCTGCTACGATATATGCGTTTGGAAGCTCATTAACACTGAAGAATGGCAAGAACTCTTCCAGCATCGCTCGACGTTCGGAAGGATCGAAATACGTATGGGCATGGGTGCATAGCTTGAGCAGTTGTTTGGCGGAACGCTTGCGGTTGCTCTGGTGCGCGGGGACTTCTGAGGGGAGAATCCATGCTTTGATTTCGTTCCACAATGGCCTCCATTCAAGAACGAGATCTTCTCCTGGCTTTAAATAATGATTCTTCCTACAAGGTGTGAGTTAATATCATCGAATGTTGTCAGCACACGTACCTCGTCAGAGTGAGGACCATGCGCAAGAAGCGGTCCGAGGCGGTTGCATCTAAGCCCGGAGCCAATGCAAGGGAATAATAAAGTTTAGCCAACTTTGCCCTCTGCTCTCTCGTCATCTCAAACTTGAGGTTGAGCCATCCTTGGAGCTCTTTTGTCCAATGAAGAGCTCCTGGTGAGAAGTCTTCAGCTCGTATAGCAATGTATAGTTGTTTGAGGATGCCCTGCAGAGCAGCATCGCGTTGAGCTTCTTCCTCGACTTCGAACGGGAGCTGCGAGAAGTAGGCAAAAGTTCGAGGCCGATAGCGTTTCTTGTCGTCTTCGTCGGTCTTGAGGTAAGGAATACCTGGGGACGTGGATCGTGAGATGGGCTCGTATGGTAGGAAGTTTGCTAGTAGGTTAGATGCAGTTGTAGGTGGCATAGAGCCGTGAGAACCCGAAGGGCGAGGACCAATGTTCTCGTCCATGGCGGGCAGATGGGCACGGTGCTAAACAAGGCGGTGATCGATAAATGATGCGATTCACTCGAATGCCGTCGGACGGCCGAGAGCGGGCAGCTGGGCTGGGCTGGGCTCAGCGCAACAGCTCAGGCGGGACGTTTATTGAATCGCAAGGCGGGGCGGCGAGAAGCGGGTGGTGGGCATTGAGCTTATTCTGAGGTCGAGGTCGATATATGCAACCAATATGCAGGACGTGGCGACCCGACTTTGAAAATACTTTCAGAGTTAAGCAACGTATGCAAAGGCGAAAGTCAAAGAGGGAGGAGTTGGAGGAATAAGAAGCGGGCTGGGCGACCGCAGGTGGTGATGGATGATGCAGCAGCAGTAGCCTGGCCTGGCGGACACATCTAACTTACGCACCTACTAAGAGCTATAGGTTCCACTTTTCTGGGGCCAGTACGCGCGCATTAGCCCCAGAGAAAAGAAGGGGATTTAAAACCGACGGGACAGTCGATCAGGAGCATGTGCGAAATATGGATCGTAATCAGTGAAGCCTAGGTGCGCTTAATTAAATTCAGGGTCTTCACTTTGACCTATAGCGTGTTTTCTTCGATCTCAATGTTACATTTCACTATATCCCATCGCCTTGATTGTCTATTCTTAGGATTTTGTATTCACACAGGTCAAGGCCCTTTATCGCTGTATGCAGGCCACTCTGGAGAAGTGCATGCGTCCCGTAGTAGCTAAATCACGAAGGGTTCAAAAGGTTCAGCACGGGAACAGCTGTGTAGTTGAACGGTAATACTCAGAGAATCACCCCGCTTGATTTTTGAGGCTTTCCATGATCAGCTGTTCACTTCATTTTGTAGCTGATGGTCGAATGAAACCTCGAACCCTTTGTCCCATTACTCGAGCTTGCTTGTCCTTAGTATCGGCTACTTGCATTTGTGGCTGATTGGTTCCACTTTGTTGGTGTGATTCTTATCCCCATTCAAGCCCGCAAAACGTCAATGCTATCACAAGCGCAGCGTGTGATGGTGATACTGCTTTTCCCTGAGTACTGTCGACCAAGCTGAGCCGGTTTGTATTCTCGTCCCTTCTATTCAAACATAATCATCCAATCAGCTTCTATCCCAGTCAAGACGAAGACGGGATACCCAAGGCAGCGGCACAGCGTTGTCATCTACATCAATGCTTAAGGCCCCAATAGGAAATCATGCAAGACGACCTGAACAGCATGCTTACTCTTCATGTCTCAAAAATGGACAACTGATTCGTAGGCATGACATCCGAAAGCACCGCCATCGGTGGTCCGAAGTAGTCCGAATTCACCGTATCAAACACGCAAGCTTCCTTTGCCTAGGGTAGCTTGAAACTCTCACCTTTGGTGTTGACCATCACTTGTGATTGCGTCTCTCTGACTGCCTGCTACACCTCTAAGCACTAACTACCCTGTCACAGGACAAAATGCTGCATTACAAAACGGTCAGATGAGTAGAACGATGCATCCTACCAAACTCGCTGTTAATGACCGCTCGATCTCTAACCCAGCATTCCCCAATGGCAATCTTACTCTTAATCCGGTCAGCATTATCCCGGGCCCCACCATCTGGACCGGTCTTCCGTGAAGATGTGTCATTCCGGAGGAGGAAAGGCTCCACTTCGCCGTGTTTCCGGCTTGAAATGTCCGTTCTCACAATCTGAGGCGCCATTTTCATGTTCAGAGAATATTAGCACTTTGTGAGGAGACCAGGAATATGTCATATGTGAATGATATAAGTCCCTTTGTGGACATGGTATATTTATATTACAATCGTCACTATGGATGTATCAATATTCGAACTTGGGTCCATATATATCTTCAGCCTGCGCATGGGAGTTGCTTCTCCGGCGGAATATCTTGTCTGCAAAATTTCGCACACTAATGCTCACACGTCTTGTCGGTGGCCTGTCTGACTTGATATCGAGGGTCTCTAACGGAGGTCTTCCATCCTCGCTGACACGCGGCGTCACAAACCGCTTGACAAACCCGGCATTGTAAGACACCGACCTTCGACGCGCGGGCATGTCCGATGTGCAACTGTCCAAAGAACTACTTGCCGGACTCGTGTTGGCATGCGGTAATTGATGGGAAGGGTTAACAAGAGAAAGGCTTGGGCGAGCAGGGAACGTCTGAGCTCTCTGCGGGCCACCATTGCTAAGTGTGCGTTTTTGTAACGTTGAGGGTGTCCTGCAGATTCCCGATACTGGCAACCCACTTTGTCGCAGGTTGATCCAAGATGCGGTTGCAACCATCAGAAGTTTGATATCTTCTGGGACCACTTTTGTCAATCGTGACTGAATTTCAGGTGGATTCGAGACGATCCAGTCACTGGCAAGCTTAGAGTCTAGTGGCGTGTTTCGAGTTGGAGGATAACGACCGCTTGAGGTCGACATGGTATTATAAGTGTCAAAGACGTCCAGCGTATTTGACATGAGGGAGCCCATGATGGGATGCCGTCTTGTATCGGGATGTATCATACTGAATGTCCACTTGACTTCCGCGGGTAAAGGGCTCGGTGGCGGTGTTTGTTCTCCATTATTCCTAGGCATGTGGGATGTTGGCGTCGAGGTCTTCTTGACCCATCGTGCCGTACTGATTCGTCCTCGCTCGTCAACTCCAATGAACTCATATGAGCCGTTGGCCATCAAACTCGACTCCCAAGTCGATCCATCTTCCATCACGATTTCGGCCGACTCGTCACCCATTTGGGGAAGTGGGCTAATAACTGCAACAACGTCCCTTTGATCGAGTGAGTCTTCGGTGTCGAGAGATCCTGGAGATGCTGGTGTGTCGTAGTCCTCACTACGAACAATAAGGAGATCGTTCATGCCCAGGACTGGCTTTGTGCGGAACAGGTGGGGGCAGCGCTTAGCCATACGAGGAACAATCTGAGAACCTGTGATGAGGCTGGATGGCACTACATCAAATGCGGGTATTGGGCGCTTCTCGCCGACTTCTTGTAATTGAAGGAGCAGTCGTGGGCGGAGATGAACCAAGCGGCGTTGTCTGGCTCCTGGTCGAGGTGCTGGGTGTGCAAGAAGAAATTGTGTAGATTTTCTGAAGGTGCGCTTCCTCCTTCTTCGAGGTGCTGTGGAGGAATCACTGAGGTCACTTATATCCGAGCAGGCAGCAGAGCCTTCATCTTCACTCTGCACTTCTGAAGGTGGCAGGTCGTCATCAGTCTCCGGTTCACGAAAGCGAACAGAGAGATCTCGCCGAGGTATGTACTCAGACTTGGGTCTGGGGCGAGAAGTCCGGCGCACCGGTGTCACTGTAGTCACAGACGGGAGCTTCTCATGATATGACATTGGTCGGGGTTGTGGTGAGGAAGTAACAACTGCTGATAACGGCCTTGTTGTTTTATCAGCATCCGACTGGCGTCGAAGCGCGGATCGGAGGAAAGGCAACGCTCCTTGAGGCGCCTGTGTTGGTCGATTTGTCGAGTACTCGTGGCCGTGAAGGCTAGCACCAGCATGCAGGAACATGATAGCTCAGCCAAGTTCGGGTCGAGCTCATGCAGCAGCTCAATCCAAGAAGTCGGTGGTATTAAACAGAAAGATCAACTGTTGTTAAATAGGGCTGAGGGATGATCGATGGCGAATGTAAACAAACACAAGGACCACGAAGTGAGGCAGGTCAAGTTATGATATGTGTTTCGGTGTTTTGCAAAGCCGAATACGCAGCTAACGCACAGGGCGTGATCGAGCAATAAAGTAACCGATCTGGCGGGATGTTAAGCCGGGGAAGATGTGGTCCGATGAGACCAGGATGAGCGAGATGGGATGATACGGAAGTGGTCGACCCGCCGTGAAATCCAGCACTTGGACAATACACGAACCGGCAGATGAAGAGATGTTGGGTGAGGTGTCAAGAGATAAGAGGTTGGTCCAATATCGTCAGGGGAGGTGTAGCCCTGTTTAGTACAGTGGATAGGAAGAAAGTTGGTATTATAAGAGACCGCGCGCAACTCTGTGGATGAACTGATGAGTGGTCGCGTGGGGTCTGTCAAGATTTAAAAGTCAGCTCTGAATAATGCGGTCACCGTAAAAGACGGATGAAAAGCGAAAATGGTTGAGCGGCGCAAAGCTAGTTGTAAGGCGTTATGGGCTCATGGGTTAGGTGAAGATTATACGGTCAAGAAGGCAAGGACTCGAAGCGGTGGAAGATACTCGGGTGTATATCAGAAGCAGACGCGATGATGGGCAGATCCAGGGGTCAAGCTGGGGTAAGTAGTGGCTTGCCTGGACTGTCATGACATGGCCGTCAAGAAGGTGACAATGGAATCCGCCTCAGAGCCAGGGATAGGGCGGTCAAGCCTCTCAGGCACAGCTCAACGATGCCGCAAGACTCCATCCGCTAATCAATAGTCGGCCAGGGGTAGAAAGAGCGGCGCCGGGAGCAACATACCGTAGACACGCGAAAACAGGGGGCAGAAGAAGCGAGAACAACTTACGTATTAGTACATGCGCATCATCGAAAAGTGTTGAGTAGGGCGGCTAAAGACCCAAAAGTGAAGTGAATTATTTGCGAGGCTGGGAAATGAAAAAGAGAAAGTGAAAGGGAAACAGAAGGAGAAAAGAAGAGGAGCTAGAGCAAGGAAAAGGGTGGTAAGATGAATGAGTGAGGCGCCCTGGGATCGGCAGGTTGGATATTAATTAGCAGCCCAGGTGGTGACCTCGAGCTGCTACTGGTGGCTGCCGTTGTCCCTGTCTACTTTATTGTCTCGAGATGCCTCTGGCAGTTTTTTGCTTTTTGTTTGTGTACCGGTACTTTGGGCGTTGGGCGTTGGACCAGCTGGCTGGTTCCCCAGGATATTTCCTTTTTTAGTAACCAGTCCTGATGATCGCGACGTAGTTATTGTTTTGTTTGACTTATATTCCCCTATTACGTCGATGTCGTGTGCCAGCCAAGTCTGTGTCACCAGATCGAGGTCTCCTCTCTAGGAGCGATGCTAGTCTCTCGATCCAAGAAGCAGGGCTAGACAGCTTCTGTAAGTGTCGAGGTATCAAGATCGAATAAAGTTGATGGGGAAAGGAAAACAGCAGAAACAATCATCAGTTGTTGAGAAGAGGCTGGCAAAAGCCCTGCTCTCTCAGTCGGTGCTCTTGCTTTAATCCTTTTTTTTTTTCTTCTCTTTTTGTCATGTTAGTGGCCCCAAGTGCTAGAGCCAGCCTTGACCTTGAAAAGCATGGGATGAATTTTTTTCTTCTCGTTTTCTTCTTCCTTCTCCCGCGTCTTCCAGCTCATCCTTGATATTAGTGAGGTGGGGGAGCGGGTCACTAATCCATGAACACGCCCGATGCATCCATCCTACAAAACCTCATGCGACTGATGAGAAGCATGCATGCCACTGCCCGCTAAGTTCAGCCCAATCAATCTTGTAAACAACCTCTCAGGGGATCAAATTGATATCTCGCAACACTGGAATGTCATATGAGGTGAGGTTGCCTACCTCACCATGGCCAGGGCCTTTCAATCAATGCAAGCTGCGGCACCTCCCGTACCAGATTGGTCCGAGCAGAGAAATAATAGATGGACGCCAACCCGAACACGAGAAAGGCTGGTAAGCCAATCGAGTTTAATGAGACATGCAAACAACATGATTCAGACCCGTGAGCTGCTAACTTTAGTGCTGTTCCTGTTATTAAGGCTGTCCTCGTGCCCCTACATCTGCATACTGTCTAATAACGGTTTAGCATAACTGTCTCCCGTAAACCCGGGAGTGATGGGGTGGATGTCGGATTTCTTGACATTCATAGATCCACTCTTCTGGTTGCGGTGTTGCGGTCAAAGACAAGTTTTTACGGCTCTCAACCACGACTTAGACACATCCATCAATAGTGTCAATGTAGGATCGGCTCAAAGTTAACTGCTCCGCGGGGTTACGGAATCACTTGCTACTGGTCAGCATCGACATTTATGGCAACTTCTTGGGCACAGAGCGGGGTGCCTCGCACATTTTAGAAGCCGCGACTGTGTAAGAGCCTCAGTTTGAGTTCAAGCGTTTTAAACAGGCTCCATGGACACATTCCTAATTCCATACTGGGCATCCAGCATTGTAAAGGCTACTTACTTATCGCAGCAGTTCTTGCGTCCATCTTTTTACGCAAACATGTCCTTGGTTACAAGTTCTAGTCAGACTACACATCATTCTCTTCAATGGCGGTGGAGTAGTCGCATATCAGACCTAAGCTTTCGCATGCAGGCAACGACAAGGATGAGATCGTGCATGCATGTACATACATATCGCCAACTCAGAATCCCAGACCGCCTGTCTGTCAGTGAAACGAACCAATTGCTAAATGACAACAACTACGAACGCCGTTTTAATGGTCTGCTTTATCGTGTTATTGCGCTTTTGTTGGGGCGCCGGTTGAAGCTATCGTTAATTGTTTTCAGCCTCACACCACCTAAAACTCATCTTGACATACAAATCCTCCAAGTACAATAGCAGCATGTTTCAAGCATCAAAACATCTGTTTCGGCCAAATTGGCATCTACAGCATTCGCTAATTCATAATAGTGGCACCTTGCGTCTTCCAGAAGCCCAATCGGCTAGTAACAGCAAAAACTGTCAGTTATCCCACAAAATCGTTGACCATTCTCCACAAACATTATGTTATATCATGCTATGTGAGTTTGGGTCATAAGTTAGTCAAGCAAGTAGTTGAGATATGAGATTCCTCATTATTGTCGAAACTCTTGCCTCTACCTAATGTCTAAAGTTTCCGAGACCATTTTCAGTTCATCTAGGATTCGGCACCCTTTCGCCGATCATGAACAAAGCCCAGGTTCTATCCGGCCACACGGAAGACTGGCAATATCAAATAATTGGCCAAAGCGTAACTGGTACGCATGCTTTCTAGTTGAGAATTCGCGGAGCAAAGGAGATCCAGAATGGTTCTGAATGAGGATGGCTGTCCTGACGCCCTAGAGCATATCGAATTTACGCTGCAAAAGACTAGGGTGGTCCACTCAACAGAGAATAGTCTTTTTATTACAAGTTCATGCAATTCAACGGCTCGATGTCATACAGTTGCACTGCAAACACTATTCCCGTCCTCAAGGTACAGGCACTTTTCCGCATCCAGTCATTCTGACCATCCAACGTCAAGGTGATGATAGCTTACTGAAACACCACAAACTCAAAATCATCTCACTTATCACAAATTTGTCAACGGCTCCCTTGCTCCGATCCATCATTCAAGCGCGCGGCTGCATATCTCAGATCAATCAATGCCGGGCAGCGTCTCGGAAATCGGCAATTTTAACTTGTTCGATCCGTCCAGACGTCCCGGATGTCTCGGTACTGATTATCGAGACTACGAAAATATTGATCAGCTCGCCGCTGTGGGTTAGCGATCATCCTCACGGGAACCTCGGGACAAGGATTAGCAGCCATGAGCTGAGATTTGCATTTCAAGCTTGAAAATATCGTCAGCTGCTCAAATCATGTTGTTCTGATAGGACGGTCCGTAACATGCGGCTCAACCCTCTCCAGTCAGCCAATGCAGCCCTACTCATACTTTAGCTTGTATTAGGCTGCTTATGTGTGCCGTTATGTGGCAAGAATTGTTTGAATGGGTGTCATCTAGCTTTCGTAAACTGACAACAAGACACGCAAAACTCGATGACTGAAGATGTGTCAAAGACACTAAAAACTTGAATTGCCGTTACACTCAGGGTTCCAACCAAAATTTGAGTTTGAGCCCCTTATTCCAGGAATCGTCAACGTTCATAAATCGCATCCGTAATGGTTCTCTAAAATTGTTTAGCTGTCCTTAGAGCATTCGAGCAAGCTGTTGACGAGATGCACATGTTTTTACCGAATATCGTCGCTCCTGGTCTTTCGGATCAACCTCTGGGCAAAAAGAAATCGTCTATCAATAGTGATATGACCTTGACTAACACGATACGCGAGCGGCGCTAGGGCATGTTAGCAAACTCTAGTAGGCATCACAGTAACTTCTCTGATCTAGACGACCAGCATAAAGAAATATATACACTCTCTACAGGCAACTTAATTGAGACGACGAGTTCCAAAACGAGTACTGCAAGTTGCCATATTCCAATGTCGGACACAGGTAGCTTTCGTATACATCGGGAATAGTGCCTTTTCGACAGCCGTTTCAACTCACATGGATCTTCAAAATCCGGGGTGGTCCTTAGTCATCGAGCCGCTAAGCTGTAAAATTCCCCCACCATGCTCAAGCTTTCACCAACGTCTGATCGCATGCGTCAACACCAACATTGGATGCTTCACTTATACCGGTAGTCTCAATGCACATCCCCCCACACAAACCGCCGCCGCCATGATTCGCCAACACTTCGTCGCGGCGCGCAGTTCACAGCATAGAGTCGCTGTATTGGCACTCTATCGAGCACTCTTGAAAACAGCATCCAATGTGCCCTTACCGCATCACCATCCTGGTGGACGAAGACATCCTCTAACTAAGATATTGAGAGAGAGATTCGCCAAGAATAAGCCACTCACGAGCTTCAGGCTCCTTTACGACTCAATGGCTGCAGGATACAAGGTTCGAGGCTTGAACAAGATTTGGTCTACATGGTCTAATGTTCTGTTCAGTTCCTTACCTTATTAACGAAAGGACGAGATACAAAGTCGCCCGAGCACTCTGAAATACTTCGATATCTCCGGAAACGCAACTTCACGGCCAATCTTTCACGTCTAGAATCTCCATCCTACAAAAAGCCACCCCGTTCGAAACAACGACTCAATCCTCCACTCCTCACCAAAGTCTCTGCGCCTGATGAGCCTGCTAAATACGAACCGACAATTCGCCCTCTACCAAAATCTGCTTTTGTAGGTGAGCGAAAGGCACCAGTTTCTGGTAATACTGCCGAATCCCTACCGTTCCTGCGGATCAAGAAACCACAGCCGAGGGTGTTCTCACGGGCAGTTGGTAGAAAGACAGCCATGTTTCGACGATCTGTTGAAACTTTTTTGGATGTTTCCAAAAAAGAAATTCCGAGGGCTAGATTAGAGGATCGTTGGGATACCATGATGGACAAATTGCTACATGAAGAGGGTGCCACAGACGAAATCGGACGGGACGAGCCATCGGCGTCATATCACTTTACTGCAACTCTGACCAAAGCTTGGTGGGATCAAAAGCTTTCGAAGTTCACAGACGACTGGACGGCTCGCGGTAAAGCAGTGAGCAGTCTTATTGAGCAGGAACATGCATTGGTAAAGGAGGAAAAAGAGGGCGGCGCAGAGCCAACTGATCCTCAAGTAGCAAAGGAGAATTTGGATACAATCCTGACAGAGTATCGCCAAAAGCAGTCCGAATTGGAACGAACGAAAGACAATTCATTTGAAGATCCGTTCTTGTCCGAACAATGGATGGCAAAGGCACAAAAATTAGAGCGTGAGTATGCCAAGAAGTATGGAGGCATAGTGGACGACAGTGGTAGACGAGTCTCGTGGGCAAAGAGGCAAGGGCTGGCAAAGAAAGAGAATTCTCTGTTAGGGGAGGTGGAATCTGACGACGATGCTCGATTTTTCAGTCAAGTTGCGGCCATGCGAAGAGGTCGTCAATAAAAAGGTCTGTAATCATCTTCTTCAATTATACCCAGGTTCGGTCATTTATAGCGGAATTGGAAATAATATAGACATGTACGATATATGGATATGATGCCCTTTGTATTCAACTTTGGCTGCAAATGCTGTGTAGTTCGTGGCCTGATATGTACAAAGTCCCCAAAGTCGTATGCCCTAAACATCCAAGTCATTCATCAATATCGTCATTCTGTCATGATACATGTTCTTAGACAGGCTCCGCCTCCAGCTGTCTATTGGACCTATTCGAATGCGCCCGTGGACGAGTAATCATCTTCAACGACTTTTTCCCCTCGTTTGCTACTTCAGCCCAGCTCTTTAATGATTGGAGTGAGGGTACAGATGGCCGGCGTGTCTGATCCCCGTCAATGCTCGCGAGGTCGGATCGAAGAGTTCTTGGGGATGACATGGCGGATAATGGTATTGAGAAGGCAGGGCTGCTCGGCTCTGAGGGCACTGGCCGTGGTTCAGGGGTCACCACTCTCGCATCGGGTTGATCAGGCTGCTTGGACAATTGACCCCATTGAGGTACCTTTGCAGAGTCCATGAGAAGTGGGTTGCGGTCCAGGGCTGGGCTGCTTTGCAGAGGTGTTGGGTTTGTCTCGATGCTATGTCGAGAGAACACTGAAGAGGACATGCTGCTATCCGTCAAGCTTTGATCGCGATTGAGATTCGGTGTTTCACTTCGAGACGGTGTAACTGGTAAGGGGAGCTTCGAGCCAGATCCACGCGAGCGCAAAGTATAACCCGAAATATTAGTGAAACTTGGTGATCTCGAGGTCGGGAATTCGGTTGATCCTCTGGGGGTTATGTCATTCGGAGGTCGCGGCGAGACGGCTTGTCGCTGGAGTGGTGACGCCCTCTGCTCTGGTGGAAGACGCTGATAAGACCGAGACCATGGCTGAAAGGCTGGTCTTGCCGCTGGTGTAACCGGCGTCGACTTCGATTTTGGTGAGGGTTCAAGCCCAAGTCCGGATTCAAGATTCGTTGTGCTGCTTCGATAGGGTCGCGGCATCGCCATTTTGCTCGGGGTCTTGCTTGTGCTGCTTCTCCTTTTGGCATTGTCTGCCTCTAACGTATGACACTTATCCTCCATATCTTTTAGCTTCTTTTGAAGCATGACCACAGCCTGTTTATGTTCATCAACCTCGCGCTGGAATCGAGATTCGTATGTTCTGTCTCGTCCTTCGAGCTCAGCAACCTTTTGTTTCAGGCGATCGTTTTCTTTCCGAAGGCTCATCAATGCCGTGAGCTTTTTATCCCACTTGTCTTCGACCCACGATATTGGCCTTTTACAACACTCTCCGTGATAAATCTGATGAATGCCTCCGAGCATGGATAGTTTATCATCAATTTTGTATGCGTGTAACCGGTTTTTGGGGTTCGGAGTGATCATTCGAGCAATCAAGTTGACAACTGGCCGAGGACGAACTGTTTCTTGGCCCTCGTAGGTAAACATAAAAGGGGGAGTGACCAAGGCATGAGAGGTAAGCTTTTCCAAGTGAGCATCCAGCTTCTGCTCTCGTTCACGAAGCTGCTCTTCCTGGGTGTTCCTGGATGGATACCTTAACGCTTCGTCAAACTCAGCTAACCGAACATTGTACAGAACGGTTGCAATATTTAGAAATACGAGACCGAGTGAGTAGATATCTGACAACTGCATACTGGACCCGTTGTTGGCATAAAGTTCAGGTGCTCGCCATCTCTCTGTTCCCGGTACCCCCTCTGTCATAGTTTGATCCTGTCCACTGACATCTCTCGAGACACCAAAATCAGCAAGGTAGACTCGGTCTGCCTTGAGCAGGATATTAGATGGCTTGATGTCGAGATGCCTCACATCATTCTGGTGACAATAGGCCAATGCGCGAGCAATGCAACCTATTGTATTGCGTAAAAATTCGAGTGGGCACTTCGTTGTTGAATGGAGAAGCTGGTCTTCAGACGATTGCTCAATAGCGCTCAAATCCTTGATGTCTAAAGCATCCAGCCTCTCGAGGATATCCTCACGATCCCCTTCGCCCATGCGCAGATATTCCAAGTCTTCGAGAAGAGTGCTCAAATTGCAGACGGCAGCAGGCCAGATGAGCAGGCATAATTCGTGTGTTCGTGGAGCGTATGTGGCAACTAATTTGACGACATGTCGATGGTCAAGTTTCTGCATAGTCAAGCTCTCCTTGCGCAAATCGTCGATAGAAAACCCGCGTCGACGTGGGATCCTTTTGCGCGCAAGACAGACCGACCCGTAGGAAACCTTCTCAACGCGACCGAATGCGCCATATCCCAGATCTTCAAGTTTAGCAAGTTTTGTATCGAAGCGCTTCGCATCGGGGCCATTAAAGAGCGGTTTGTTTCTGCGCAACCAATGTCAGCAACGAAGATATGCGCGGCTCATTGGCTGTGAATAGCTTACATGCCGGGCCAACTATCATCATCGTTCCAGCTTTCTATGATGCTAAGCTCCTGGAGCTCGCGCTCAGCCTCCCATACACGGCCATAGTGTTGGGTCGGACCTGTTTGCCCGACTCTAGTCCATCCACGGGCCCAGTCGCCCATGCTGAGGGACGTTGAGGGCAAAGCAGATGTCGTTGGGAGTGCGGTGGTGGCTCGCGAAATGGTAGCGCCGTCAGAGTAAAACAGAAGCCATAGTGTGACAAGGCCCGATGTCTCTATTGGTTATTGGGTCCACTTTGATTGACGGGATCTCCTCAAAGAAAGACAGAAAACCAGGCGCATATGCTGAAGATGCTGGTGTAAAGATGAATGATGACAAGAGGTTATGAAACGACAGAAGAATAAAATTGCCTGTTGGTGGGGAGGAATTGAGTCTGCGGCCCCTGTCGCGAAAGTGGCAGTGACATTTTTGGTGGCCTGCGTCCAGCGCAAAGCTGGCCCATTAGGACTACCCTGAAGCAGTGGAGGGTCTTTGAGGGTTGGACAGCCGCTAATTGGATCAATTGAACGTAAACTTCTGGCGCATGGATAGTCTATGGAAGTGAATGAGTGTATACATTCTCATTTTCTTTGAACATCCTGCACACGTTAGACTGGATACAGTTGGTTCAAGCAATGGTTTGCTGTCTTGCATCTATACATAAACGTCTGGTCCCGCCCAGATTCATCCCCCGCTTTGGACACTGCCTCTTCAGTGGGCCAAACGTCGCTCCGATCCACTGGAACCCACTAGCCATTTAAGGCTGAGCCACGGCCAAGCCCCGCTCATGGTTGATGTCTTGCTGCAGATGCATCTCATGGACTGTTTCGAGAGGGTTGAACGGTCAACAGTATCTTGTGTAACAGACAAGAGTTTTGCCTTATGAACCCGAGCACTAGCAAAACACCTCGATGAAAAGACAACAGGCAATCCCAGGCTTGGGTTCCTGTTCCTGAATGTGGTGCCTATCTTGATTGATCATCAAATTTCTGACGCTAATCGATAAGCAGACATCGATCGGCATTTGAGATCCTAGCCGATGCACAGCCCTCCTTCGGCTTCACCACCAACCCCAACATCATCTCACATCTCTACCCCTATCGTTCCGCCATCATCTACGTCCCATCCTCACCTTTGCTCCGTACCCTCCGTGTATCCCCACCCCGGCATACGGAGCGCAACGGCAGAGCTCCGGGCTTTTCATCCGGCCTCACCGGAGTCATACAGTCTTTGTCCCGGCAGTTACTCTTGACACATACCAAAAAACTCATAAACTCGAATAGTTTGTGGATACGATTGATTACCACATGATTCATATTGGCCGCGTCCCCTGAGGCTATCCTCCACGGATTTCATTATTCGATACACCTATTTCTGGCACCCACGTCCTCATTTAAAATCAATCACCATGCTTGAAGAACCTCAGACCGCTCCGGAGTCGCTGCCAACGCGGAAGCGATCTAAGGCGTCCGAAGAAAACGACGAGGATCGGAGTAAGAAACGATCAAGAGGCCGTCCACGCCTTGACACCAGAGATGAGACGGCTCAAGATGTGAGTTCAAGCAATGAGCCGAGTTCTCCACTCACCCTGGGGCTCATTCTAACTAACAATTTTCATAGCGTCGTCGAACGCAGATTCGACTCGCTCAAAGGGCCTATCGTAATCGCAAAGATACTGCCATTACGACCCTTGAGGACAAAGTCAAGGATCTTGAAGATGCCAATGAAAACATGAGCAAAGAGTTCATGAACTTTTTCGACTTTGTTCTTTCACAGGGAATGCTGGAGGGTGCACCTGAAGTTGCAAGGCGTCTAAATGATACAACCCGCAAGTTTCTCTCACTCACACGAAAATCTGCCGAGGACTCAAATCGCGACGGCGTGGAAGATACTCCAGCCCTAACGCAAGCACAAGAGCAAATTGTGACACAGCCCCCAGGACGGCACCCATCTGGCTCAGACTCTAGCACTTCTGGCTCGGGGAGTGGTGAATATATGGTACCAAATCCACCAATTTTGAACGCTTCTCAAGAAAAGAGCCTCTCTACTCCGCAAAGAGCGGACGGCACTATACGACAACAGGCTACGCCTCCCTTGAACCTACCTTACGAAATCATCACAATGCCAACTACAGATAATGCAAGTTTTCCGGTTTACGACACACAAATGACAGTCAGTTTCGAGCAAAATCCTTTTCTTCAATCACCCTTTCCCAATGTTCATTCGCCATCTACTTATGCGCCACAAGAACGGAGCTTTGGTCGCCGCCTTCAGAGAGCAACTTTGGAGGCTGGCCTTCGATTAGCATCGATGCCTAATCCGCCCCCTCATCGATATGCTGAGGTCTTTGGATTCTGTCTGCTATTCGAACCCAGGGAGTCAATCATCCGCCGCATATCCAGCACATTGGCTAGAGTGAGTCAGGAGTCGATGTTTTTTTGGAGGTACCCTTTCACAAACCTGGGTGGTTCTGGGACTTTCTTCCCAGACAATGGAGAAGCCGGGGAAAATGTAGCAACGGGTACCAACGGGAATGCGATACCACTAGGAAATCAAGGTTTGGCACAGCATATGAAGCCACAAGAGATGACTGGGTTTTCAATGGGTCCCTTTGACCCAGATGTTGAAACCACCAAAGGTGACCGCATTGACGCTCGTATGCGAATGATGTATAAGGGATTTGAAGGGGACTTCTTCGATGCAGATGAGGTGGAAACATATCTACGTCAACGGGGTATCGTGATACCTGCTAATGTGGATTTTATTGATGCTGAGATCGATTTGGGCTCGTTCGACGAAACTCCAGACCTTTCTGGCTTAGCAACGAGTAGCAGCTTCTTCGGAGCGCAGCAACCCCCTGCGTCCAGCCAGGCGCTTTACATGCCGCCTCAGCAAGCCACAAGCGATGTACCAAATATGTGGCAAAGCACGATACCTACCACCCTCGCTACCACCACAGCGTCCATGACACAAGCTCCTCTTATGGCACCTGCAATGGGCGTTGACTTCATGAACATTATGCCAAAAGTTGGGGCCACCAACCCTGTGCAGTTCGGTACAGGGATGGGGTCCCTCATAGATACATCATACTTTCCTCGAGATTGGGCCACAGATGCCAGTTGGATGAAGACAAAAGTGACAATGGATGTGAATCGACTGGTAGCAGGTGAGTTCCTTCGACTTGTGTTACAAGCCAGTAACTAATGAAGTATAGAAATGACGAGCAGGGCAGTATGCTTGGGTCGCACGCCAGGCTTACGACCAAAGGATATAGACAGAGCAGTTAAGTCGGCTATAGTATTGGCTCAGGCATAATGTCACAATTCTTGTTTGTTTGCTGTTGGGTATCATATATCTTGGACGTTTAACTCCGATATGAGTAAAAAGGAGCCTATGAAGATTGGCGCATTTGCATGGTGTTAGGGGAGCATAAAACTCCTGTCAAACTTTGGGAGTTGGCTGAAGAAATCTTCATGTATAATATTACGGGCGTATATCCATGAATACCCCCTGTCTACAATATTTAAATTGAAAAGGCGGCAATGTTGTTCTCAAAATATGTCAACATCTTCTCTTACTGCCTGGATGAGTCCATGTTGGGTTTGATCACGAGTGGGGCTCCGTATATGTCGTAATGCTACTCAACTTCAGCAATCAGTGAGGGGAGATTGTCCATCCCTTTACATTTCACTATCTTGGTTTCTGGCTCCATATATCTTGGTTACAACCACCAACGATGGAGTACAGAGTTCAAGAACAATCAATACCGAGACTGAAGCCTCGTCTTATCATTCACGGAGGCGCAGGTAATATCCAGCGCGATACGTATCCGCCGGAACAGTTTCGGGCTTATCGTAAAGCTCTCATTGACATTGTGAGTTCATATATGGTAGCACGGCAAGCCCCATATTCTCAGGTATCTAATTATTATTTTAGGTCACTAAAACGGACCAGTACATGAGAAGCCAGGATGAGGTAGTCTCAGAAAAGTCACCCAAGAAGCTCCCTTCAGCTTTAGATACCGCAACTTACGCAGTCCGTCTTCTGGAAAACAACCCCCTATTCAACAGCGGACACGGCGCTGTGTTCACTCGTGATGGAGTCATTGAACTAGAGGCCTCGGTCATGGTATCCCGTGGTTATAAGAAGCGAGGTGTAGGTGTCATGGGTATCCGCCGCGTGAAAAATCCCATCCTTCTAGCTCGTGCAATGCTTGAACATGGCGAAGACGATCTCGAGGCGCATCCCCAAGGAGTCAACTCAGGCGACCTTGATGTCCCGTCCGCACAGGGACATACCCAGCTCTATGGAAAGGCCGCCGAGCAACTAGCGCAGCAGTACGGACTAGAACTTGTCGACCCTAGTTACTTCTTTACTCAACGTCGTTGGGATGAGCATATCCGGGCTCTAGAGAGGGAGAAGAAAGGCCAGGGGCAAGCAACCTGGAGTGCGACTGAGTATCTACCTCAAGGGACATGCGGAGCAGTAGCACTCGATCAAGATGGTGTTATCTGCGCCGCAACCAGTACAGGAGGTCTAACGAACAAGCTCACTGGTCGTATCGGTGATACGCCTACAATTGGGTCAGGCTTCTGGGCTGAGGAATGGACCGAGGATTGTGATCCGACAGGGTCGTCAACGTGGGATCGTTTGAAGAAAGCCATGACCGAGTCAGGCCCCTCACTGGTGCTCAGCGATGCCCTGAGAGGTACATTGGCCGATTGTTTTCCGACTCCTATGACGTATACTCCCCTCATGAAAAGGGGCGAACGAATATACACCACGAGATCTATTGGCGGCTCTGGAACCGGCAACGGCGATTCATTTCTGAGGACTAACGCGCTACGAACCCTAGCAGGTATGGCAAGGTGGAAGCCAGAGTCAGGTTCCAGGGCTGTGGCTCATGTTGCAGGCCCAGGTGGAGAGCTGGAAAGAAGTGCGGGTGATAGATGGCGCCAGACAGGCGAGGGTGAAGGCGGCATCATTGGCATCGAGAGTGTTGTCGTTCGTGATTCGCATGGTCAACTCATCGAGACTCGGTCTGAAGTTCTGATGGATTTCAACTGCGGAGGCATGTTTCGAGCCTGGATTGATGACGAGGGAAAGCCCCAAATGAGCATCTTCAGCAATGAGCCGTCAAGCGACCTAGAGACAAGCTGAAAGCATTGTGAGTGACCGGTTATAGAGTGGAACAGGAATGCCATTTGTATTCGTTCTGTACCCAATCCGCGATAAACAAACGCAGCATAAACATCAGCAGCAGGAATTTCCTATTCCTATTTCTTTTTGAACCTGCTGGTCCACGTGCATTCCCAAGTTTCCCTCCATCGCTTGGTATAATGCACATTCGCTCTCTTTCCCTCATCAGACATAAGTAAGTCTGTATTCGCAAGAAGTATGGCAACTCCATCGCTAAACCAGATTCCACCTTCCCGAAACCCTTCCGATATCTTGTTCTATTATACATGGAACGCCGATCCGATGCGATTGAAAGGATTAAAATGTCAGCCAAATTTTTGTTCGTGGTAGTGGTGATATTGGTGCTTAAAATACAAGAGGCATGGCTCTTCGAGGGCCCGGCCCGCAGAATTTGTTGGTCGTCGTGGTAGAGTTGAGAGTGGGGGAGTCGAAGGTTGTTCGATCGTCGTTTATCGATCGTAGTATTTCATTTCGTCAGATGATGGCTCACAGAGTAGCCTCCTGGGGTGGAGGCTGAGGAGCTTCTAGCTTGGTGCTACCAGCAAGCATCTTGGAGAAACCGATACCGACACCTTCGATGACGGCAAGAAGAACAGCACAACCGATGGCACCGTTTCGGGCGGCCTTGTAACCACCTCGGATGGCGAGAGAGCCACCAGTGAAGAAACCAGCAATAATAGCGTTATAAGGATCCTCCTTCTGGCGAACACCCTTCACAGCGCAGTCGAATGTTGAGAAGAGACCACCCCAGACACCAAAGTTACCACCGAGAACCGGGGCGCGCATCTTGATGGCTGTGATGGCGCCAATGCGTCGCTCGCCATAGGGGGAGTTGCGGAAGCCCTTGATTCCGTGCCAGATAGTACCACCGATAGCCTAGCGAGGCAATGTTAGCCATGTCCCGGTTTACGCATATCGCAATTGTCGCTGTAATCGATCGTCCACAGCACGAAGGGCTAAACTTACGCCCATACAGAAAGCACCACCAAAGTCATTAAGAATGACCCAAGGGCAGGGGTCTCGTCCGTGATCCATGGCTGATTTATGCGTATTAAAGTTGTAATGACGGGGAAGGGCAAGGGCTCGAGGACGAGGCTGATGACGGCGAGGTTTGGATTTGAAAAATGTGAGGTCGCCGTAAAAGGTTGCGGCCAACCGGACCTTGAATCGCGCAACGAGTGAATTTTTCGGGGGCGGCTGTTGGATTATCCGAGTATCGATAACGGTTTAAACCGGCCTCGGCAGCTCGAAGCTTCCGTCTTAACCAGTCATTGATCACTTCAGTCTGAAGATGAGGCGAAATGGATGCAATGTAATGCTGTACTCAGAACAAGCTCTTAGCTAATTTTTTGTTCCCTAAGAGTTTGCCTCTTTTTTATATGCGATTTTAGAGCTTTTCGTTGGGGTACCCTTCGTTTCCTTGCCAGGATTTCGTCAGTATTGTCCCGCTAAATCCCAGATCCCCGTCCCGGCCGAGAGCGGAGCAGGAACTCAACGACATGCCTATTCAGGCTCGCCGAAGATTGATGTGAAGTCGTAACCCATGTAAATGTTACAATGGAACCGGTATTTATTCAAGGTAGTGACATCTTGTGTCCATCAATGTGAATGTTTCCGACCATTGTCAACTCTGCACTATGCCTCTCAAAGTCTTACCAGCTACCGAAGCCGATGCTCATCGAGCTGTGGCCATTGAGACGGTTGCCTATGGCCCGAGTCCAGTCGGAGCGGTGTTATTCCCGGGAGGGGGAACTTCTGAGTCCTCAACAAGAGTCGCGGACCTCATCGACTCTCTGCAGAAGGACGCGGCCTGCCGATGGGCCAAAGTCATTGATACTGATATAGGGAAAGAGGAAGACCAGATGATTGCCTTTGCTATGTGGTATATCTGGGAGGCTCCTCCAACAGAGGAACAACATTCCTTCCCGTCTTATCGGGGGCCGAGCTGTAATGCGGAAGCATGCGAACTCTTCTTTGGAGGCAAGAACAATATGAGGGTGAATCATATGAAGGGAAAGCCATATGTTTGTATGTTTCAATGCTGTATCTTCAATAAAATACGTTCTCTGACTAGCTAAAACTCTCAGATCTGAAACTCCTACACACAGACCCGAAGCACCACAGACGTGGAGCAGCCTCTCTTTTGCTCAAATCGGGACTTGAAGAAGCTGATCGCCTGGGTATTCCGGCATGTCTAGAATCTTCAGTGCAAGGACGAAAGCTTTATGAGAAATTTGGCTTCGAGGAGGTTGATAGCCACACGTCTGACTTTTCAAGCTGGGGTGGTCCATCAGACGTCACAGTTCCTTTGATGATTCGTCCTGTTGGAGGTCGATCAATTAACAAGGAGAGTCAGTAAACAGCACGTCGATGAGGCAATCGTCTGGCAAACCGAGTATATAGCTAGACTAAACATTTAGTGCAATACCATATGCTAGTATGATGAGTTTGTAGTTTTGCTCATGTATTCGACATTGCTGACCAGGTTATTGAACAGACATGTATGTGGTCATTCTACCTGTAAGATTCTAATGAGAACCCCAAGAATTCGATCGTACTGGAGGTTCATTGTGGCCAGTTAAGTGTCCTGGTTAGTCTCCAATCACTCTTGTTAAAGAGCCTTTCATTATCTAGCGCTAAATTGGGCATCATGCATCCTCAGAGTTGAACCCTACTTGGACATCTTAAACTTTCCTAAGCTCAGCTTCTAATGAATTTAATTAAGATACATTGATTGATAAATACTGGTGGACTTATTCTTTTACCATTCTTCCATGGCTGAGGATGTCTCTGACTTGTCACAGACAGTGTTACCGGACACGAGAAAGGAGCTATAACTCAGGAGTGCCACGAGCATTCATCTTTTTGTGGCCCAGATAGGACCATGAGCTACTGGTCAGGATGAGCATATCTAATTCAGAAGAATCCCTTTTCAATAAAGGTTAGACCAAATCAATGAGAGAAGAAAACCAAGCGAGAACGCATTTATGAGTTTGCCGTTATCTGATCATCTTATCAATGGATCCATCCACTAAGGTATGTTCATTGATGGAATCTTCGTGGGGACCCTGAAACCGCCGGCTCGTTAGGGGCCGAGTGGCTGGCAATGGCACGTGCACACCCAGTAACGGAAAGGTTCATGGCAAGTTCAGTGCGTCAGTGGGGCATTGAACCCTGTATTCTATTAGGTTTCCATCGTCACTCTGCATCCATTGTCAAGTCGAGTCGCGTTGGACAAGCCAGGTCTTAGTTCTTGCACCACTTCAAGTCTTTTTTATGTGTTCTTGAGTAACACCAGTTTGAATCCTATCATCTTTATATATCGCCAATGTCGTCAGAGGAATTATCTCTACCTGTTCTCCCCGCTGTGTCGTGGGATGAGCAATCCCAGACCTTCAGCAACAATCCTCGGAAACGCGTCCGCAATGCCGCTTCAAAGCACGCGCCATCTTCAGCTTTCAACAATTCAAGTGATCCCGCCATATTCTCCAGTGATGATGATCCAGCATTGGACAACTATGTAGAGGGGAGACGAAAGAAGAGATACATTGGTTCATGGTTTCAGCAACATCCCACCTCTTCCGACTCAACCTTCAGTGAGATTCACGTCCCCAAGCAGAGGCGTCAATGGACGCGACAGGCAGACAGTGGTGTCTTCCTTGGCAGTGATGGTAATGAGAGCGATGTACTAGAAACAGTACCCGAGGTTCCAAAGCCCAGACTTCCACAGCTTGATCGCGTTGTGCGCCGCGTCTCAAGAGCTGAACAAGTTGCGCGTGACAGAGTCCGTGCCTGTCTTGACGCGGGTGAAGAGACAATTGACTTTTGGTCATTGGGGCTGGAAGATGTCTCAAACGATACCATCAGTCCTTTGTCGCAGTTTTCCTGCATCCCCGTTGTGACCAAGGATGTTGCATTTGAGCAGAAAGACCCCGAGCTTAAGATCTACATGGCCCAGAACCGGTTGACTCGGGTTCCTGGTGCCATCTTCGATCTAACATATCTCACAATCCTGAGTCTCCGTCACAACAAGCTCAGTGAACTCCCCCCCGCTGTTGCGAAACTTCATCATCTCAAGGAACTCAACGTATCACATAATCGTTTATGGCATTTGCCTGTGGAGTTACTGGAACTTTTCGCGCCAGATAGCAAGCTTGACAAACTTGTTGTCCACCCTAATCCATTCTGGCAACCAAATGAGAGCCTTGAATTGACAGGCGATCAACTTGACAATACACTCTTTTTACAGACTGAGGAGGGAGCCTCGCCGACACCACGTTTAGCGAGTCGTGCACTGGGTCGAAGTCCTCTACAGCTCTCGGATAGTACGGGAAGGATACTTTCAGACTTCAAGTTCCCAACGGACCATACAAAACTCATTCTGCCCGTTGATGAAGGAGAGCCTGAGTTTCGCCCGTCATCCTCTGTCTCATCCATGACAGAGTCACAACGTCTCGAAGGTGCAACCCGTGTGCCTAGTCTTCTCGAGACGGCTCTTCGAGCCTGCTATTCCAGCACTCAGCTTTCAGAGATGCCATACTACATTCCTGAGGGGCTCAACCATCTCAGAAAGCTACTCGAGCGAGCACAAAGACAGAAAGAGGCTGGTGGACTGACATGTTCACGCTGTCGAAAACTAATGGTTATTCCTACCGTCAAGTGGGTTGAATGGCGAGAAGTTCGGGCTTGTAATAGGGTCAGCGACGAGAACTCAGCTCTCATACGGATGACACCGTTGAGCATGGCAGAGGGTGAAAGGACGATACCATTTGTCAATCGAGGATGCTCATGGCGGTGCCGTCCAGAAGAACTCGATAAGAGCAGTTGGGGACTGCCGAGTAGAAATCTTGTTCCAGTGACGGATGAGGCAATTTAGCAAGCATATTTGGATGAATGGCGTTTGAAGCAAAAGCAGATTGAAGAGCGTTTCAATGATACCTTGCATTGTCTTTCGTAAACACACAGGCCCGTCTTGATACGCGCGATCAAGTCACTGATGCTTACAGAGAATTGCTAAGGCTCGGTTGTGTCACTGCTCGTCATCTAGGTTACTTACACGCTCGGTCAGATCATATCCTGTCCCCTGTCTCTTTCAAATGCATGCATGCGACGCCACATAGTAATCCCGGCGACCTGGATCATCAAGACAAGCAAGCTTTGATCATTGTAATCTCTTGGCCTGCAAGGGTCACATTGTGCATATTCATTCTCTGTCAGGGATATACCTCGGCATCACAACAGACTCGTGAATTGGCAAGCATAGGCCGTATGATTCTACTAACAAGACCGTTATATCACGAGGACACAGTGGTGTTGGGGAGATCGTTTATGGGGAAGAATGTGTGCTGACAAGTTCAACTATCTTGAACGATCGCATTGCTCGCAGCACACGGCGTTAAAAGGCTCGGTAAAGATACGTGCTGTGTTATGCTCCTTCATTTAAGGTCCATACGGCCAAAGGGCCTCTATATTTCCTTCTGTTGATAAACGTCTCATACCGAACTTGCCGTTGCGGCGGAAACGCGTTATGTATGAAACTGCCCCTTACTGGAACACACGGTTTCCTTTCCGTGTCGCGCCGAGTTGGCCAAGCGGTTCTTGGAACTCCAGGACTAATGGAGAGAGCTGACCCTCATCTTTCTCAGAAGACCGGTCCCAAGTCAGAACCGTATATGCCTTCTGTCACATCTGACTGGAACCGGGGCAACTCCTCCCTGGCGGCCTAGCATTGGGACACTAATATCTACCATGTCGGATGTAGACCATTCCTATGATCAGTCCGACCAAAGCGCGAATCTTTGAAAGGAACATTTAATCCCAGTCATCATCCTCACTATCGACGTTCCGTGACCTTCCAGCGGTTCCTGTCTTGATAGATTTGCCAGCCAATCTCTCTTCCTCAGCATCCTCGGCAGCTTGTCTCCTCTTGACCACGCGCATGTCAGAATCGGGGACAGCACCAACTCCAACCAGAAGATTGTCAATTTGCTGCATGGTTGTTCGGACGCCCCCAATAGTCGCTAATGTTACAATCTGCTTGACAATATCACCCTTGTTGTAGACGAGAATCGTCGGGCAATTTCGGTCGGGGTAGTTTTCGATGGCTTGGCTCGCTCGGATTTCACAGAATTTGATCTCGCCATACTCCTTCGCAGCTTGTCTCCATAGCTCAGTCAAGACTCGCGACTCAACGTTGTTGCCCATTGAAGATGTCAGGTTGACAAAAACGGGTCCATTTTGTGATGCGTCTGTGACTTCACGCTGATACTCGGGTTTCGATAGAGGATATACGGTTCCATGCAAAGCCTTCTTTTGTAGGGTGTTCAACTCGGCCATGCGCTTTTGGCGATATTGCTCCAAGAAAGCTTCATCTTCGTCGTCTTCAAGTTCGTCCAACTCGTCGAGGTCCTTGCCTTCCAAGCGATTCTCATGTGCTAATCTTCGTCCTTCGAGAATAGCCTCCTCGATCATAGGAGTCGGGCTGGGTGGCTTCTCAGGTATAACTCCATGTTTTCGAAGAATATCATTCCTATGGCGGGGTCAGAGCGAGCTCATGGGTATGGAGGGGTAGCAAAGAAATACCATTCCGTGTCTGCATTTGGGTCATCAATAGGAACATTGATGCGTTGTTCTAGGGGATTAGACATTTTGAGAGACTGAAGAAATAGAAGCAATTCTTCGATAAGTCTCCTCAGTACAATTTGTATTGTCTAAAAGTGGTAGCCTACGACTGATGCAACAACTTCAGGCTCCTAATCACGGCTTACGTACAGATACAGGCAGCTAGCAAAGCTCAATACAATTCATGCATAACTCGCATAAACCCCACCAAGCATATCTCGGGTGCACAAGCTCCATCCGGCTCTATGTTGCACCGAGCTAGGCCACCGCAATTCTACCGCCTTTTTTTAACATCACGTGTGTGGGCTCTACAACCCTAGAGCACTAAGCCGCATTGAGCCACGAAATCCGCTCAGAGGCAAGAACCAGTCGTCCCCCTCAGAGCCACCGAACTTTTCCTCGCTTACCTCCTCCCACCCACCTTGCGAGCCTCAAATCTGATCCCGGATTTCGTCAAGCTTTCCCATTCTCGCAAGAAACCGACAAGACTTTTTCGAGAAAATCAGACAAGATGGTAAGCGACTGCCTTTTTCTGACGCATTTTACGATGGACCTACGATGGGAGATGGATGGACGACAACCACGTGTGTGAACGAGGTGGAAATCATCAACTTCGAAAAGATCTTGCTGCCCGTGGCAAAAGTATCAATTTGATGGAGCACGACATCGATGGCACAATGGAAGATGGATTGGAAACGCAAAGGATATACGCAAGATGATGGAACAAACTGGCTGACTCTCCGCCTTTTCAGGTTCTCGCCGTTGATCTTCTGAACCCTTCCCCAGCCGCCGAGGCCAAGAAGCACAAGCTCAAGGTACGAAGCATCGACAAATTTTCATGACGACAAAACTCTAACAATCCTAGACCCTCGTGCCCGCCCCTCGATCCTTCTTCATGGACGTCAAGTGCCCCGGATGCTTCACCATCACCACCGTCTTCTCTCACGCCCAGACCGTCGTCATCTGCCAGGGATGCACTACTGTCCTCTGCCAGCCTACCGGTGGTAAGGCTCGATTGACCGAGGGCTGCTCTTTCCGACGGAAGTAAACTGCTTCGCGGCGGTTTTATCTCCTTGGGTACTCATGACTCTTACGGTTCATCTCATGGTGGTCATCTCGGATCTGCAAAAACACAACCTCGACATGGACGGATAGAACAACCCGACGTTGCGAACATTTACCAAAAACCTCTTTGCAGATAGAAGATGGGGCACCCAGAATAGGGGCGTTTGGGGTCTCCGGATATCTTGCATGGCACATCATTCTTCTTTTTGTTTTTCCGTTGCGCGCCTTGTACTAAAGAGTCTTCTCGAGGCAGGAAGGAAAAAAAGCACTGCATGGGTGGAAAGCTGGAGAAAGCCTTCACGAGTGTCTGGACTGGCCTGGATAGGCTAGCTGGACACGAGGACGTGGAACCGCTGGTTGATGATCGCTTCATACCCGGGTGCAGTGGGTAGCGGAGGATGGTCACTGTGCTTTTGCGAAATTCACAATGGTTTCCACATCACCTTCTTGTTGACGTGAATGTTTCTAGTCGATGCGATTGAGTTGTGATGCTATCGTGACTGTCGTAGAACACATTCCTGTGTTAATGATTGCTATGATGCCATGACTTTTTCATCTCTCGATAATCTCTGCCGTCCATACTTTTCACCAGTGCTATCGCTGTTGAGTTGAATCTACTTAATGATGATTGGTGGCATACGGCGTCATCGACAGTCGCCTAGACCCAATCGACTCACCGGATGACTCGATCCGGAGAAGCTCATCCGCTCTGCCGCCCATGAAAGCCTAAGGCAATTCTACGAGACAATATTTTAATGTTAGCTATTTTTCCACGAGAACCTGGGGAACCAATTACCCCGCGAAATGCCGTTTGAGGGTATTTTGCCTTAAACTGAATGTAGTTCTATTCATACCTTAGTTGATGATGATTGGATGGACTGAGACTCGCGAAGATCTGAACTTCGAAACATCGACTATCAACCAGATTTGCTTGACTCGCAATCTCAGCTCCATTTTATAATACAAGACCAACTTAGACTGAAAAGTCTTCAGCATGAAAAGATATATTGTCACATTTGATCATCTTGTACTGCTCGTGTGATAACCTCGTGTGACGATATACCCAAGTCGGTAAGTCCTTCACCTGTCCTTAAGCCTACCATTGATGGCAAATTCGAAGTGGAGCTTCACAACGGGCAAGCAAATAACATTCGGCGCTGACGACCCTGAAATTGCTAGAACTTGCCTTCAGATGTTGTTTTTTGCCACCGCCTTGCCTCTCATCTGCACCTTGCTGATCCTTGGGGTTCAAGAAAAGTGCAGGATCAAGTCATTATGTGATGGAACTACTCCTCAAAGCTTCAGTCTTTTCCATTCTGAGATTCAAAGCTTAAATAAACCTAGAAGTAAGGTAGGTACTGAATTATATAAGTTTACATAGAGTCTATGGCATTTCCGTCTTTTTCTTCAATACTTCGAGGTAGTTGGTCATATAAATGCACCCTGTCAGATGACTCAGCGGACCAATAGCCAAATCTCCAATTATGAATTTACGCGAAAGCGGCACGACAAGATCGCGTCGAAAACGCGGGATAGCAGTGCCCACAGTGAGAAATTGCTGTTAAATGATTGGACTGTCAAGGCCGCTTTGGGATCGTCCTCGTCTTGCGGCAGACAGGGGGGCTTCACTTTCTTGACCCTGTTCCTTTTCCTCACCCCAGCAACAAGCCAATATTGGCCTTCGACTTGTTTCGCCCAAAAGCCCCCTCTTCGCTTTGTTCTCTTTTTGAACCCTTGTTTTCTCCCCTCGATTGCGACGTCATTCAACTTTTTACAAGACCTTACCTCTCTTCAATTTTGTCCATTGACACACTCTCCACTCTTAAACTCTTGAACTCTGTTTCTGTACTTGACTTTCTTGTCAGTCGTTGCTTACTGCGATCGTTTCTGCAACGTCATTCTATCAGCGCAACAACAGTTGACGATTCTTACTAAACCAGTCAAGCCTACAACTTCACACCAACTTGCTTCAAAACTGTCATCATGTCTACTCCTCGTATCAAGCGTCAATTCGCTGGCGCCTCTGCCGACCCATCTCAACGTCAAATCACTTCCTTCTTCAATACCAGATCATCCGATGAGTCTGCAATTGCTGAGGCCGACAAGCCCATGCAGCCTCCTCTTCCTTCAAACGTCCAGGCCAATCTACTCAGCGTTGGTATGCGAGTCCGCAAGTCCGTACCCGAAGGCTACAAGACAAAGGGCACCAGTGCTTTCAAGCTGTGGACAGACAATGCACCTATCAACACTTCAACTCCTACTGCAAAGCCACCTGGCAAGGGTGCTTCCCGAGAACTTCTCCCCTTCTGCGGAATCAACAAGGTTGGCGGTCTCGATACCCAGCCTGACTTCGGGGATGATGTACCAGATCTCGATGCCATTCCCGAGCTCACCATGTCACAAGAGAGTGCGGAAGGCGAGTCATACGATGGTTCTCGAAAGCGTATTTTCGATGAGGATGATGATGAGCTTGACTCAAGCTTTGACATGGGCAACCACGGAAACCCTCGAGTCATGGCTATTCCAGTTTCACGAAAGGGTGCCGGCTTAAGGGGCTTCGGCCAGGATACCCGCAACTCAGGATCTGATTTTGATGAGGCCGATTTCCTCGTCAACCCCGAGATGAACCTGGCCAACTAAGCTAAAGTGTTGTTCATTGGCTCGAACAGAGCTTTGTATGTTTCTATGTTCACTATGGGCTATGTCGCGGTGTCGCAAGCTTTGGGTCAGGCGTTCAGGATTATGGTATATTAATGCTTCAGAGCGGTTGTATGTTGGATGGCAAAAATGCATCGGGACTCGCTGTATGCTACATGGAAATAAAACAAACCGGTCGTTGTAAGACCTACAATTATATCCTTGTCCACCAACTTACATACCGACGAATGGCTCTCGAAATTCTAGCAGATCTCGTTGTCCGTAAAACTCACCAGCTACCGTCAGGATCATGTTAAGAGTTGCACGTAGATTCGCTCGCAGTCGCTGTTTGGCGCTCTCCTTCTCAAGATCTTCTTCGTCTTCTGATGTCGCTCCGTTATTAATCTGGGCGAGTAGTCGTTCTTTTGCTGCTTCGAGGTTCTCCTTAGGCTCCTGGGCAGCAACTTCACCTTCTTCGGCTTCTGAATCGGTCGCGATCTCCATAGCCACATCTTCGTCTTCGTCATCTATCTGACCTTCTTCAGCATCAGGCCTTGGCGGAGATTTTGTCGTGGGTTCCGTGACTTTGGGCGTCTTCTCAGCATCTTGTTCGGATTCAGCTGGTGTTGGATTGTCCTCATCTTGCCCAGAGCTGAGAGCACCTTCGACCTCCAAATCCTCTGGGTCGGCCAGGACTTCTTCATCACTGCTGCTTCCATCAACAGCTTCATGAGCCCCTAGTCCACCCTCCGCTAACTCTTCCCTCAGAGCCGCCATCTCTGCTAAGCTCCGGCCCAGGAGAACTGCTCTGCGACCCAGGTCACGAATCCAGCCGATCTCGGCGTAGTTTAGCTCACCCTTGTCCGGCATTCTAGCAAGCAGTGCCCAAATCCAGCGGCTCGTACGCTCTGGAAGTGTATACCCTTGACGAAGGAATTTACCGCCGAGAAGAATGCGCAGGATGCGTAGTGTAGTGTCTTTGGACATAAGGGCGACTTGAAGTGGGTGGGGATCGGTTTCGCGAAGGAGTCGTGACCATGTAGCTATCACAGCGGATTGGTTTTCCGCAGGTGCATCGGTTTTTAGTTGGGCCTTTACGACACGGGAGACGGCGTTGGAAGGAAGATCGGCGTGAAGAATCGACCGTAAGCGGAGATATTGGTCCATAACGGATGTAAAGTAAGCTTCATGCAATGCGGCTTCTTCGTCATAATCATCGTCGTAGTCATCTGGATATTCGGCGTCTTCGTAATCGTCCTCTCCAGCCGCGTTGTCGGGCATTGCCATATATGCACCGTCTTCATACCAGCCTCGAGAATCGCCGATACCATTGCTGTATATAGTCCTGTCGATGGATTGCTCGTCTTGTTCTTGGTCGTCGTTTCGGAGTTCAGGGGGGAGCTGGGGTCCTATTTGAACTTTGGGCGCAACAAGGAGATGGGGTATTCCGTTCGCTTCTTGTCTATTACTCACCATATCAGCATCCGTGTTCTACAGTTTTGCAATCTTCAGCAAAGGCGACAAAAGCGCATAGGAGGAGGGCATACCTGACAGAGTTTAAATATGCCATCGCTTCTGAATCATCTTCGAAATCGTCCTCTTCTCCTTCAGGGATCGTGGTTGTATGGCCGTTTCCTGCGAAGACATATTTCTGGCCCCAGGTTGGGTCGATGCCAGAGTTTTGGTGCTGTCGCGTTTTGCCGCCTTGTTTCTTTGGTCGCTTTGGTTGAGGGTTTAATACTTCGCCTTCATCGAGGTCCTCGAGCTCTCGTTTGGCTGCCATTTTAATATGGTGTTGATGCTTGTTCGAGCTTGCAGAGATAACCTAAGAAGATGAGTGCATGTCCCTTATCGATAAGCCAGCAAGCTGCAGCTCATCCCGCTTTTTTGAACATCACCCTCAACTAACGTTATATAAAACAATTTCTCATGTTGATAAGTTCACCATGAGCGTGTCTCGTGTACGGCAATTAGCCTGTAAAACAACTTCATTTCACATAAAGTCTTGTCCGAGAGTTCATGCACGACCGACAACACAATGGCGTTCTCATAGTAACTACAACCACTTTGTTGGTCGCAGTGAGTAACTCATCTTCTTATACGATCTCAACTAACAAATACAGCCAAGCTTGCCTCCACAGACCCAAATGCTGATTTCCTTCCTTTTATGTGTAAAGAAGTGAAGCCTTTCACTCTGGCTGTTAAGGATAATATCGCGACCTCTGACTTCCCAACACAATGCGCCTCAACCATTCTCTCTTCTCACTCCTCACCCTTCGAAGCTACTGTTGTTCGTCAATTGCGCAAACGCGGAGCAACAGTGGTTGGAAAGACTAACATGGATGAATTCGGTATGGGCTCTCATTCAACAAATTCAGTAAATGGTGCAGTGAGGAATCCTCTGGCCAAGGATGACGAAGTGTCAGCCGGCGGAAGCTCAGGTGGGAGTGCCGTTGCAGTACGACTGGGAGATGCCGATATTGCGCTAGGAACAGATACAGGTGGTTCAATTCGACTACCTGCGGCATATACTGGAACAGTTGGCTACAAGCCTAGTTATGGCATGATCTCTCGGTTTGGCGTGGTTCCATATGCAAACTCTCTGGATACAGTCGGCTTCTTGTCCAAGGATGTCAAGCCGATACACGACCTCATCTTCAAGACTGGTATGCATAACGAACATGACTCTGAGGATCCAACATCACTACCCACCGCATCTCGAAACCGATGTGCTTCAACAATACCATCCACTCTTCCCGAACTATCAAAACTTAATATCGGCATTCCTCTCGAATACAATATCGATGAGCTCGACCCTTCTATCCGCGCCGCTTGGGTATCTGCTGCCTCTGCTCTCGAGGCTCAGGGTGCAACTCTAGTTCCCATCTCTCTACCTTCCACAAAAGAGGCCCTGTGTGCTTACTATGTCCTTGCTCCTGCGGAAGCATCATCGAATCTTGCCAAGTACGACGGTGTTCGCTACGGAAAGCGTGGTGAAGGTAGTGATGCAGTGGGTGAGACTCTTTACTCTGATACCCGTGGTGAGGGCTTTGGTGAAGAGGTCAAGCGACGAATTCTCCTCGGCACATACAGTCTCAGTTCTGAGGCAATAGACAACTACTTTATTCAGGCCCAAAAAGTTCGACGCATGGTGCAGAAGGATTTTGATCGTGTGTTCCGACTTGACAACCCCCTTTATGAGCCAGCGCAGTTTGACTTGAGTGATATGGCTGAGGCCACAGGCATGGAGGACAAGACTGGCCCTGTTCAGGTCGACTTCATTCTTTGTCCTACAGCACCAACATATCCCCCAAGGCTGGAGGAACTCAAGCAGCAGAGCAGTGTGGATGTGTACATGAACGACGTCTTTACGGTTCCAGCAAGTTTAGCAGGGTTACCAGCCGTGAGCGTCCCGGCCAAGGTGGCGGGGAGTCAGTTCCCAGCAGGATTGCAAGTGATTGGACAATACTGGGATGATCAGAGGGTGGTTCAACTGGCAGAAAGGGTAAAATCTCTGGTGGCATGACTGCAGTGATACAACAAGCGATGATTTTACGACATTATTTTACATTAGCAATTAGACAACAACAGTGTCTTGGACATATCTGAACGAGTTCGCCTGTTCCTCCTTCACTTTTTCTATGTGGCATTCAGTGGGTATCGTTGATGCCCGGCTAGCTGTATGTTTGCCGTGGCCCTATGTGATTGATTCATGCGCCCTACGCACGTAGGTCAAAAGCGAGACAAAGTTGCAAAAGCCTTGCTGCATCCATTCCCTCCTTTCCAGTAGCTTTCTATCAGCTGACTGTAACTCGAGTCCCATTCATATGTTCTGCCATTGACATAGACCTTCAACACCTGAAGATATTGTCATTAATAAAGGCAATGCTCACATATCGAATTACGCATGCAGTGCTTGTAGCCCTGGAAGAGACTGTTCGGTTCCCTTGCTGTTGTGGTACCATTGAGAACCTCTTGAAACAACAAGAGGATCCCGGGGTCTGGTCGTGACCAATGCATTATGGTTTTTTGCGACTGGGCTCTTTGGGAAACTGTGCTGGAACAGGTGCATGATCAAGGTGATCGACTCCGACTGCGACTTGGACTGCGGCTTCGACTTTGAGTTCTCCTCCTCTCATCTCGATCAACCTCCATATCATCCCCATCCGAGATCTCTCCAGATTCTTCCCTTGTTCCGTTCTCTTTCTCTGCTTCGTCCTCCTCCTCAAGGAGATCCTCAAGGTCGCCAAGGGGACTGATCCTTGGTTCAAGAATCTCTAAGTCTTCCAGAACCTCTCGCTTTGGCATCTTCCAGAGACTTGTACCGCATACTCGTTCCTTTGTCAACAGCTCGTCCACAAATTCGTCCATGAATGTCAATACCACGCCTGCCCTTCCTCTCCGTCGAAGTTTGCGCCTATCCTCGAGGAACGGCTCCAGCATCTGGTACACATCCTTCGCTTGTCTCGTGAGTCGGAAGTAGAAGCACGCAAGTGCGCGCAGGTACTTGAAGGCCTCACCACCGTATTTCAAGTATTCCATGAGCACTGCGTCACTAGGCGAAAGTTCCAATAGCTTGAACGCAAGACACAGGAATGGACTGGGCTTTTGTGTGACACCGTATGTTCCACCAATAAAGTTGACGTGCTCTACGACACGATCGACTATATCCGCTTCGTTGAGCGCAAAGCATTGCTCTTTATAAAAGTACGAGTCGACGATCCGATCCTTGACGGCCTTTTCCATGATGGTCGCGGGATTGAGGCCGTTTGGCGCGACCGATACGTTAGAACCGCGCTCATCGAGGAAGCGACGCGCATCTGCGTGAACCGTATCTTTGTTTCTGCTCATTTTGGGTAATCGTGGTTAGAGAAAGTTGTCGGTTGGTGATGGTGGGGACTGATTCAAAGACTGGTGTTGGAAATCAATGAAGCTTGGATCCGATAAGCTGATAAGGATGTTGCTGTGTCAACGATGTAAACAGTCCACTTACACAGCGGTCAAGGATGACGACAACCAACTCACAACCACCTGCAAGGTTCGCAAAGTTGTGAAAGTTCTGCATTTACAATTCTGCATTGAAATACTCAGAAATTTTGTTAATATGGCAAGATTGCTTCTCTCATCCGGTCAGGTGCAAGTCATCGCATCGGGCTTTGTTGGTAAGACATATTCTCAACCTCTCCACCACTATCCGCATTCCATGTCATGTCATACTAAGAAAACATTTTACCTGACAGTGGTTATTTGTACATTCGCGCTCTTTATCAGTGGCTACATAATACAGCAAAGAACGCTCACTCAACTTCGCTCAGCGATCAAACCACGACAAGAGACACGCCCATCACCAAAAGTCTATCTCCCTGAGAAGTTCCAAGTACGGACGAAAGAGCTCGAGGATGGCCGTGTCATCGACATAGACACAGAAGCCGATATCGAAGTACGACGACAGCGTCTCTTAGTTGAGATCAAGGAGACGAAACCCAATGTCGATGTCGAGGGCAATGCAGTATTGGAGAGGAATATAGAGATCATAAAACAGCTGCAGGCCAAGGTAGTGGACAAGATGTCGACACCTGAAGGACATGTCGAGGCACCAGTCAAGAACCACAAGCCTGTTAGCAAGGCAAAAAGGAGGAAGATGATCAAGCAAGAGCTTCAGAAGTCAGCCCAGGCTGAAGATGGGCTTTACTACCAACGCAGGATGTGGTGAGTTGTTTGCGAGAGTGCATGGTTTGCTTTGAATGTGTATACGGTAATGAGAATGGTTTATGTAAAATGTATAGGTTCTAGCATAGAATGGACAGCTTGGTTCGTATAATGAATGATAGCTAGTTATGAATTGGATACAAGTTGATCATACTCACCACCCTAAGATTCAAGTTCCCAGGTCATGATGGTAGTTCCCGGAGACATATTGGTAGAGATTTTGTCGATTAGTAGAACATAGGGTTCGCACTGAAGCTTCAATTGCAAATCAAACACAGATCACATAGGACAGCTAGAAGAGAACTTCAGATATCTTGCTGAAAAAGAGGCTACCCTGGACAACAGCAGAAGACCCTGCCGCTCATGAAGGTCACGGCATTTACATGACTTCTAGTCTCAAGAAAATGATGAACTCAAACAGGTAACTCTTCTATATTGTATTTTATCCGACACAAAGCCCTCTCTGGAGCTATCATGAATACTAGGAGAATACTATTACAGGGCAACTTCACAGTAGAAACTACACAAGTTTGGTAACAATTTACTCGCAAGCCTCATTTTCATTGCGAAGAAATGAATGAAAAAGGATGTTACACTGCACTGGACTCTCTCAACAGGATTTGCTCTTGTAAGCATCCCAAAGAATAACGACATTGGAGTGTCTTACAGGCAGTTAGATCTACCGAGCAATTAAAACCCACTCTTACATGATCAAAGAGCTCTGCCATAACACCGAAGTACCTCCAATGGACAACATGATACTTGCTAGATACATTGATCTTAAAAGTCTCGACTCCAGAACCTTCAGTGTGATGCCGGAAAAGTATTCCATTGTTCGATGTAACGCCATCGTGATGGTCGAGAACGCAGGCCAAAGCGTTACTTCGACTCTATTCTATATTACAGCGCATCCAAATTCCGTTCTTATCCATGAATCCACATTCGTGTTAACTGAAAAGATACTTGAAGCTACATTTACTGAGTTTATTGATGACAGGGCCAGGAATTCCCAGCTATCATGACACCCTGTGTCCGACGCGAAAGGCTGGAAGCCAATAGAAACGCAATGTACCGATAAAGATGCGAGCAGGGATTGCTTAGATCCGGCTGTAGAAACAGCCGGAAAGAAACGAAACTTACCAGGAGATTGAAGTGACTGATGGAACCAAGAGACCAACCTCCCACTCACACTCTTCCCTGAACTTGGAGTCTTGAGTAGTGTGATATCTTAGTAGACGTCGAAACAATCTCGGCCAACTAATGATGGTGTGAAAGACGTTGAATCATGCAATATCTCGATCGAACAGATCGTGATGGCCTTGCTTATAATGTGAAAGCGATATTGTATCTCCTCTTACATGATAGGCCAAGCAAGGGAGGAGATAAATTCGCCGGTAGCTTAGCTAGCCGGTAGATCAAGAACTAGCAGTTTTGAAGTGGTTGGCCAGGAGTCATCGCGCAACATCAGTAGCGTACCACAAGGCTCTCTCAAGTTGAGCTCATCCAAGCTCTTGGCATCAATTCGGCTGTAGTGGTTCGTACCCAAAGTCCACTTTCACCCACCCACTCACTGCAGAGAATGATCGGAGCAGGCCCGTTCAGCCACAGTAGCAGGAGCCGAAAGTCCGGAGCATCCAATTCTGTAATGCGATTGGATGCTGAGTTGGTGGGAACTTGGGATAGACGAGTCTCTTGATGTAATGAGCAGGGCGGGCAATGTTAATGGATAACTGTAACTGCGAAGGACTGCCGAGTAATCTGTGCAAAGTTGCCGATATTCTTGGAAGATGTCGATGTTCTGAAACGGCCGGTTCGACCTATGTCAAGTTTTGAGATAATGCACGTCAAGAAGACGCATGACATGTACCTGCATGTAGTGCCTCTAGCTGATAATATCATCGTCATCGAGATTCTCTCGAGCACAGTCCACGTTCAGGCGCAGCAGGTAGCTGACGTTCCCCCACAATAGCTGTCTGGATGCCTAGGTACTTACCGTCGGATCAACTTCAAACTGACTTCTGCGGCTCAATTGACTAATCCATGTGAACCTTGTGACTTTTGCAACGGGCGCGGAAGACACGGAAGATCACCACTGCCCGTCTGCTTCCTCACGCTCGGGACTTTGGAGGGTCACTGCCGAAAAAGAGACCTTCGACCGCCGTTGAACCCGAAGTCGAACTTCCAAGATCAGAGTTAAAGTCCAGAGCAAGGAAGTTAGCGGTGATGATGAACTGTAATTGGGTCCCTTGACGGCGCCCGCACCTTGGAAGTTCCATACACAAGCAAGGCCACATGGCATGACCAACGGAGCAGAATAACCTAGGGCAGTCGTTGACAAGTACCGTATTGTACTCTTAGACAGTAAACACTGGTGCAGCTTTAGTGTTCTGCAATGTCTTTCATCATGTCGTGGTGGATGACATTCATGCTTGGTGACGAAATACGCCATACGCGACGCTGCATAATAAACGTAAACGTTCCCTCCCCGCGCTCCCGTATTTTGAAACAGCTACCCGCGACCACTGACGTCTTTTGCATGGCCCAGGATCTACGATAAGCGCAAGTTCCTAGACATGACCAAAAATCGGATACATTCTGCCCTCTGAATTGAGTAATGATCGAGACATGGTGCGTAGATGCGCATCATAAGGGCAATTACATGTAGCTGCGTAGATAGAAAAAATAGGGGACGTGAAACATCAACAAGCTGAAACAAGGCGTAGAGCTCACTTCTCAACGTTCATTTGTTGACGAGGTTTGCCACATGCCAATCTTGGTGAAGTCATCCATTCCTGGGCCTCGATTTTCATCTTCTTTTTCGCCTCCCCCTGAAGTCGTGCCTGGACGTTGCGAATTATCGATTGCTCGAATTGTGCGATTGATCAGCAAGGGCATGAAGAGGCAAATTGCAAAGGGACGGTTTTAGTCAATCGTGTCTGATCACTGTGTTTTGGGCTTTTAAGTTTCGCGACCTGATGATTTTCATGAGACCCTGGACACCGCGGGCGCCGTCACGAGGGCTTCTTCACTGCCCCTCGGCACCGACGCCGAACATGATGACAGTATCCGTATATGGAATGGATGTGACTCTGGGTTTTTTACAATTTACCTTGTACCTTCTGGAAGCTCAGCCTCGTTCGTTTATTAGGCAATCCCTCGGACCATTATCAGTAGTCAACCCTGCCTATATCCCGCCAAGACCCCAACACGAAGTGACTCATTTCCAGTGCCATGATTTTGTCATCAGTAGAAAAAGGAAGAAAAATCGCGGCTGTGAATGTCAGGGATCAGGGACCGTTGAGACTAGCACAGCCAAAAAAGTCTCGCTTATTAGTGCACAACTTGACGATGATGATGTGAATTTCCCCAGTTCCCATGGCCCGGGCTTCGATGAGGCCGCTCGCCAACAAATCTCATCGTCTCCAGTAATATTTCACGTCAGAATTGTAATAATTGTGGAAATCCATGAGGCTGAAAATGCAGTGTTGAAGGGCAATGCTCGGTCCACAATCTGGACCCAAAATGTAAAGTGGATGCTGTTTAGGCTGGGTATCAAAATTTCACAGGGCAAAGTGAGACATGCACGATAATCAAGGCTGCAGGATATGGAGACGGCAAAGTGTAGTATTCTGCCTCATGAAGAGACTCCTATGTAGATTGTTCGGTAGAGTAAGAAGAGAATGCCGCCCATTGAGAGGGAGAGTAATAGTAGAGTAATATGTAGTAGAAAAATCCATGAGAGATGTGTATCCAACACAATATCCAAGCCGTAAGTCCCATAATCGCATACATCCTAATCCCATAACCCAAAAAATGATTGCTTTTGTCGCTTTCCCAAAAGTCCCAAGGCTCGTATAGACAAAAACTCCAGGCCCCCATTGATATGTATAGACATGGAAAAAAAAAATTCAAGCCCGGATATTGGGGCGACGGGATGTTAAAACAGCCGTACGATGTCATTCAAAGAAAGAAAAGAAGCAGATGGTATGTGCTGAAATGGGGTATCGACGAAATATCATGAGATGAATGAAATAAAGAAACAATGAGAGGGTATGTTGAGTGAGTGATGTAAGAGGAGAGTAGTTTAGAAGCTGTTGCGGTCCTGCTCGCACCGCTGGTTGTCAAGGTCTTCCTTGTGGAAGACAATGCCACGACGCTTCCATCCTCCGCGTCGGATAAAATTGTCGACGCTGTCAAGGGAGCGCATGGGAGGACGCTTAGGTGCCAGACCAGGTCGGGCAGTGTAAGTTGTGTTAATAGAGACAGGCTTTAGTGTTGAGGCGTGGCGTGATAGACGACGCATCTCAAGGACTGAAGCATTATCGGTCTCATCCTCAGAGTCTTCGGACTGTGTGACTTCTGAGTCATCTTCCTCATCCTCGAAGGTCTGGATGCTCTGGATAGTAGACTCGGACCAGCGAGACTTGGGCATCGGTGGCCGTTTTGATAATGTTGCAAAGAAATAATCCCTTGGCTCATTGCCCTCCTCATCAGCAGCATCCATTGGGCTTACATGAGGAGGCAGAGCCATCTCAGTTGGTTGTTGAGCAGCAACATCCTGCTCGACATAGTCCTCCTCATCGATCACTGCATCGTCGGTACCATAAAAGACAGGCTCGGCATCGTCCATGCGGATAAATGGTCGTTCATACAGTCTTGGTGGTGCGTGGAAGGCGGAATGTGAGGCGAGAGGATCGATTTCGGGTCGAGAAGCTGTTGGTGTTTGAAGGGCTGGTGTTGATACAGCAGAGATGGTTGATGATGAGGATGATGAGAGAGAGCAGCCGGAGGAGAGAGAGGATCCAGAGAATGAGACCTTTCGGATATGGAGATCTCTAGGGCGGCGAGACGACTTTCGTCGCTGGCCGAAGCCGTGTAGTACATGCATGTTGTTGTGGTTGGGGTTATGTGGTGTAAGTGAATTGGTTCCTCAAACCAATTGGTGGTGGACAGGTCAACGTATTAGTAACCGGAGTCGCAAGTCGTATACGTCCTGGAGTGGTGGTGATAGTTGAAAGAGTCCGGATGTGGTGGGTGGTAGGTTGAATTAATATAGAGTGGAAGTATTATGGATGATATTATAATATCGATGTAATACTCATGAGAATTCAAGGCTACCAGGGCCGAACTTGGTTGTTGAGGTCAGGACCCGAGATAACCGGGGGTGGGAGTGTGCAAGTCTATAAATAATGAACCCATCGTATTTTATCGTTGAGTGTGAGTTACTGTGAGCGTGAGTGAACGTCATCCACCGAACCGTCACAGCCGAAGTGGGCGTGGGATCCCTGCTCGCCCAGAGTCTAAGGTTGGTACCTGGAGACCTGATCTTGTCCCCTGACCCTGGTCTTGGCCAGATCTCCACTCTGATCTTGTCTTTGACGCAGTTTTTCTCTAAGATTCCCATGCTCTCTACACACGACAGGGGTGTCCCGCTGATCAACGTCCCCTGTCTCTCAAGAACCGAGTATGTACCTGTGAGTACCTGAATTGAGGTTACATACTCTCCCGTCGAAGAACAGGTCGGAACAAATTCTATGGCATGTTTCGTCCGAACCTTTCGACGAAACATTTATCGCCAACTATACCGAAATGTAAGAATTGATCTTCACAAACACGCCTCATTCTTCTCATCGGACTCACCACCATCAAATCAAAGTGGACACCGCTTTTTCTTTCCTTTTTTTTCTTCTCTCTCCGTCTATCTCAGTCTCCATCCATCCACCAAAAAAGAATGTCAGCCTCTGGGTCTGGGCCCTCACTGTACCTGACTTAGAAATGCTGTGCCTGGTACCTTACCTCACGTTAGACCACGCCTCAAAAGCCTCTTTTTTCCAAGACAGGTCATCAGGCCCAGCGCCAACTGGTAGCTCCCGAGCTGGAACCGAAACTTTCACGTCTATCACCATTTGCTTCTTTAAGTCTCCCTTGACTTCAGCCCTTTTCGACAAGGTCACCGCCAATTCTCGTCAGGCTGCCTGCAACCCATGTAACTGCGGAGGTTGTCTAGTCACGACGTGTCTGATTAATATTGATGATAATGATTGGGGAAAAAAAAGGGAATAAGCAAATACTCCGAAAAGGCCCGTGCTTGAAGATTCCCGGTCCAGAATTCTCGCTCCCAATTGAATTGCCTGGTCCATGTTCAAAAGCATGAGATGCAGGGCGAACACCATGTAGAAATGAAACAAAAGCAAAATGTCTTGAGCGTGACCTTGAGTCTGAGTGTAAGCCAATTCAATTCCCGGGCTTGGGGATCAATTCATCATGAGATACCGGTAGAGTACAATTGGTATACGAATGAAGTCGATACAAGCTCTTTCAGGTATGAGCTGATAGCTGATCATGCTGTCACTGAGCATAAAATTTGTTGGTCGGTTGTTTCGTGTGCACTCCAGCGCAGATCTGTTGCTGTAATGCATTGCACAGCAAGTTGTCGTGGCACCAAAGGGCGAGAACTAAACGTCACTTATTGCGCATCTTTTCACGACTCTGGCCAGTAACAGATCATCCATTTCAAAACCACGACGTGCGTGGAGTGGCCACGCCGACCGTTAACTTACCCGTTGCGTTTGTCGTTGCAATAGAATTAAGAAGTAGCCCCGAGCAGCCAACAAAACTCTCAGCTACGGTTTCGCGCGCCAGCCGAAACTCTATTGCAGCATTTTCAGCTATTCATCCATCGTGGATGGAGATGGAGACTGGAGTCAAATGGAGCTCACTAACCACCAACAGCAGATGAATGAATGTCTTCACCGCTTGCTCCGCACAATGTGACAAACCCCTTGCGTCCCAAGACCGGACGAGAGGCGGCGCCGCTCGTTCGGTGGAGGGGTTCACAGTCGTGCCAAGACGCTGTGTGGGTGTCAACGATTAGGTACGCCGACGATAAAGCAGCTTCTCGACTTTGATGCAGGTACCGTAAGGATTCTCAGACAAAACAGTGCTTTGTTCGCGATCGCGTATGCTAATCTCTAGCAGAATCGATATTCAATCTGCGCTTGCATCCGCCCTTGCTACCAGACCCTACAAGCTGAGTCTACACCCAGCAACCATCATTTTACTCTATCGCTATTGCCAGTCGAGCTGAGATCTATCGAGACGCTCTAACCCCAATGTATATGTACGCTACTGCGCGGCGTCGACTATGTGTGTATCACCCACATGAAATGGCCGACCTAACTTGTGATGCGATTTCTCACCTGCATCGTGCATGAGACTACCTATCCCGTGCCCTCTCATGTGCCCCTCATCTTTACTCCTCCCCAGACAATTGACTCTGTCTTTGTCTTTCGCATTAGGAATGACGGCCGGGTCAAGCATTCGAAGCAATTCGTAGCGACAGCGGTTCAGCCTCTTTCCGGTCACAAGCGCGATTATAGAGTTGGCGGTGGAGGATGTTTCATTTTTTTCGCATTTGCAATTAAGAAAATAATGGGTACCGCTTCACAACGTGAATCCGAAAACGGCCAACGGTCTGTCACTGGTTAATTGAACACAGGCGGTGAATCTGCTGAACCCCTCAATCCACTTATTCGCATCCATTTCACGGTGGAGGGCTCAATCCTGTACGCTGCATCGTAGCACTGACGATCCAGGGTCTTGTCGTGGAGATACGACGGCGTTTGATATCTTGAGACCGTACAAGTAAATTCGTGTAAACCATAAGAATACGATGACGATATCATGTGGAGAGAAGGTAGCGATTCCATGGAGATATCATGAGTCGCTTCTCGCTTTTTGTCTTGGCATTTGATAAACGAGATGAAGAAGGGCTCGGCAGTGCTGACCTCCGGCTCTGAGGCCGAACAATCACGGACACAATGAGACTGAATTAGTAACTTATCGTGAAGAGTAAACATGACCGAGCCCCAGTCCGAATGTAATCACGATGTCCAAAGTCAGGTAATCTCCCTCCCTGCGATGCAGATCGCTAATTCTTCTAGCTGAAGGATCTTTACAGTCTGTATTTGCTTCTCGCAAAAAACCTTGTAGTCCGGACTTGGTGAAGCCGGACTGTTTTTTCCAGCTTTTTGGGCGTGGCGTCGTGACAGTTAGTGCCCGCAAGCCCGTGCCATTGGCCCGTCTGGGTGTCGAAACCACGGAGGCTCATTTATCGCTGTCTCCGAACGCAGCTGAAGATTACCGTAGCATCGGGAATATGTTTTCTTTTTTCCTGCCAACCATTGCTTCTTTATCAATTGTCAGGATCGGGCATCGAGATATCACATCGTTGCTGTAGAATTCCGGAGTCTGCAATAAAAAGAAGAAAAACTTGCCTGGATCAAAGATCAAAAGTGACAGGGTAAATCAGGGTATCGGTGAATATGCAGGATTAATTGATGCATCCTAGGCATCCACTCATAATACACTTTCTATTAGCACTTTGCCTTGGTTTGGCAGTGTTTTCTGACTCGGCAGCTGGCTGTGAGCTTACATAGATCTCCATTCCCAATAATAGCCTGCTATAGGTCCCTTCTCTCATGCAAGTTAATTGCAATTACCAGCACCACAGTCATCCTTGCGTGTCTGAGTCTGGATCTAGAACACAAATTAATTACGACACCATCCAGCAACTTTTTAGCTCCCGTCTTTCAAACTGTTTGCTCTGCCTGTGCTTGTGCTGTTATTGGATTCCCATATCGGGGTACCAACTTTGCATTTTGCTCCTCCGAACAAACTCATCCCAAGATGACTTGAGAAAAACGTGCTAATTGCCGAATTGGCTTGGCATGGCCAGACATATGACCTGTAAACAGGGGGGCAAGCAAAACTTTCCGGGATTTCTCTGTCCACACACATGCGAGTTTGTCGAAACACCATGATATCTAGGCCGATTGCTACCCTACACGAATTGGTGTGCTTACTGGGCAAAACGTTATCGTATTCTTGTTAATGCACTGCGCCTTCTTCGGTTGCTCGGATGGCGGAAAGAATCGTATGTATGCAATACGACCACACACACTTGGGATGATTTTCCTGGTGCTGAAACGTGTGCGTGTACCTTGCATTTCTGCGATGAGTTCACCACCATCTCTTGACGTTAATGATAGTCACGATCACCATCGCCTCCGACCGCCATTCAGCGACGAGCAGATACCTTCAATGACATTCATGTGAATATTAGATTCCCATTGGCCATAACCCCTCCTCTCGAACCCCCAGTGTTTGAACGGCTGCCTCTATCTTGGTTTCGGTCCTTCCTCATTAATCATCAATATCATCATCATCGACCCGATGTACGGCCACATTCTCCTTTCTCGACATCATCTTATTACGATTACAACTCATGTGTTCGTGACAATCTCCTGACGATCACCAACTAATGAAGAAATGTCTCGGTTGAATTTGAGGTCAATCGATAAAGCCTGGTCCTCCAATTGACATTCAGGGCAATGTCCAACGCGGGGACCGGCGTGGCGCTCTGGCCCCTGCGCAGCTGCGCTACCTTTACAATCGTGAGCTAAAGCAGCACCATTTGAAGCTTTATTCATCGACTACGCGTCTTCCCGCTCGATAGCTGCCTCTCTGGCGTGTCTCCAAGACTCTAAGCAGCTTTAGCCAACTTTAGCCTTGGCCTTGTGCTGTGATATCTCGGCCTCGTCAGCCAATGTGATGATAACCTCAGCCACTCATTGGGATGCTAGGCTGTGAGGAGACGAGGCTCGAGCGTCGTCGCGTACCCTGGATCGACGATGAGATGAACTGTCAATTGAGGGGATCATGCAGCACGATTAAGACGGGACGATTTGAAACCCATGATAGTAATCAGAAATACATGTACACAGTAAGGTAAGTACTGCAATACTGACAATGGCCAGGCTAAGCCTTGTTTAACGGATCAAGCTTAGACTTGAAAATGGTGAGATGCAGGGGCATTGTGTTAACGTGACCCGATGCAAGGGATGTTTTTAAGCAATTGACTGATGACAGACCGCCACATGAAGTTGTTCTGCGCCTTGGTACCGCCTTGTATCGATTGTCTATGTTCAAATGCGTGTTGCATTAGGGTACAGACTGCACCTACTAGTGCTTGCAGTGCGTGATATATGCACTTCACAAACTGACTTACATATGCAAGTCTCAGAGCTGCAAGTCTCGTAGTTTCGAGTCTCTTGTTCGATGCTGTCAATTTTGAGGCATCCCCTTCTCACATTGTCCACCCGTTTCAAGCCTGTGAACATCTCACCCTCCAATAACCTACAACCAAGATCGAACTTCTATAGACTCATCGATGCTCTGTTAGTCTGACGTTAGATGTCCTCACTTCAGTCTCGATCCCCATCTGACAACTTGTCTCTGATATCCCTTTGACCATTCGGCCGGGTCAAACAGTGACGTTACGGCTCGTCCCTGCAGCCTCAAACCTGCTAATTCCCGGACCCTCTGATCGAAACAATTGGGAGCCGCGCGGTATTCACTCAACGCGATACAGTACTAGAGACAGATAACGCGATCTCATTCCCAAACGCCAAAACGCCTTTGATGCCATTTACATATGGTACATTATTCTCCTTGGCGACCCTTGCTTCCCGGTGTTTCAGAAACAACCGCGACATCAAGGACGGGAAGATGTAATGACGTCGATGCGGTCGTGATCATGGTCTTTTGCTACCCTCACAAGAGACAGATCTTGATGGCATCGATGGTTTCCTCAAGATCGTGATAGCTTTCCATACACTCAAAGCAAGGGAGCATGTACAGCCTCATTTACAATACGCCATCATTCTCACCAGGAAGTCGCTTCACGCGCTTCTGCTCCCAATCGTCAAGGTCTTTGCCAGCAAGTCTCTGTTTCCAAGAATTAGTGAACCGCACATCTCAAGTAACATTCTTCCTCCCGTTCCAATAGTAAGACGTACGTAGTACTCCTCCTTCATGTCCACCTTCCTTGCAGACCGGCGCACATTGAGTTCCTCGTCCTTGGTCATCTGGCGGACCTTGCGGTCGTAGCGTTCGTAGCGGACAGCAGTGGCTGGGGTGAGGACGAAGGAACCAGCGACAATGACGGCCATGAAGGGCAGGCCAAACATGAGGAAGGGATGCTTGTTCATGAGGGTGCGGTACCGCATGCCAATGCTATTCATGTCGGCCGCGGACCGGAACTTTTTGCTCTGAAACGCCGGCATCGTGGGTCAATTGTCGGTCGGTAGGGCTGGCGGGATCGGTGTAGGATATCGGAAGCTCCGTGAGCCACTTCGGACGTGGAAGGGAAATGGGAGGTTGTAACGTCGTTGGTGAGCAGACAAAAAGAGTTCGGGCGGTTGTGGAGAGGGTATAGCGAGTAGTGCCTAGCTCACAGCACGGTCAATTCACGCCGGGTATGGTTTGAATCAACTTTAGTGTGGAGAGACGAGGCTTGACCAAAAGGAAGAGTTTGATTTGATTAACGAGGCCTGAGGTCGAGTCCGACAAGATGAACTGACTTCATCGCCGAAGTCCCACTTTTACCGCTCCGAGCGATCTATGGCCTGTGCGCGTTTACTTTTTCCCGGACCGACGACAGCATGGAGATTTCCGACTGCCGGGTCTCGAAATTCAGGGTCCAAACTCCACTACCAATGCTGGAGCCAAGACAAACGGCTCTTGACTAATAACAAAGAATTTATCACATCTGAAGTATGTTTACTAACACAGACCACTTGTCATTTGCCGCTAGCTAAGATAAAATTTCCTTTCAGCCTCATGTTGAGCAAGTCTGAGGGTCTAGATGCCCTCATGTACCGCCTTGTACCACACCAAAAGGACGTGTACGGCGTCCAAGTTGTTGAGACCGGGTAATTCCATGTTGGCTGGAAATAAGATGACTCACTTGTGCAATTGGACCCCGAATTATGCCTGACATATCCCGGAGAGTCAGTGACACTTCAATGGGCTTGGACTCGCACGATCGCCCTGTGAACGCCTTCACAGCGCCCAACGTCAAGCACATGCGCCCGTGCTTCTTGGTCTAGACCCTCAGTATTCAAATTTCTTCCAGAACCTGTTACGTGCTTCTTCTAGTCAGGAACGGAACGGGCGGTTGCAAACTTTTCCTTCTCAAAGCCTGAACCCTGTTTGTTGATGAATGAATAGCGACGGCGTTGAAAGTTAGACTGCCTAGACTTTAGCTCGAATATTTCGGACATTTGATTGAGTGGCTAATTCCTTAACGGGTCTATTGACCGTTGACAGTGGCTTCGTCAAACAACCAAGAGTCTTTTCTTATTGCCGGCTAGGTGCCACGTTACATATCGTTCAACGTGGAGTTTGAGTTACCGAACATGGCCGAGGAAGACACGCGTATGCTCTTGTCGTAACAAGCTGTCTTTAGCAATGCAAAAATATGAGAAGTGAACACTGTTAGACAATTAGAGAGAATAGTTTATGAAACGATACTGGCTTTTATGTGGTATTAAATGGTCTAACATAGATACTCCCTAGGAGCATTGGGCGGGATACCTGAAGTGAAGGGAGGGTGGAGTGAGAGAAACGCCTCTGGGGCGCTTGAAAGCTTTGAGACGCCACTTGGATGTTGATCTGTACATGGCGCAAGAACTGTTTGACCATCTTTTGCATATCTTTTGGGGATAATTGACGAGCGGATGGCCTCCTTCAGCCTGACAACCTCGATAAGTATTACTTAATTCTGTTTCATGATGCTCGCGGTAATGCACAACACATTGCACAAGGTGTGTCTCCTTGCGGCTGGATTGGCCTTTATATCATTTTAGCTTTGCTATTAGCCTGTTGCTAAGCTTCGTGAAGATAGTTGGTTCTTCGTGGGCTTGAGCAGACTTCTTGCTGAGCACAATCTTGCTAGGAAACGCATTTGAGCCAGATCAAATCCGTTGGGCCTTGTAAATAAGAGAATCTGTCTGGAATAGGCTGTGACGGGGTGGCTCCAGGGTCATATGAAGGATTCTGCCAAATTCCCAGCAGTTTAGTTCATCCTGATGATTCCATCCATGAATGTCAGTCTTGTTATGTATGAAGTTAATTGTTGAGGTCCTAAACGGCCATCTACTGTTGCTTTAGGGAAATATTTGTCTAGGTTGTCTACTATGCCCCTCGGCCATCGTTATCCTCCAGTCTGTTTAATCGTTTCCATAAGATGAAGCCTCAGAGTTGATATATGTCTTGACGTTGATTCTAGTGATGGTGGAGGCTTGAGAGAGTGTTGTCGCTCACGAACAAACTTACTAATATGCGGCTCCTCTTCTGGCGGTTGAGTTTATCGTGACTTTCAAGAAGAGCACCAGAAAGCCACACGTCAAGAATCGCTCCAAGGTTTTGGATTTTGGTATCGGCCCCTGATAGTTGTCGAGGTTATATTCCCTTATATTTCTTTCCGAACCTTTATCAGTCCAGGGGCTCGATGATCCAAGTCTTTCTTAATAGATTGAGACTCTCTCTCTCCTTACCAGGAGACATTATGGGCTATATGGCTATGTAAGGACATGCCAAGGTTCTTTCCTCCTTGGCATCAAATGCCCCTTTGTGCTCATGCAGTCCTCCCTGCCCAATTTGAAGATTTTTCTTCTTCAATAAGGCCCTCGAAGGTCCATGGTCGAAAGGTTCATCACCTCGAGGTACAAGAAAGGTCCACATAACTCCAACCTCCAACTGCCAACTGACATAGCTTCGGATGGCACACTGAAGCCAAACAAGCACAGGACAGAGATTTCTGAATAATACTTTTATAGCATTGATAGTATTACATCTTTTCAGTGCAGAAAGTCCGCAAGTAGCACCCAATTAATATACTTTAAGTTCCTTGTTGTGTAGTTACCTCATCCATAATACTCCAGTATTACTCCTCGTTTCGAGGACTGGAACCTGGTACAAGTGATCACGTAGTTTATTACCACTTACAGTAGTGAAGCGACTGATATCTAGTATCTGTAAAGTCACTGGGTTCCATAAGCGCCTCGGAAAGCTCAGAAGAACGAATATGCGCTATTCGTGTGTTGAGGTTCGGCAGTCCTAGTATAAGTCTCCAGCTGTTAACGTTATGTCTTCTCCTTTCTCCTTCTCTGTTACCAATCACTTTCGGTAGGATGCTAGTGGCAATATACCATATGATATAATTGCATGGAACAACTTCCATATCAAGGAACCTAGCTTCGCCTTTCTTCATGTTGCTCGAGATACTCACAGTAAGGTCTTGTAGTTAGCGTAACTCTCGTGTGAACTTTCCAAGCTTTCTGGCTGTTGGAATTAATATATGCATGTCATGTTTTCCCAATTACATTTATCCAACATATCACATATCGATTAGCATGGGAAAAGATAACATCGTAGAATTGCTTCAATCTTCTTACACTCTAACAGTTCTCGCCTGTTTAAAATGACGGTATTAGCATTCCTTCGACCGACGCGATGATAGGAGTTAAGTCACTTTCACTTGATTAATCATTGGTAGCTAGAATACAAGGAGCTCCTATTCATGCTTTGTTCTGTCTTCGAATCATCAATATTGGTTAATACTATATCTTGGAATAACATGTAGTTCAGCAGTAAATCAGTGGGCCGAGTGCAGGGTAATCAGCTTGTCAGAGGCTACTCTTAGCTTCTACTTGTATCTGCCACTAAACTCTCCACTTGATATTAACACAATCATTGGACACCCTAACTTCCACCCTTCCATTCATGTCCAATCAACCACAGCAAACCGACAACGATTCAATATCCTACAGGCACTTCCTTCGCTACTTTTGCATATTTGTTGCTCCATTAGCGTTTCTCTTTATATTCAAATCATTCTCCACCAGGACCGAACCAGAGACTCAGTCAGAAGTCAGGATGTCAGGAAAACTTCCTCTCGTTTTCCCTGCGGCATCCCGCCACACGGCTACCGTCATATTTGTGCATGGCCTGGGTGACACTGGCCATGGTTGGGCAAGCGCTGTTGAGAACTGGCGCCGACGAGAGAAGCTTAATGAAGTCAAGTTCATTCTGCCTCATGCTCCTGAGATCCCCATCACCGTGGTGAGTTGACCTTCGAGGAGCGTGTTCAAGACTCAACTAACACGTTTAGAATATGGGAATGAGAATGCCTGGATGGTTTGACGTTGTAAGTTCCTCTGGAACATTTAATTGACTACCCTAACACGAAACAGAAACAACTTGGCGGAGATGTTGACAGTCTGGTCCGCAATGAGGATACAGAGGGTATCAAGCGAAGCCAAAAATACTTCCACGATCTCATCCAAGAGGAGGTCAACTCTGGCATCCCCCCTGAGCGTATTGTTCTCGGAGGATTCTCCCAGGGAGGCGCCATGTCTCTCCTTGCTGGCCTTACCTGCACAAGCAAGCTGGGCGGTATCGTCGGCCTTTCATCATGGCTTCTCCTCTCCAAAACTTTTGCCGACCTTGTCAAGCCCACCGATGCCAACCGCCAGACTCCCGTGATGATGTTCCATGGTGATGCGGACCCTATTGTCCCTTTTCAGCGTGGAAAGCTGAGTGCCGACCTGCTTAAGGAGCTTGGCTACGATGTGTCATTCAAGACCTACCCGTAAGTGACCAGTGCCATATTAACAAATCATTACTAACTATTGATAGTGGTATGGGTCACTCTGCTTGTCTGGAGGAGCTTGACGAGGTTGAGGCGTTCCTGAGAAAGCAATTGCCTCCCAAGAACTAAAGTTATGGTATCGGCCTCATATAGTATAGACTTATAAACCTTTGAAAAACAGAGCACTCTCTGAGGGAAATAGAAGACAATATACAGTCTACCAACCGCCAAAGGTTTCCAAAACTTGATATCACATTATGCTACCACGAGCTGCGAAGAGGCCAATCATATCGACTGCATATGCCGCGTGCTCCATAACTGATATCGCTCATCAAAACCTCGTGATGCCAAAGGATCTCCAAAATCTCCGTATGGATGGATGGGATGCCCGCCAAATGACGTGCGCTCCACCACTGAGCGCCTCAGAACGCCCTACCGAATTGCATGATAAGGCCGGGCCACTAAGTGCCCTAACGCCTAGCGCACGCGAACCTTCTATCGGTGGGGGGATGGGCTCGAAACAACAGACCCTTGATCCTGGACCACTTCTTCTCCAACATTCGCCAACCGAAACCTTGGTAGAATCGATAACCTTGACCGTCACTCGGCAAATCCAAATTGACACATCGACTTCATTATTGTGGAAGCACACAAAGATACTCGAAGTTGTGTTGTTTGTGCGCTCTGAAGAATCAGTCTCACAAGCCGAACAACCCTGATGATCGACCGCCGAAAGTAAACAAATATGGCCTCCGAAACAACATCGCGTCCAGTGTCGCCGACACCGTCACAACTACCGCCCGTTCCGGGATCGCCAGTCTATTCTCTTGCATCGACCGCAAATCCGTTATCTCAGTATAATCTGCCTTTGCCGCCACCCCCACGATCTTCACATGCTGTCCTCACAAAAGCCGACCTGGAGCTCTCTCAGCAAGCTTACTCCGATCTTGTCGCCTCCGCAAAAGGCTACCGACTAGCACTCGCCGCATTATCAACAGCTGCATCGACATTTGGATCAGCACTTGAAGCATGCGCCAGGTTAAAGGAAGCTCGCGCCGAGCCCATCGGTCCCTCTGGGACTAATATGACAGCAAGCTTTACAACCAAGGGTTCCTGCACAGCCGATACGCTTTTGTCCGCCTCTGGAGTACACTACCTTGTTGCAAACCACCAACAGATCCTTTCTGAGACAGTATACCGATCCTTCGAAGTACCACTGCTCCACGACCTGGACAAGTGGCAGACCGTTATTGACGATGAAGAGGAGACGTATAAACAAAAGATCAAGGCACAAAGCAAAGAAATCAAACGACTGGAGAAAGAAGGGATGAAACTGCATAAACAGCGGAGACGAGACGTTGGTCGATTTAGGGCACATTTAGTTGAATTGACGACAAAATTGGACGGTTTAACGACGTTACATGCCGACCATGCACGGACGTTATTGAGGGAGAGTCAGGAGACAAGTGGAAGGATTGTCGAAGCAAGTTGCAGTCTTGTACGTGCAGAGGTAGACATATTCGAAGGTCTAGCGAGGAAAGGCTGGAGTGGAGGCGGTCTGGACGATCTTCTTGAAAAGGGTCAAGACCTATTTGCAACGGAGGAAGACATTGCAAACCTGGGCAGTGGCGGTAGCGGCGACACACCCAAGCTCTTCTCTATCCTCCCTCCTAAGAGCATACTCGCCGACACAGGATCAGATCCATCCCGGAGTCACGCTAGAGGGGACAGTCTTCTCATGGAAACGGAACGATATCAATCTCTAGCAGCACTGGCATCTGACTCTAGACCCAGCGGCGGCGTTATGAATGACAGCGACAGCGTCTTCTCAACAGACTTCAACAAACCCCGCAATGCAAGGCCGTTTTCACCACAGCCTATTCGTCGGATTCCAACAGATGTGACATATGATTCTCTAGGGGGTCGAGCAGAAGGGCTTGAAAACGGAGATGACGATTTGAACAGGTCGGAGCTACTGATGCCTGTCGTGGAAGCTGATGCAGGAGCGGAAGAGCAGCAGAACGGGGATGGCGAGCATGAAAAAGAGAATGTGCAAGAGGAGGAAACGAGGGGTCGGTCAGGATCACCAAGTTCGGTGAGAAAAAGGGCGAATTCGCAGCCACTCATCACAGACGCTAGCTCAGCAGCTGCATGGAGCGGTGATGAAGATAGAAGTCCAAGCTGAAACTGATGAAGCGGTGAAAATGACTTATCCTCGTGTTCGGGTTTCATCTACAAGGGCGTTTATACGGACATTTGGGAAATATTCTCTTCACGGAGAGGCGGCAATAGATTTGCAAGAGTACTTTGCTCTTGTTTGATAGTGTACAGAACATTATGTGGATTTTCCACCCTCGATCTATTAAGCATGTCGACTAAACCAGACACTGTCCCAATTCCATAACACGCCTGACGCCATGATCGTTATTACGCCGTGGTCAATGATCAAATTCTTCGTCTCTCGTACATTCTATCACGGCCGCTCGACGATCGTCGTCGTTTAGACGTCGACCCCTTTCGTTTGGACGCTGTTTTGAATACCTTGGGCTTCCAACGCCGACCGAACGTCCTCTAGTCGTCCTTGTCGGCATTGAGCACATCGCCACTGAACAGTCCAAAAGTAGCGTCGAGCCACCAGATAAGCTTCCAGTAAAGACTGGCCTTGCTCCAGTCAAATTCGCCGGTTTCGGTTCGCGGCACTTCGTTACCGATCATGCTGCCACCGAACCACTTCACAAAGGGAATAGCATTGACGGCCCGTTGCATCATGGTCTGTTGAGGTAGGAGAGCTTGCTCGGCGGGAAGAATGGTAGCGCGACGGGCAGTAGGGATGCGGCGGCAGAAAACGCTGTCGCCATCGTGGATCTCCATGGGCTCGATGCTTGATGTGGTAGCTTGAGGAAGAGGGAAAGGCTCAGTGATCGTATCAGTAGAAGCATGGGAATTGCTGATAGTTCCAGTATCCATGGTAAAGCTTGATGTCTGCGAATGAGGCGGAGAGAGATCAAGGAGACGGCTATTAAACGATGTAGGCCCACTGAAGCTCTTGCGACCATTTGCAGTGGGAACAGCAGCAGGCATACTTTGTGAGCGTGAATGGTCTGAGACGACCTCGATATCGGGACAAGCCTCGTCTTTGGCGGGAGGAACACCTCGGTATGGCTCAGCATAAACCAGATGACCCAGTATCCGTTGAGGGCTGGCAAAAGTAGCAGCTTCGGCAGCTTCTCTGCTTTCGAAGGTGACCTTCACCCAGTGTTCTCCGCCATCTGCGCGGTTCACCATAGCTCGCTCATCTGCTGTGAGGTTGCGACGTCGCGTAAATGCAGGGTCGCGCAACTCAGATTTGTATCGGCGTTGGCTGGCAGGAGGTTCGCGAGGGTAATCCTCCAGGATTGCACCGGCAAGGGATTCATAGTGGGAGATAGCAGCGTACTGCTGTGTTGATGATCGGTAGCCGCGAAGGATGAGCTCGACAGGTGTGGAAGTAACAGATCGCTTGACCGGAACCTCTTCCTGCATCAAACCACTGCTCTTACGCTGAACAGTTTGAGATGGCGCTGTTGCAGCCTGGTTTGAGACCCAGTCGCCAAAGAGCTTGTCTGCAGCAGCTAGTGTAGGATTTTCGCGACTGCGCGCGGGTGTTCCAGTACGCGATCGTGAGCGACGTGTGGATTTACCGAACGATCCAGACTCGGCGGCGCTGCGACGTGATCGTGCGCTTCCTTGGGGAGCATCTTGTCTATTGCGCGTTACATTAGCATTGATTCAAATGGGCAGAAAGGAAGCCATACTGGTTGAAATACATGGCATATGGTCGCTTCACACCATCATCCCCAACGTAACACTCATCGTCAGGAACGTTGTGTAGAATGAGAGGAGCCATGATGAAAGCTTTGGTGGTAGACGGAGCCGACAAAGGGCAAGGAGGGGGGTGCCGAATCGATTGGCCGTACGGATACCGTGGGAGGTACGAACCCGAGATGGTGATGTTTGTCTGCAAGAAAGGAGTTGAGGTTGATGATGGTTGGACAAGCCGCCTGTTCACATGCCCAGTAGCAGTTTCTGAAGTTGACTTCCAATTTTTGGCGGGCTAATCTGGCAGTTGCACAGGCAACCGACCACTGAACGTACCTGTGTTGGTGCAGTTGTGGGGCTGGTTTATCCGGTTCCGTGAGGACGGGAGCTTGAGCTTGCAAGCTGCAACAGCCAATTTATGTTAGGTACATGGTAGCTTCAGTCTTTGTTCTACGCCCTTTGCATTTTAGCAATTCTGATACTCAAGTTTGCTTGATTCGTTTATCATGCGTCCTTCTAAGTTTGTGTGGTCATTGTAGTCAGCGGTGATTGGTTCACGAACTTTGATTATGTTTGTGACTAGAGCTTTCTATTCGTTTGCATAAGTTCACCCAGTCTATTATACGGGCTCCAGCTTTTAATGACAACGTTCATAAATCGAATTCCAGCTCAGGTATCATAGCATAAAAGCGCAACCATGTCTCAGATCTCTCCACAATCGGCTACGTAGACAAGATATCCGCGATGAGCTGATTCAGCATCAAATTCATCCCACTTCAGCTCAGCCAGATCCACTGATGGATCTGCCAGGGCCGGCCTCTCCCGAGATGGATATTCGGATATACACTTACAACTGTAAAAGGAAGACATCTGTTCTAAGCAACCCTGGGTCGATCAGTAACTCAAGAGTTGCTGCCAAAAGTTCTCGTTGTTCAATATGACCCAATTCCTATCTTTCCGATCATTGATCGGCTTCGTCTCTATTGCCGTGGCCATGGTTGCTTTGTTTGGCGCTTCACCACTCAAAGCCTTCTCATCAACTCTGCAGAGGGCAGGCTTTGATTGGTACAACTCACAAAAGGATGCAGCATCTTCAATAAAGACAACTGTAGCAACAAAGGCGCCTGTATACTTCTTCAGCCATGGTGGTGTGAGTCTACTGAAGTCAGATCTCAACCGGATAGCTACTGACATGCTTCAAGCCTGATGTCCAATATAACACAAAGCATCCCGTGTATCCAGTCCTTCAGAAAATTGGAAGGGAAATAACACAGGAAGTTAAGCCAAAAGCCGTAGTCGTCTTCTCGGCACATTGGATGGGAGAGGAGCGCGCTATTCATGTTAACAACGCTGTAGACACTCCTCTTATCTATGAGTGCGTCACATTACCCCACGTTTCACAAAGTCTATGTTAACACTTCCAGCTTCTATGGATTCCCTGATCACTTTTATAAAGCTCAATATCCGAACAAGGGTAGCCCTGAGCTTGCTAGCAAGATTATGGTCATGCTTTCAGAAGCAGGTATCCAATCCTATGGAATGAAGCGGGGTCTTGATCATGGCGTATTTTCTGGCTTCCATGTTGGTACGTTTGTCTGAACAATGAATATCTGCATCAAAAGCTCTAACGGTTGCAGCTTTCAACCCGGAAACAAATCCTCTCAATGTGCCTTTGGTTCAAGTCTCCCTCTTCAAAAATGAAGATCCCCATGCTCACTACGCTCTCGGACGTGCTGTATCTGCACTTCGGGACGAGGGAATAGTCATCATCGGAGCCGGCATGTCAGCACACAACTTACGTGACATGCACCATATGTTCGAGGGTAACACAGAGCCACTGCCATATGTTGTGAGCTTCGATAACGCTCTCAAGGAGGCTGTGGAGGTCGATCCAGCTGTCCGAGAGGAAAAAATGGCGGCGATATGTAAGCGGGGAGATGCGAAACAAGCACACCCATTCATGGATCACCTCATGCCAGTTTTTATCGCTGCAGGCGCCGCCGGCGAAGACCGGGGAAAGCAGATATGGACTTTACATGAAGGGAGCTTCGGATGGTCGCAGTTCCGGTTTGGCAATGTTCCTTCGTCCTAACGGGCATTGTTTTTGGCGTAGTGTGTAGTTAAAGTGCAACGGCCATGATTATCGAGGCCAGCTATGAGAACACTAAGGGTTGGATACGTTATGGTGGTATCAACCAGAGACCAAGTTGGGTTCGGCGGGAGATGGCCAACTTATACCCAACAGAAAATATAGTGTTATACAGCGTCCTTCTCACCTAGTTAAATCTTTTGCTCGTCTGTGAGGCCATCCTCAGGCAGCCACGTCACATCCCAACCCACACCGCTCAGCAAAATGCATGCTTTCATTGGTGTTTTAGCCTTATCTAACCAGATTCATGCTCGTTTGTGATGAACTGCTGTTGAGTCATGAGCATGCAATATCAGGCTCTCAACAGAGTCTACTGCATTGATATACCCGCGCCTTTCACCAGATCGCCTTTGTTGTAAAACTCCACGCTCGGTAACATCTCACTCGCAACCCATCTTGCTGTCTTCGTATGAAGAGAGCCGTAACCAAAGGGCTCGTGCGTCTTTTCCTTTCTCATTCTGCCAGTACCAATATCCAGGTTTCCCATGGCATCGATTAGTGTGTCAGGTGGGGGCTCATCTGGGGCATCTCCTCGAGGGAACGAAGAGTATCCAGCACAGAGTGCTTGGAAAACGACCACTTGATCTTGAAGATGAACGTCCACTTGACCACCAACAGCCACCTCATCGTACAAACCCCGACACAGCTTTCTTGATACTTGATCTGCGAACATATCCCTGTTCTTCGTCTTCTTCGGTATTGATCCAAGCCAGTCGTACCCCCATCGGATTCCAGATATGGAATGGGCTACAAGGAGTATGTACCACCGTGAATTGAGATTCGTGTCTTCAACATGCTTGAAATGGACGTCTGCCCCAGAAAACAAGTCCTCCAAGTCCCTTGCCAGTGATGCCTGGAGTCTCTCATGTGCGCTGCCAGGTACCACCATGCTGACACTGATAGACTTGACCTCAAAGGATTCAGGATATTTGCGTTGCTCTGGGGCTCTGTATCGTAAGGGTTGTCCAATTTTCAATGGGTGAAACTTTAGGTGTATTTGGCCTCTGGACTGGGGTCCGAGGCTCCATCCACGTCGTTCCAAAGTCCTTTCAGTCTGAATACCAAATCGTTCCTCTAATGTTGGTAAAAGAACTTGGTCAAGATACTCGAAACTGAGCGAAAAGGACACATTGGATCCGCCAGATATTGAAAGTTCGACTGGCTCCTCAGAATCATTGCCTGCAAAAATCAAGAATGGGAGGACAGCTTGCAATATTAGGAGAGCACTGGCAGAACCTGACTCTGCATATATATTGATATTGCGTTGATATAGTTCTGTGGGTCCTCGTCGTGGAGCGAAGGTTATGGTCTTGGAACCTATACTTAGGCCCTCGACATCTGCATCTGTTATCTCCGCGAGGAACTGAATGCTCGTGACGTGTTGGCTCTTGAGACCTGGGGGATATCAGCTGGTGGCGTTGCAGTACATGTCTAGGCATCAATCACCTCCACGTTCTCGATTTCCTCTGACGTTGGTGATGGTGACAGCCTGTCCCGTCAAGGCAGCTATAGCTATTGCGACTCTTACAACCTGTCCGCCGCCCTCTCCTATTCTTCCGTCTAGTTTCACAGGCTTCATTTTGTCGCCTCTGTTGATACCTAGTAGGGTGGGTGATGGTGGCAAGATGAACTTGATAGGTCGAGGTTTTGTTGTGAAAGGTCAGATCAAACAGAAGATTCAAAATCTTAATGTTGTACCACCATGAAAACAGCGTGAACAACAGTCAAAGATTATCTGGCGATTATCTATATATTGTGTTGAAAGTCTTTCACCATGCAGCTGCGACTCACTAATGTGACTCATTGCCGAAGGAGCTAATATGTTCGTGGATTGATGTGTAGGCAACGAAGCTCCAGCGAAAGGTTCAGACACAGAAAAGGTTATAAATCCTCAACAATCAACTTGACCCTCGACGATCAACCAGCGGAATGCCCAGCTCGAGAATGACTGACGACAGGCGATCTGCAGTCATGAATGGACCAAGCTGAGCCCGGCTTCTCCGAAGGCGGTCTGACACGAGTTCCGGTGTTTCCTCGTGTCCAGCAAAAATATTTTGAGACACAGCTATAAATATGAAGAGCCGAACGCCCGGTTTGGTGATTCCCAGGGTATGTGTTTGCAACAAGCAAACGTAAGCGGGTACCCAAAAGAATGCAAAATGCCGGAGGCAGCTAATGATCCCGGCGGAGTGGGGCCGGCGGACCGGTGATTTCAGGCGATTACCCCGGGCTTTCACGAAGTGGCTTCACCAAGTGCGCCATTTGGTCTCGTTTATCATTTCCCCTGTTTTATCCCATTTATTTATTTCTCATGTTTCCTTCCCCGCTCTCTCCTTCTCATCCATCTCTTCGTTTCGCCCATCTCTGCTTGTGCTACTCAAGTGTTTGAGCACAAAAGACTTCAAGATGCCACTTACATTATTATTTTTTGCTGTGTTGCCTAGATCTATCTGGCTGAGCGAGATATTGATAGGGCTTACTGAACTGAAAGATGCCACTTACACAATATCGACTACACCCCACGGCCATGGCTCAGCCACAGGGATGATCTCTGTTCGTTTCCCAATGATTGGAGTTGATACATTCTTTGCCACGCCTGACTTTTACCAAGCACAGCTGGTGTGGCAGCTTGTGGCGACCTTGACCAGTTGCCATCACCAATTGGACGATGATCATTATACCCAATGGCAAGGAGGGAGAATAGTCGCAAACATTTTACACAGCCTGAATCATTTACGAACTGGTTGCGTAGACATGGCGAGCTTTCAATTTCGGGACCAGAGTCTTAAAGGCAATTGAACAGGCGTTGAGAGAAAGTGATATCATTGCAGTTTGCCTCGCATTTCAAATAGATCACCAACACAACCGAAACAAAGAAATCACCACGCTCGAACAGTCTAGGAGAAAGCCATCCCATCCCAAGCCAAGCCAAGCCAATTCCAAACGAAAGCAAACAACGCATTCCCTAATTACCCCATCATAGTCTTTATCATCCATCATAAGCATTGAAAACGTTCAGTGTCTTCGTTGCACTCCTTTTAATCTTTCATCTATCATGCAACCCGAAGCACCACGCCTGTCTGCGCTGCCTGCAATGGTTCTTTCCGGGTTATTCATATCGTAACTGCCAGCAGTGGGGGGTGCCTGCCCTTCGATCGGCGTTTACGTATGGAAACTGGAAAGACTGTTGCTTAGCAGGTACGACAAAAAAAGAGAACGAGCACAACTTACCGTGTCCTCTAGAAATCTCCAGCGTCATGTTTACTCCCCTACACCTCATTTCGCCGAGGACAAGAAGCTAGAAAGACTTATTTCACTCCTCCATATCTGTGTCATCGGAAATTTCAAGCACCATGTCGTCTTGGAGTGCGATCGAAGAAGTGTCTGGATCCAGACCAAGAAAGGCGACTCGATCCAAGACGTGGCCAACGTCACTTTGTCTTCCATTCATGCCCAGTCTGGTTCTTTCATCGATCCAAGAGCGAAACGCCTCGTCATTATGTACTTCATCGTCGTTATCGAGGGCCATCGGTTCATAGGTTTCGTCTGGCTCAGCTCCTTCCTGACCTAGACCATCATCCACAACCCACCGTCCGTAGTCAACACTGCTTCAACATTAGATTTGTCACTATCTGGATGGGAGCACATTTGACAGACCTGTCGCAGCTTCCTTGGAAGGCATGCACCTGAGAGAGTGTGGGCGCGGAGCCACCCCTGGTCTGAACATGACTCGACTGGCTGACCTTTTCGACAACACCAGGGGGATCCTGTCTCTGTCAGTATGCTCTCTGTTGAAAGAGCTGCAATGAACTTCAACTTACCCAAACCTTGGGGCCCTCATCCTCGTCCGCCGTCTGAGGGAGGCAGGGAGGGAGAGCTTGATGACCGGGCTCTTGCGTTCCTGAAAGAGGTTGGAGGACTACCCCATTACCACAGGTAGTAGGCTTATCCTGGGTCACCATTTGGAGATCCCCTTGATTATGCTCATAGGGGCGGTTACAGTTGACGCACACCCAGCGGCCCTGCTTTCCCTCGCATGCTTGCGAGCAAGTGGTGCACATCGGAGCCACGTGCTTCCCGTGAATCTCAGGGTGGGGATCCATGGTAGGAGGTATACAAGCACACTGAATGATGCCAGTACAGCCTCTGAGCTATCAATATCCTCCTTGTCTTTGATGCTGGCGGCTGTATCAGACGTTGAAAGATGCCACGCAAGACGGGAACTTCCAAGGGATGGTGTTCGAGGGGTATCGACAAGGAAGCTACAACCCAGATGCTTCCTGTTACTGGAAAGGAGTATGCAACGAGTGGCCAGAGAATTCTATTGACAGAGCGGCGTTGCTCTTGACAGAAAAGACCGGAAAGGGCTGGTGCCAGATGTGATAACACACGGGGCTCCGTTTAAGATCACGGTGCTTTTGCACGTCTTGGCACACACGCCCAGCTGTTTATTGGAACCGAAGAAGTGATTAAACGATGAAGGTTGACGATGCTAATAATGCTCAACAATATGGTTCGTTGTCAAAGTTGATGATGGTCCCGGTATCGATGGATGAGGTTTGAAAAAAGCGACGGCAAACGAGTCACTTCGTTCAACGAACTAGTAAGCTCACGACCGGGGTACAAGCTACTGTACATGTGCTGGCGCAAAGCAGAGGCAGCCCCGATCATCTCAGGAGTCTTCGAATTTTGTTGGAGGATACTCGAGAGCAGTGGAGCAACAGAAGAAGCAATCGACGTGAAGAAAAAGAAAAGGGAGCGTGCTCGTTGGTCGGCTTGGAGTGATCGAGCCGTCGTATGTCGAAGCTACCAAGTCCTCAGGCAGCATCCAACCAGATGGCGCCTCGAGTCCTTGGTACAATGACACAGGAGCCCGGGCAAGGCAGCCTGGGGGGGGGCCATCAACCGATTGGAGAGTTTCCAAACGAGATCCCATAAGTGGAAGATGCTTATGGGCGAGGCGCACAGCATGTTCTCATTCATGAGAACATTCCAGGCCTTCTTTATGGATTGAAACGAAACGAAACGAAACGAAACGGATGCGAAACAGAACAGAATGCTGAAGCCATACCTCCTGACGTGGACGTGGGATTCGCCAGTGCCATGGTAGCGACCTTGATCTGTCAACATTCGACAACAAAGACTGACCAGTGCGAAGCTGCAAAAGTCTCGCATTTCGTGCGAAGAAGCAAGAGTTTCAGGTGAAGGAACCGCAGCCGTGGACATATGGGACTACTTAACTTCTTCTCCCTTCAAGCCACTCCCCTATTCTGCATACATCGGCCCCCAGGAATACATGTTTCAGCTCGGATTCTTCATTCCCAGCTCCGGAGTTATATAGTGGTGTGAGACAGACCCTCCATGTTTATGTATTGGGGGATGATTGTCACTAAATGTCCCTCAGCCTGATTTCCAGCTATGGATGTTGGTGGCTGGCACCCTGTCAGAGCACACCTTTTGGTGCCAGGTCTCAACAGACCGTAACTTTTGTCGCACATTACCATTAGCTTACAAGGCTTTGCAGGCTGTCCGGGCATTAATGCGACAAGACTACCACTATCTCAATGCAGTTGGGGGCTTGAAGGCCTTCTTGAGAGGCTTTGCGCTATGAAAGACGACAGTGGACTGTTTAACTACGCCGCCACGGAGCTCTAATCTACAGGGGTCACATCCAACACTCTACTATGAGCGGATGCACGAGATTAAGTTGGCCAATATGGCTAGGCTCCAAGCCAGACTCAACGACGGCCATTAACTCAGCCAGCAACTTATTTATCAAAGATCATCACGATCAATGCATGTCTGTTCTTCATCACAGACAGATTGAGATAAGTGCAGCGGAATGGCGTCTCGATGATTCGCAGTTGGCTTGACTGATTCACTAGTCTCTCCATTAGCGAACAGCGTGATATGCAATAGGAAATCACTCTCTGTCAAGTGGTCAGGTTTAGCAGGTCTTGGGTGTGAAGCTGCGAACTTGCATGGAGTGTATGCACTATTTCCGGGTGCGTTGCGCTATTGTTTTCTCATGCAGCCAACATCTATTGGAGAAGTTGGATGGTGGACGAAAGACACCACCCACCCAACCTCTTACCATTAGTCTCGCGATGACCCTGGTTGTCCGAATCAATTGCATCGATTGATGAAAATATGTCTTTTAAATCATAAGACTTCTAAACAACAGGCTAGACTCCCTTGAACTCGAAAAACAATCTGATCATGAAAGCTGTTCATGCCCCTGGTGTACCAACCAGCCAAAACACCAGAATCACATAGCAAGGGTGTTTCTTCAATAAACGACAAAAAGAGCAATGCGTAAGACGGCGGACATATCAGATCGACGCAGAAACCAATAAGATAACATGTCAAATTGCCATCAGACCTCATGCTGATCCCCAGACTTCGAACTCTGTTAAATTCGAACTCCCTTTCAACGCTGTGTATGTGGCGAGCTATCGTTCTGGGCGTGATAGTAGAGGGTTCTGGGATAGCCAGGATAACTCTGACGAGTATATTGAGGATGTCGATCGCCACTCTGAGCATTTCTGGCCGGAGTGTTGGTGTCAACAGTCCTAGTGAACTGGTTGTCAAATTGTGAGATAGTGTTGGTGCCACGTCTGATACCGTTCTGCTCGGCTACATCAGTGGATGATTCGATTCGAACTTGCTGGCCGTTAACGAAGTTGGTTGTTCTTTGTCGAGGGTCATCAAGCGAGTGCTGAACCCCAGGCAAATTTACTTGGTATTGATCGCCAGGAGTATCGTTGGATCCTTGGGTATTACGACTATTCGAAATGGGTTAGCAAGTGGTCGCCGTCTTTCCAATGATTCCGCCCTCACATACCTCCCCTGGTAGGCGGGCTGAGTTGATGGAGCATAGGTATATGGCAGCTTGTCTTGGCTTGGGGCTGTGTGTTGATAGGATCGGCTCTGATACGGATGGTAGGCTGTTCCAGGATGTTGAGTTTGGAGCGGGTGTTGATGCAGCATGACATCTCGGGGTGCAATAGTCTGGCGCTGTGGTTGCGGTACTCGCTTTGAATGGCTGTGGGTTATATCCGCGTCCGGAGACGAGAACCCATTCGCATCTCTGGCGTAGCGATCTCCTGAAGAGCTCATGGTTGTTCGGCGAGGATTCTCAAGGGGAGGAGCCACTAATCGCGAAAGTATGAGAACTGTTGATAGTAAGAGGCGGCGATGGGTTTATCTGGTGGGCGATAGATTCATGAAGAAACTTTTAACTGGCAAGCATCGGATGGCGGGCATGAAAGGGGTATTAATGCGCCATCTCTCTGCTACGCGGCAAAGGGCTTGTGGCAAGCTTGGGCAAGGTTGATCAGATTGCAGAGACGAAACACTTCATGAACCCGGCTTTTTGCACCGCATCACTGCTTTTCAAGGGCCCGATACTCGTCAGGCATTGCTGCTTTGATGAAGGCTGGACGACGTAGGGTTTGCCAGCGTATTGGCTCAGCAACTTCTGCCGGTTTGCGAGGGTCGGCCACGACAACATGTGCTAGGAGAATGAAAGGGGTATTACAAGAGAGGGTCGGTTCATGTCAACTGAGGCGATACGAGAGGTTGTCATGGCATGAAAGAAACATGGTCAACCCGGGAATGGGAGTCAAGTTGCTCGCCTCGGCATCTGGTTTGCTGCTGTTGACTGGGTCTTCTGTCACGAGGCATATGCCTAGGCGGAATTTTATTGTTCAGAGGCAAAAGGCATTTATGAGATGGATCCTTGGGATGACGACATGTTCAAAATCATCAGTGTAGAGTACCTACGATGAGAAGGTTCGCATGGTGCGCACAAAGGCAGCATGTCAGCGGCAGCGGTTACTCCTGCGAGAAGGGATGACCAAGCAAACATCCTATCAAGATCCATCCGGTGTTCACCTAGTTATATACGTCGCCTGGCTGGGTTTGGTTGGGTTCAGGGAACGCAACAAACTGGTCGAAATACTCTGGTCAGGTTGCGACCCGGCATGCTTTCGGAGGCGACTGATCGGAAAAGGCTTGACTAAAAGCTTTTGGCTTGGACAAAAGCCCAAACTTCAAAGCTCAGATGAAATATCCGGATTTTCAGTTCTGCTGTTTGGTTTCGCGCAATGGGCAGGAAAAGGGTGAAAAGAAACACAATTCTGCAACGAGGGAAGACGTGGAAAGATTGGCAGCGGCTGACAACAACAACCATGTGCCTACGACATCCAAAGTAGCTGCAGTTCGGTCGATCCTTTTCCTGCTTGTGGGGAGTTCCTCGTGGATTTGTGTGTGAAATGATATGGAATGGATATCATTCGCACAACAGAACAGCATGCTCTCTTACTGATTCACTGCCTTCTTAGCCAGCTATACACAAGTAAGAGGGCAAACTAGTTTCACTCAAAACTACTGGACCTATTACTTTCGTATCTCAAGCGGTCACAGACGAACGTTATGAATTGAGGATGAGCCTGGGCAACGATTGCAGGAAGAAGGGATTCATCGCAGAAAATCTTTCGGCAACCCCGAAAATCCTAGGAAATTCCGGGGGAAGCAGAGCTAGTAGATGTAACGCTCACGGGGATTAGCAAACCCCCGATGAGGCTGAATGCAATGAGTACAATGTTGGAGGGTTGATCCTTGAGCTGTCCATTTTGCCCACAGCATCCGCTGAATGTTTCAGGCTTGATTTATCAACACAGCAACACCTTGTCAATGAAAAGGAGGGATAAAGCATACAAGACAAGTACACAATCATCTTGTATTCCTTCATGTCACTAATGGCTAGGTGAAAAAAAACCTGATGCTGTTCAAATTACCGTTACCCCGCTGTCCTTCATCCATCCTTGTAACTCATGGTGGCATTGATGTTGGTGTGCTTGACCAGCTGAACAATCCCAACATCCACGCCTGCCACGGTACCCCCATCTTTCCTCCAAAAAACTACTGCAAACTAAACTCGCATGTCACAATCGCTGCCGCATGCGCCGTTGACTATTTTTGATCACGGACACCACAATTCGCTAGTTTGCTGCAGTATTGGCCATGTTTGGATCCCTTGCATCCCAAATATCCGCATCGTGCGGTTGCACGTCCAATTACGCTATTTGCCGGGATAAGACGTGGCGTGATATCCTGTGCATCAGGTATCTCAAAAAAGAAAAAGATTGAAAGAGAGCAAGACAGGCTATTCGATGAAGTCCGTAGTTGAAGCAGTAGTCAACAGGACATTTTGGCTCCCTGTTTTCGCGTTGAGACTCTACAAAGACCATGACCACTTTACTGGTGGCAGCATGTTAGAATGTTGTCGAACAGATCGGGCTGTGAACTTACCAGAGGTTCTGCACAATGCCTTTTTGGTAGTGGTCCCTCCCCCTGTCCCCTGAATAAGCTGTATCCTGAAGCCACCAGCAGAGCTTTGTTGCCTAGGTCATTTTGGTCCCGTTCTCTTTGAAAAGATTGAGTTGTCTCCCTCCTCGTGTTCTGGGGAATACCTCCGCTGCTTTTTGAACGACCTGTGGACTGGATACGTTCGGCAGACCGAAACCTTCCCAGGGCCGATCAGCATCCCTTAACCAAGCCCATACCTGGGCTTCTTTGATACGATTCTCAGTAGAGGCGGCTGTACTCCCATTGCGAACATTGCCGGGGGAAGTGCTCGCTTGACTGTGGCCTATTGTTTCAGTGCTGTACGTGGAGGCATAGCCGCCACTGAAGGATACAGTGCGTGGCTGACCACTGTGAATTGAAGGTGTCAAGACATTCTCCCGACTACTGCGTTTGAGACCCGTTGTTTTTGGAGAATCCATGACATGTATATGGTTGCAAGAAAACAGGTTTGCATTGATCGTTGTCTTCTTCGTCCTTCATCACCAACAAACCCTCCTGGCTCCTTCTATACTCTACCACGGCATGCGGCTTAAAAACAACTTGATACCTTCAACGATCTTAGGTGCCCACATTCGTGCCCAAAGTAAGGACTGTGGCAATAGCCAGACGTACCTTGAGATCATTGTTGGGCGCCGCCGTGTGAGTGCCGCCCCTGGTTCTACTCGAGGCTGGTTCTGCAGACACTATCCAAATTAGAGGGGAGAATCATAACTGCACTGCCCTATCGCGCTGGATTAAAGTCACACTTTCGGCTTGCCGGTCTTCTCGCTCTGCCCAACAGCAGAATCGGCATGTCTCATAGAAGCTGCTAGGCAGACAATCCTTAACACCCAAGCCAAGTCTGCACAGCCAGATCGAATGGAGAATAATGTACCCATGTGTCTCTTTACTAGTTGGTGGATATCCGATTTCTGAAAGTTGATTGCTAGAAACATTATTTCGAGTACTCCGTCCCCATACAAGGATCATCACCCTTTCCCAACCATCGCTACTGCTACGACTTGCTACCCGGCATGCCCGCTTACGGGCCTTCCTGAATCGCAGACCGAATGGCTCTGTGAACACGTCTATTTCATAAACGTGGAATGGTCCTAATGGACATATTTCCATTGTGAGGGATAAGGACATGCGTCTTGCTGGTCGCTGTGCAGCATACCACCCGAACAAAAGGTGCTGCACGTACACTGCGGTTGCCTGGCTTCGTTTCTGAGCTCACGTTCAGATGTTTAGCCGACAGCCCTGTGATTGACTCCAACAAAGCCTAGCTAATAGTTTGATGAAGCTGCACGGCTTTCCTCAGCATCGCCCCCTTTTTCACCACGTCATGACGGGCGTTGCCCTTTCACGCCCACTTGCCACGACGACATGGTAAGCGACTGCAAAAGATGCCCAATACGCCGAGGGAACTCTACTCACATGCGCGGATTTCAATGTCCAGAGGTTAAGCGCAATGAACAGTCATCGAAAATATTTCAACCACTGTTTGCGCCACTGTCTGGATCAGCAGGGACCCAGGAGTGTGAGTTAGCTGGGTATCTGTACAAACACTCACTCCTTGGGCAACCACTTTGCCAAGCTTTCTACCAATCATTGGGCTCTCTAATATCTAATCACTCAAGAGGCTATCAAGGGGCGTTTCGGAATTCGGAGTCCCGGGTTCTTTTGATGCCTCTCCGAGCTGCTGAAATGAAAACGAGTTTTCTTGACTCAATTTATATTCGAGAGACAGTCAGGGAGATGAATCTAATGACGAATATCTGCATTTGGCCCGCTCGCGATCAAGTACCAGCCTTTGACGCAAATTCGCGAGGCACATATAGCAGGGCTCATCACGCTGTACCCTCATCACAAGACCATGGGTTCAAAAGTTGACAATTCTCACAAAAGTTTCACATAATGCCTAATCGAGCAGATTAGGTCTGGATTCTCGACTCGTTAAATGTGAGGCTTGCTCCCTCTGGCGCATAACGCCATTGTCGCTGACAACACATCCACCTCAACTTTCAACCGCTACATTATGGAGAAAGCATATTGTCCAATGTTGGGAAAGTCAATTTCAAATGAAGTCACTTTCATCGTCTTTTCAACCCTGATACATCTGGTGTGTCGTTGATCCGACCTCGCGATGATTGGTCGTCTAGACGCAGAGCCGCGCCAGTGGCTATCCCAGGTCCACGCAAGAAGCACTGGAGCACTGATAGAATAAGTCTGGGGTTGTTAGACGCACCACGTGGCAGACTCATAGTAGTCTAATTGCCGATAGTGACCTGGTCCTGGGGATCTACTTGCTTGTCACACGCGATTACTGGGCGTGCAATGACCGAAGAACCGATCAGCTGGCTTGTGCTTGGCGATGGAGCTCGTTTAAGTTCAAGTTATACAATCTGGAGAGGAGAAGCACCTGGTCGGGATTTGACTACGCATCCAGTTCAGGTTCAAATGTCTTCGGTTCAAAGATACATTGGGCCGCAACGAATGTACCGGCTAATCCACTATCGCCCAATGGTCCAATAACTGGTCATAGAATTCAAGTTTACGCAACCGCCCGCTGTCCTACAAGCACAACGAATGTGTGAGAACTTTATAAACAATAGTGAGGGTATCCGCAGCAATGATTCGAGCGTCCCAGAGCTCGAGGCGAACCTAGCTCCTCGTCAGCCTCACTTTTCTCGGCCTACGAACCATGTTGACCTGTCGATTTTGTTCCACATATCACATCCAATCAAGGAGAGTGTGATGGCGCTGCATTTTCTTAAACTCACATGTTATCGGTGATATGTGGACTCGAATCGTGCTCCTGATATGTTGCACAAGCGCGAGAGGGTGTGAAATCTTCAGGGACCAGGTTTCATGTGTGAAGAACTTAGTGATAGATCACGCTAGAGGAAAGTATTACATATTTGGTCATCCTGAGGAAGCTTATTGGCCGATGAATCAATATTTTGATGCCTGACAAGCTTATAGCTGCTCTGCTGGTTAACATTAGTGATGTGATGTGATGTTGATATACATGTGCAGTGCTGACATACTCAAAACTCGGTGTCTCTGCTCCCTCGAAAATAAATCGTAGTGCTATTCGCTTATGACGATTAAGTTTGCGCGGATCAAACTCAATGTTATGACCGCAGGCCTTTCTAAGCCAGTCATGAGAGGGCGATATGCAAGATGAGTTGGACCGTATTACGGCCTAACAAGCTGTTAATCTGCCTAAGGAAGACGGAGGAGGCCCGGAATGATCCACTTTTCCCGGCCGTGACACATGCGCTACGTTCCGACTCTTCGCAGTATGCAGCTTGTCTGTAGATGCCATTGTCTAATTTGTGACATCCCAATATCCCTGATACTGGAGCAGAGAATCATGGGAGTCAGTCATATAATGAGTCGGTCCAATGTGCCAGCTCATAACTCATCAGTATCAATGATCATCAACAGACAAATAAGTGCATGACGGACAGCGAGGCCATCGAACGTCGACTGTTGTTTACAAAACTCCCAGGGCACTCAATGAACAATTCTGGCGTCACGTCACAAGGTAATGAGGAAAGAGACAAACTTTAGATCAATCGTCGTAATAAAATTTATACATGATATGCAACTGAAAAGCCAGAGCACAATCTATTTACAAACAGAAAGCCATCTGCAAAGATGCAGTTTCATCGCCCTCCACTAGGGAGAAGCGAATCCGTTTTTGCTGGCCAAGAAAGGCATGAACACGTCACGGACGTATCGCATGTCACTCACGGCCCACTGCTCAGAACTCTTTCGAGCTCTTTACAGGGATCGGCGGGCAGCGCGGCGAGCACGGCGGCGCTTGGAAGAGCAGCCGGTCTTGGGGGGAGTGACGGGAGCGGAGGGGGCGTCAGTGGGAGCAGAGGCACCCTCGGAAGGTCGGACAACGGTGGCGAAGGTAGGAGTAGGGGCGGGAGCCTGAGTCTCGGAGCCAGCGTTGCCACCAGCGGGCTGGGTAGCGGCGGGAGCCTCAGCGGCAGCGGAGGTGGCGGCGGGAGCTTCAGCGGCAGCGGATGTAGCAGCAGGAGTCTCGGGGGCAGAGCCAGAGTCGGAACCAGAGCCGGAAGAGGTGCCCTTCCAGACAGCAGGGCCGGGGATGTCGTAGGTGGTGTAAGAACCGTAGAGGTTGAAGACAATGCCCTTGTCGGTGGAGGTGTAGCCCTTGTTGAAGTCGAACTTCTCATCAGGGACGGCGGAACCAGAGCCAGTGACCTCAACTTGAGCGCACGAGGGGTAGAACTGAGCACCACGGGCGGGGTTGGAGGCGTAAGCAACGTCGGACTCGTGGTGAGCAATGATCTCCTGGCGGACAATGTACTTGCCAGCCTTCAGAGCAGAGGGAAGAGTGAAGGTGGACTTGCCCTTGGCCTTGATGAGCTTGTCAACAGCCCACTCCTTGCCATCGTAACCATCCTCGGCAATCTTGGTCCAGATAGCACCAGTACCGTCGTTCTCGGTGTAGGGAGCAATGTAGGTGATGATGGGACCCTTGTGAGAGCCGTCAATGATGTCGTCGCCACGGTTGTCGTGGTACCACTCGAAGGTGAGCTCGTCACCGGAAGCAGCCTTGACGAACTTGGGGGCAGCCTTGCCACCGTTGACGTTGCAGACGAGGTCGGGGCTGGTGAGGTCCTTGACGGGAGAGTTGCTGGCGGGAGATCGGATGTAGACGTTGCGTCCATCACCCTGGTCCTCACCGTTGACCCAGAGGCCGTAGACCTGAGCGTGGGCCGAGACGGTGGTGGCCATGGCCAGAGCGGCAGCGGAAGCGGAGAAACGCATCTTGATAGATAGTTATGTTTGAGTTGGTGTTTAAAGGATTGGATGAAGCGAGAAGTCGCGGAAGTAAAAAAGTTCGAGCTTCGGTGGTTTGTTGGAAAGAATGAAGGTTTGGCACAGCCAAATTGAAAGAAAGTGAAGATAGAAAGAAGAAAGACTGATTTTGCTACGACGAGTGTGGAGAGAAAGAAAAGAAGGTATTGGGACGACGAAGTATGCCGACTTATATATCAAATCTCGAGGCCTTGAGATTAGGCCTTGGATCCATCTATTCCTGTTCCTATTCCTATTCCCATTTCTCTCCAGGGCGGAAACTACGGTCAGTCCCACCACAAGGATCAGCTCACTTCAGTTCAGTTGACTTCATCTCGTCAAGAAGCCATGCCATAACCTCAAACATGGTGTGCTGGGACCATCTCCAGCGAGTGACAGTTGAATCTAGATCAGATCAGTGAACAAATCTACCCTCAGGAGAAGGGTCCCTTGCAGTTCAGGCGTCTCGCCTTTGGTGCGTACTCCATAACGACATAGGCTTTGATAGACGGAAAAATAAAGTCACTTGCAGCAAACGCATAGCGGAAATTGAAACCCTTGGGCCTGGGCCAGGGCTGGCTTACACTACACGAGGTCTGCTGTCAAAAAAACAAGGCGTTACGCTAAACCCCTGCCAAGTTCGGTTTGAGGCTCTAGAGAACGCTGCCATGATTGGGTAGACGTCCAACGGTGAAACCTAGCCCCTTGGCACCTTTAATATCGGAGCACACCCCATTGGAGCGATCCCCCCTACGCCACCGTTCCCATCCACCGTTCAAGTCTAAAATATCCCAGGCACCGGCGAGTCTATTCTTTTGGAGAAGTAGGCGCCGGTGAACGATGGGAATTTCAATTCTCTTTTTCTCCTGTGGTCTTGGCAGATCCGCTTCCTCACCTGAAACCGTACAATTGCCATCTCCGACTGGGGGAGAATTTTGTATGTGTGGCCGACGTATTTTGATGTCTAGTTTCAAGGGGTTATCCAAGATGATAGTTTTTTCCTCGGGGAGTTGCATTCTCTTGAAACGAGTTGTTTATTTTTTACGATGTGAAGATGATATCGGACGAGAAATGTAAACGAGAGTGTTTCGAAAAGTTTGGTGTTTCTTGTCTGTCAGATCAAGACAAACATCGTACAATCAACTCGAGACGGTAAAACGCTGTGAAACGAAGAAACAGAACTTATTTGAAGAATATCGCTTAGGTTGCGTTGCGAAAATCATTGTCTATGGTTACGACGGGTATACGTGGTTATGAACTATCACAAATGATAGTCTGATTAAACTTCAAATTAACTATACACAGCATTAAGTTTTAAGCATAGAGTTCGAAGCTCGAAGGTAAACACTAAGCTTGAATAAAGGATGAACCTACCTGACAAGGGTCTGTCAGAGCTTATCTCCCAGTGCAACGTAGTCCTTGTAACCTCTCTAACACAAGCTGTTTGAGGTGCAGCGCTAAGAAAACGTTACCCTACAGATCGACAATACAACATCGGGAGAGTAGCGCCATCTGCCATTGCTACTGTAGCTACGGAGTACAGAAGGCTTGGAAGAACATTCCAGATAATATCAAAGAAATAGAAACATATTATTAAAAAAAAAAATGCAATTAGTACTGTGCGAGTAAAGCACAGAATCACTCATAGCAAGAGAAAGCAATAAAAAACAACATGGGTCATGGTACGGTAACATGTCGGTTTTTGCATCTCTAGCATTGTTTGTGTGATACACGAAGTTAATGCTGTGCAAAACAAGGTCTCACGGCCCGATAAGTCCGTCTCGATAAACGTAACTCGGAATGACGAACCGTAGAGCCGCTCTCATTAAGAACCAACCTGCCGGCTCTGTTGGTGACATCCACTCAATCTGATACATATCCCAGCATACCAAAATTAAAGTGTCACCCTAGAACTCAAGATTACATGTTCGAAGATAAGTTCAACTACAATCATATGTATTCTATTATACATATAGCTTGACTAGAAGTGTAAAGATGGATATAGCTGATGAGGTTTCCAGACTATAAATTCTGGTGATTACTGTTGTAATAGGAACATGTTGCCCGAGACTATACTAGACAGTAGCCTCATATTTCTGAAGCGAGAAAGTCTTTTCATGGAGCAACTCACCCATTACACAAAGTTTTAAACTGAGTATGCGCAGCATACAAACTTGAACTTCTCCTTCTCCTCAGTATTTTCCTTGGAACGTGACTCGACGTTCCAACTTGTATACTCTGAAGCTAGCTTTCGATAGCGACACCAACCACCAAGCCAACGCTCGCCATTCTTAAGCTTCGCTGTCCGAATGCACTCTCGACTTATTATCACTGGCCGATCGATTCTACTGTCCTCTGACTGCAACTGGTCATATGCATCATCGGAATCGTAGTCCTGAATGAAGGCATACGTACTTCTGAGACGCCTTTGCTCGCAAGGGGACGCAAGCTCGCTCATGCAATGTAACGAGCCTTGACAGCACCCCATGCATTCCCACCGTCGGCATAAACGCAGCACCCGATCTTTTCTGAGGAATTTGCCCCTGTGTACCGACGCTTCTTTGCCTCCCATCGAAAACTCCACTCGACTAGACTCCTGACATTCCAGTGGCACCGAATAACGTTGGGGTAGTGGTCTAACCATAGAGAGGGAGAACGAGACTCAGGAGGCATTTGTAAAGAAGCAGTAGCCCAGTGCACCGCACGGAGATGTGAACAGGTTTGTCGCAGACGGAGAACATCCTCTGACGCGTAAGGATCAGATAGTGCTCGTAGACGCTGATTGATCTTACTAGAAGCCCCAGCAAGTCCACCTTTGTCCTGCCTAGCAACCCATTCATGGGGTCTGAAGTAATTGGAACCTGAGAAATCCATCGTCTTGAAAGGATGCAAGCGCAGCATATTGAGACAGCCTCCATCTGGGCCACCCAGGGTGTCCAATAGAAACTGATACCTGGCCCTCATACTTTTTGTGTGGTAGCTGATATGCTCCCAGGCCAGCTCGTCAGACCATTTTAGATCGATTAAGCTTTCATGGCGGACAACTAGCATGCTGGCAGCATATGTGGCGATGTTTTTCTGGAAGTTGCGAAGTGTCTCTTCGAAATGCTTTCGCAAATAATCGGGTATTCTGTTACGAGCTGGTAACTGATAGCCTCGATGCCCATGACTCTGTACCATTTTATCGTACACAATCGTGGGCACGCTTGGGAGTCTAGCCCAGAAAACAAGAAAGTACTCATAGAGTAGGGCATCTGCGCCCGGTCCTTCAGATACTTCCTTAATGGATCTTCCAGTATCTTCGTTGCTCGGCATTCCCAGAAGTTCTTTGCTTCTCTCGTTGACTGGCCAGACTGTACACCTTCAGTGGTAAACCTGATGGTGATCTTGGCGTCTGAGTGCCACCCCTTGCGTTTCCGAACCTCTGACCTGCTGGAGATGTAGAAATAGACGTCGTCCATCTTTGCAAACATCATCATAAACGCTCCGACAAAGTAACCCCGTCTTGGAGCGCGCAGTATCACGATGATATCGTCAATATTACGCATCTTGCCAAGACGCAAAACCATGGGATCGTCCATGTCCCGGACGGCGCTCACAGCGTCGCGGACATGACCGTTCTGCTTCCAGTAGAAATCAAACTTGAGCCAAATTCCATGGTCGTATGTTGAGTCTACTAGAATCTTGAGCTTCTGAAGCTCGTTAACGTTATCAGGGAGCTGGCAGTAAGGGTAAGACCCGTCTCTGGTCTGGCGACAACATCTCAATAGTCCGTTCGCATCTCCGGTTGAAGCTGCAAAGCCCCATATCATCTCCCTCAACTCGAAGGGAAATGAAAGTAAGCGACTTATATGCATCACACTACCCATCTAGTTGACGGAGTGAGTATATTCGCAGGTGTTGAGGAGCGAAACAGAGCCTAGAGGGTTTTAGTAACAAGAAGACTGCCCCTTACTTATAGTATATATTGACTTTTACTTCTCGTGGACGCAGATGACTCATTCTGAGAGAGTTTTGAATGAACACAATAGTTTTTGAGCACTCAAGCTTTTGTTTATACACTTCTGGGAATATATTCACAGCTGGAATCCCTCACTATTGCCACTACATTAAGTTGAGGATGCGCACAATCCATCCGTGAGATTGACAGCACGCCCCAACTCTGATTCTGATAATACAATCACCCACCACACGCCATTCTTATGAACTTCACTCGGGAATATTGAGTACCATAAACAGTATCACAAGAGATAAATGTACTAACATTTCTCTAAGTTATGATATTGTTACCCTTAAATTGCTTCAAGTTAGTCATCAGCGGAGAGTGCCTTAATTGTAGTACGTCTATTCCTGATGCCTCTGTATGACTAGATCACAACTCATAGCTCATCCCTCTAAAGCCCTCAGTTCTTCATAAGCAGGTATCCTCCAGGTCCCTCTATCCTCCGGTAGCATAGCGAGAATCGCCTTATCAATCTTAAGCTTGGTGATAAGCCCAATGATCGAGTACTGCAATTTGATCCCAAAGTTCGTCTTCGGATATGCAATACCAGGGATGAACGACGGCAGTTTCTGAGACTTCTCAACATACGGCCTCAACGTATCTTCATATGCTTTTAGAGCCCTGGGTATATCATGTCCATGTCTCGCAATTTCTCCGCTGAGAACACAGGCTCCTATCAATGCGAGTGTAGTTCCCACACCCGTCAGTGGAGATGGCGCATATCCTGCGTCACCCAGTAGAACAACTCTCCCTCTAGACCATGCTTTAGTCTTAATTTGTACAATAGACTGCGCGTAAAAGTCTTCGGTCTCAAGCATAGCCTTGATGAGTCTCGGAGCCTGCCATCCTGCATCCTTAAAAATCTCCGCAAAAAGCTTCTTCTGGGCATCGACGTCCTGACGCATCACCTCTTTCAGCTCTTCCACATGAGACATAGTCATGAGATAGGCCTGGCCTCTGCTTTTCGAGTGCCAACGCGTTGAGATCACGCGGCGGCCTGGGGCGCTGTATACAGTAGCAAGGTTTTTATCGCGTGCTTCCCGTGGCAGATTGTAGTAGCATCCATTCAGATTGAGATCACGCACATGAACTGCTTCAGGATCATCGGCGAATAAGTTTCGTCGGACTCTCGAGCCTTGACCGTCTGCGGCGATGACAAGATCGTAGCTCTCACCAGCTCCATCCGAAAATCCGACGTTAACCTTATCGCCAACATTCTCAAAACTCCCAATCGAAGTTCCAAAGCGATATTGGGCTCTTTCCCTCGTCGACTCGTATATGATCTTGCATAAATCCCCTCTCATGACTTCGAATTCACTCGTGAACGACTGTCTCCCTTTCCCCGAATCATTCCTTTCAAGCAGAGCCTTTTGCTTCCCTTGTGAATCAACCCATTGCAAGCCATCTTCATCAACCGCTTTATTTCGGATTTCTTCAAGAATTCCCATGCGCTTCGCAGCTTCGATACCTTGGCCGCGAATGTCAATCTGTTGACCTCCAGTGCGTAATGAGGGGAATCTTTCTATGATGGTGCAGGAATGGCCGAGACGGGAGAGCCAGAAGGCAGCTGAAGGACCAGCAATACCACCGCCTGAGATAAGAATTCGAAGTTTCGACATTTAGAAACACACTGGGCCTAATGGCAAATTATATCAGTCGAAATGCAGTGCATGAATGCTCGCTAAGATGTTTGCTGTGAACGCGCTAATAGATAAATGAGTCGTGAAAGACCCTGGAATTTACAACTAACGTCGAGTGTGGTCAAGACAATCAGGGTCTTTCTTCGCAAATGACTGCTTCGTCGAATTTCCAGCAGGAAATGTAGGTGTCATTGACTTCGGGGATTAAATCCTGGGCTAGCCTAGCAACCCAGGAATAAGATGGGACCAGTGTCTGTGCTGAGATTAGAATAGTTGAGATCTTGAGAACAGGTGGATTCAAGCCTACTGTGAAGACAAAGTTTGATAGTAGCATGCCGTATTATCACAAAACTTAAGGACATAATGCAACAACATCAGAACAGCGATGTGACGTCTTGGGTTTCTGTTGAGTACCAAAGTCTATCACAGGAGTGCTCTCTCAGATTTGTCTGATAAGTAGGCACAAACGCACAGTTCTCTACTTCAATTGATAGATCTACCTGGATTTCCGTGAACCGTTCAATGTATCTGTCATGCCCACATGGTTCGAATAAACGCCCAGTTCTAACACAGCTCCATCATTTCGACCCAGACGCATCCGTTTTCTTCGACTGCACAGCATCATCCACAGTGGGCGGAGCAGGAATATCGACACCTTCAACACGATATTCAAGACCCGGGTAGGCATCGCTAACAACAAGAACGTCAAACTTGCGGGCCTGGCCTGCCTGAGCGGGAGGGAGCTTGATGGTTGTCTTCGCCGTAGGTCGACCACCAGCCTCGAGCTTGCGATTGGGGTTCGTGGTCCAACCCACACGCTTCACTGCAATGACTTCGTCGCGTGTTATATCAGCCACGATAACGAACCACGATTCTGTTTGTGGCTTGGGGAACTTGGGTGCGTAGATGCGAGCCTCGCGCTCGACAAGCTGGTTGAGGCGCTTAAGACCAATGGTCACTGAGAGTGCCGTGGCTGCAGCAATAGATACCTCAACGTTAGGCAGGATAGATACAGCACGAGCGAAACGGTTGTGCTGGCTCGCAGGTACACCAAGCTTCTTAGCAAGTTGCATCGCCTGAGGTCTAGTCAGCGCGCTGATCTTAGCAATTGGCGTATCGTTCTTGACGTCGGGCTCGACCGTAGGTAGGATGGAAACTGGTGCATCAGTAGGCCAACGAGCCGACTTGATCGACTGTAGAAGGGCCATCATTTGCAGGCAACTGGATAGATAACCAAGCTCGGTGAGAACATCGATGGATGCCTGTATAACACGGATAGCCTGATCAAGAACACTCGTCTGATCACCAACATAATCAGTGATTGGAAGGTCTATCTGAGACATATGTGCCTGGAGAAGTAGGAAAGCCTTCACATGGGGATCCCACATAGGCAGCCCAAAGGCGTGGCCAGGGAACGGCAAGTTGTCCGAAAGTGTGTTGTTAATGAGATCTTCATTATGGCGCACGGGGAGTTCGTCGTACTCGGTAGCGCGGGACATCCATGACAAGACGTCGAGGAATGAGGCTTGAGCTTTCGCGTGCTTGACAAGGTGACGGATCGTCTTGTGCGAGAGATAGTAGTAACTCATGATCTTGCCAAGAGGTGTGGGATCAACGTCGCCATTGGGGAACACCTCGACACATTTCGAGTCAGCAAGTTCGTTGAGTGACTTGCTAACCATCTCAATCATGTATTCATTAGCAAGCTGCTGAGCAGCGATGCTATTATGCTCCTCAGCAGAAATCTCGAGTCCGTAGTATGACGGATTCTTGTGCAGTCGTCGGAAGAAGAATGTCCATGTAAGATAGTCGAGTGCGTCCTGTTTGGTAACAATGGTCTCGGCCGAGACTTCGGCGCAAAGATGGTTATCCAAAACAGTGTGAAGCGAAGACTCCACTGGGAAGCCAGTATGGAGGAAGTGCTTGTAGAAGTCCTTCTTGGAATCCTGCGTAAAGATACGTGCAACTCCTGAGTTGTCAAACTGAGGACGACCTGCACGTCCAAGCATTTGCAGCACATCAGTCAAGTCCATGTCTTTGTATGCTTCAATCTTGGCATCGAAGAATTGTGTGCCTTTGACCACAACCAGATGAGCAGGCAAGTTGACACCCCAGGCGAGAGTACTAGTAGCGACCAGGATCTGTATCTTGTTGTTCAAGAACAGCTCTTCAGCAAGTTGGCGATCTGACTCAACTAGGCCAGCATGATGCAGACCAATTCCAAAGTTGATAGCCTCCTTCAGAGCGTCGTCCTTGACTCGAGCAAGGTTAAGCTGCAAATCATCTTCGTCCATGTGAAGGAATCGACGAGGGTTATCTTCCATACCGCAAAAGTTGATGAGATCCTTGGCAGTCAGACGAGTCTGTCGTCGAGAGGGAACGAAAACAATGACAGGCTTGTCAGGACTGTGATTCTTAACAGCCAAGAAGGTGGGACGATTCATAGACTGCATCAAGGGACAGAATCCCCTGACTTCTGGGAAGCCATCAATGTACAGCTCCAAAGGAACCGGTCGAACCGAGTGCTTGAAGTTGAAAAGACCTTCTTTGACACCTAACCAGTTACCCAGGTCTGTCGCATTGGCGCAAGCAGTTGACATGCCCAGGAGACGAACGGCATTCTTGGTCGAGGAAGCAATGTAGTTCATACGGGACACGATGATTTCGAGGATAGGACCACGATCTCCAGCCAGAAGATGAATCTCATCGATGATGACCAGACTCACCTGTCGGACGTATCCTCTTGTCTGCCAGGAACGAGAGATACCGTCCCACTTCTCAGGCGTAGTGATGATGATATCAGCGTCCTGGATAGTTCTAGTATCAGGAGTATTGTCACCCGTCAACTCCACCAACTTCAAGCCCAGTGGTCGCGCCAATCTAGCTCCCCAGTCTTTGACTCGCTCACGGACAAGTGCCTTCATTGGCGCAATGTAAACAACCTTAGACTTTGGTCTCTCACGGAAAGCCCACCACATGGCAAGCTCAGCAGCAACAGTCTTGCCGCTACCAGTGGGTGATCCAAGAAGCACATTGGCAGGTGTATGGTAAAGCGTATGGAAGATTTGCGTTTGCATGGGGTTGAAGAACTCAAAGCGCTGAGCATAGAGTTCTTCAAGTGCAGGGTTCTTGAGAGCCGAGATGGGTAGTGGTTGAAGATTCAAGAGGTCAGTATAGACACTTTCAGTGTCTGGACGAATGAGATGCTGGAAAGAGACTGGCGTGACCGTCTCAGCTCCCAGCCATCTGTCTGAGACGGCTCGGACGTATATCTGACTAGGCAAGGGGTCTGAAAGGGGAATTGTGAAGTTAAGCTCATGGTCATCATGCAACTTTCTTCTGTTAAGGATGAAGAACTCATGATGGTAGATCTCCGAAGTTTCAGAGTTCTCAACCCAAATGTAGAATGACTCGGAAGTTCCGTGAATCTGGTCATGCCATCGGAAATCGGGGATAACATAGAGCTTGATACGCAACACATCTCGGTTCAGAGGAGCAATTTCAGCCTCAACATGAACGGTGGGGAAGTTGTTCAGAATCTTGGCGATGTTTTTGCCGGCGCTCTGGTTGTGAATCAGACCCCCAATCTCTGCAGGTTCCATGTCTTTCATTGTCTCGATTGTCAAGTTCTCTTTGGCGTCGAGCTGGTTGAGGACTGACTTTGCGAGGTCAAACTGATGAAGGGGATGCTGGTATGGCCAGATGCGCTTCTCAATCGACTTTGCCAGCGTTAGAAGCACGAGGCACTGGTGACCCCATCGGCGATTGAGGGCAAGCATGAAGAGTGCTCGACAAATACGTCCAGACTGTTGAGCAACGTAGTTCATGTCGTTTGAAAGGGCAAAATCTTCCGGCTGCGCTTTCGAGATGTAAGACTGCAGCAAAATATTTGTTTTTGCCTGAGGGGTGTCGATACCACCATCAACATCGCATGGAATGATCTCTCGACGCAGATGAGTCAACTCCTTCTCCTCACTATCTCTGGATTGGATGTTGTCAAACTCTCCACTCATACTGATCATCTTCAAAATATCGGCCTCTGTGGCCTGAGGTTGCATCATGGCGTTGAAAACCTGGATACTTGTGTGGAGGATATAGTATTGGCTGGCAATTCTTCCGATATCCTTGCTGCGTAGCTCGTCTGTCCTTTCGTTGTAGATGATCATCTGGCACTGCTGTAAGGTCTTGGCAGCCTGAATAGCAAGCTGACGACGTCTTTGAACCAGGTTTGGATCGTCGCGAATTTCTGACCATTCAATGCCGTAAGACATTGGACTTCTTTGCATGCGCACGAAGAGGTACGAGTATCCGATCCATTGAACGGCATCCGGGATAGAAGTGACAGTTCCGAGTGCGATCTCGGCATTTAGATTGTCAACCAGCTTCGTAGAGAATTTGGATTCAATAGGCTGTTGCTCCGTCACAGCAGTCAGATAATGGGTGAGCTTGTCGTGGGTTGTGCAAATCATGCCGATACCAGTATCTTCGAATTGAGGACGACCAGCACGACCAAAGATCTGCAGCACATCAAGAATTCCCAGATCAACAAACTTACCATCCTGAGCGCTATAAACCTGAGTCCCCTTGATTACGACTGCTGCAGCAGGCAAGTTGACACCCCACGCTAGAGTAGCGGTACAACAGAGGACCTTCAGGACACCCTCTCCGAAAAGTCTCTCCATCAAGTTTCGGTCAGATCTTGCCATACCAGCGTGGTGAACTCCAATGCCCTTGGATAAGAGTTCACGAATCTCTTTGGACTTGGACTGCTTAATATCACGCGAAGCTTGGTCAAATCCAGGATGATAGCTGGGGTCAAGGAGATCTGCACACATGGCGTCGATGGCTTTCTGGTGTAACATTCGTGCTGTAAGTTGCGTATCTCTTCGTGAGTGAACAAACACCATGACTTGGTGATCGCGCTCAAGCATCTCTTTGACTTTGTCGAAAGCGACCTGATCAAGGTTCTCTTTCGATTGTTTTGTTCCCGCCTTTCCTTTGACGCCGATAAAATGTTGTTCCAAAGGAACAGGGCGGAAGGACGAGTCGAAGTAGAACAGACCTGCATATTTGTTGACTTTTAGGAAATCGGCGACATCGACGTAATTGGGCAGTGTGGCACTGAGACCAACAATTCGAATGAGAGACTGCGTGCTCTCAACCTGCCGTTCTGTTCGGGCCACAAGGGATTCTAGGACAGCACCTCTCTCATCATGAAGCATATGTACCTCATCGATGATGAGAAGACGGACCTTTTGAACAAGTTCCGTGTCTCCAGTGCCCTTGCGTGTGACGACATCCCATTTCTCAGGGGTTGTAACGATAATTTGAGTCTGAATGATTTCAGACTTCGTGAGCTGCATATCTCCAGTGTACTCTCGACATTTGATACCAAGCCAAGCTAAGCGCTTGCCTAGCTTTTCTGTAACTTCAGCAGCAAGAGCCTTCATAGGAGCAACATAGACGATTTTGAAGTCATCGGCATTGACTGCGAATTCGGTGGCTGATGGGTCTTCGAAGGGGTTAGGCTCAACGTTCTGGGCAATTGTTTGAAGAATGGTAAGCATAGCAGCATCCGTTTTACCCTGGTCATATTAGTACTTGAGAGTAAATGTTGGTATAAGTTGACTCACAGCACCAGTAGGAGCGCAGATCAACATGTTCTCACTAGTCTTATGGGCAACAGGATAGACAAGACTCTGCATGCGGTTAAGTGTCTTGTAGCCTTTGAACGTATTTCGACACAACCCATTGAGTTCCTTGATGGGAATAAGCCGCTGTCCAGGGCCCAGGGCACCCTTCTTGCCAGCGGGAATAAAGTACTCCTCGTACTTGTCAAACGATAACCGCTCACTACCAACTGGCAGTCCGTATTTTTTGCCGGCGTAGCTCAGGGTGTTTCCAGCGCTGTATGCTTTATAGACATGTGGATACTGGGGTTCCTTTGAATGTGCCGGTGCAAGAGTTGCAGATTTGTGTGCTTGATCTTGGCGACGTAGGTTTTCTTCTCTCTGAGCCTTGGTCAGGAGTCGAGGTCCGCTGGAGCTCCCCTGACCCTGACTATTGACAGCAGAAACAATTTCATTTCTGTGACCCAGTATCTCGATGATGAAGTCAAGATCATCAAAGCCTACCAAGTCAGTAAGCTGGATCTGAAGTTCATCATCAGAGCGATCAGAGTTGAGGACACTCATGATTTGGCTCTCAAACACATCAGCAGAGAGGCCATTCTTCGCTGCGATGGCTGAGCATCTAATCGCAAACCATTCTGCACTGTAATCTGCAACAGCTGGTCCATCCAGAGCTTCCCCGTCGACGAAGTCACTGCTTAAGGCTTCTTGGTCGTCATCCGATATGAAGTCCCAGACATCCTGGCCGCTGTTTCCACTAGAATAACCACCAAATTCGTCATCGTCAAGATCATCTTCCACTGATCCATTCTCTTGGGGAATTTTGAGGTTGGCGATAGCTTCTTGCATAGCCGCAAATTGTTCGCGCCATCGTGCCTCTGCGGCACTAAGTTGCGAGGATGCCATGATGTAATCGATATTATCCAGATGGTTTTTGTTACGTGTTGCCTGATGGGAAAGTCTTCTGATGCTGTGTGAACACAGGAGTGTAAGGGAAAAGAGTCGTTATTTTGCTGCCTGTAGTTGTGGCAGCCAACGTCCTTTTGACGTTGTCTTTGATCAAAAAGGATTGGTTTATGACGGTGGATTGCTTGTTCTTCAAAGAGTCATACCGCTCTGGGCCGCAACAAATACCCCACTAAACAAGCCCCCGCCTAGCCGCCAGCGAGCTTGTAATGCTTACAGCCACTAAACTGCCCTTGGAAATTCAGCGGCCTAGTCGAAGAGCCCGTCTGCGTCGTGGGGAACATGTGACGCCCCTAGACTCAGTCCTAGTTACGGTGACGGAGGGTTACAACATTCAACCAAACTTCAAATCCTCCCTCTCCTTCAACTCTCTCTCTCTCTAATCCTCCAATCCTCCCCTTCCGCTGTCGCCCTACTACGCGCCTCGCCCTCGATTTACAACCGCCACTTCTCACAAACGTGATCCCGCAATCATGAAACTGCATTACATCGGCGTACGCTGTCCCTGTGCCCCTCACCGACCGATCGAGACCTCCGTCCAGTTGGGCTAACAAAGCTGCTGCGGCCAGATCCTTCGCAACGAGAGCCAACCGGCTCATGAGATCGTCGCTGAGAAGGAGCTCAGCAGCTACTCGCGATTCACCCGCAACAAGTCAGTCCTACCCTATCATTGCGATTGCTATCTCCGTATCCGGACGGTCCATGGACTGACTCGCAAACTTGAAACAGCTATGGCGAATTCATGACCCTATTCGCAAAGACCGTTGCCGAGCGCACCCGCCCTGGACAGCGACAGGATGTCGAGGAGCAAGGTATACACGATGCGGTTCCCTCAAGAAATCGCAAGCTTACATGCGCATTCTACAGACTACACTTTTCACGCCTACGGCCGAACCGAGGGTGTCTGCGGTATCATTATCTCCGATCACCAGTACCCTGCCCTCGTTGCACATCAACTTCTTAGCAAGGTCGTCGACGAGTTTCTCTCCAAGAACCCCCGCTCCAGCTGGGCCACCGGTACACCCACTCTCTCCATGCCCGAGCTGAAGGAGTACCTCACAAAGTACCAGGACCCCCAGCAGGCCGATAGCATCCTCAAGATCCAGAAGGAGCTTGACGAGACTAAAATTGTTCTCCACAAGACCATCGAGAGTGTGCTACAGCGTGGAGAGAAGATCGACGATCTAGTGGCTAAGAGTGACGGTCTAAGCGCCCAAAGCAAGATGTTTTACCGTATGTCGCTGTTCATTCCAAATTTCTCTTCATCGGAAAACAACTGACCTATCCTGCAGAGCAAGCCAAGAAGCAGAACTCGTGCTGTGTTTTGATGTAATGGATCATTTCGTTTTTCCGGCGTTGGACCTGGCTTCATTTCAGCATATAAGGGATGTCGGTATTGAGATTGGTTATTCGTGCGGCGCAGATACTTCCAATCGTTTTGCCCATCATTCATTCGCAGGGCCATGTCTTTACAGCAGCTAGACTTGTCGAAGAGGGGGAGGAGAATCTTATCGCAAACAGTACGATCAAAGGCAAATGGGTGCCAAATGGGTATCATTCTTTTTGACATATAAAAAAGTCCATAAATTGGACAAGTGTGAAATGCTCACTTATCACCAAACCTAATCTGATCGAAAAATACATGAAGAAGAATAAAACCTGAGTACTTTGACTCAGGTTGCTTGAAAGAAAAGACAACCCCTTTGCTTTTTGAAGAAGAAGAAACTCCAACGAGATGCTCCAAGGACGAGTCTGCTGTCTCGTGTCTTGCCCATTCATGCTTCTCTGGCGCCTTGCTGTAAATCCGTAATCCATAATGTCCAAACATATCCGTCACTGAAAGCGTAGTATACAAAGGAGACAAACGTATAGGAGGGGAAGATACCCTCTGTGGTGTGTACAAGACGGCTCAAACCAGTTGAGTCCGCCGTGGTGAGATGCTGCCAGAGCATCATGAAAAGGGTATTGTAGAAATCGTGACAGAGATATAAAATGAAGCCGAATTGGCGATCTGGTTATTCGTCGTGAAATGCGAGTTTTAAGATTCCTCAAGAATTACTCTCTCACTCTTGCGGTGCATTTGGTAAGCATCAGGAGAGTGTGTCAACTCCCTTGGGTGCACCAAGGTAGGGGTGGATGACTTGGTCTCAGCGAGACGCTCATCCTTCTCGATGGGGATGTAACCCGGTCCGCTAGGGCTGCCGTTGCCTCGATGTCTCAAGCTGGGGTTGCTCTTTAGCGGGTGCAGCATCTTGCGTTGCTGGTGCGAGACGCTGATCTGGCGAGCAATGGAGATCTCAACAGCGTTGCGCAAAGCTTCTTGAGCATCAGCCTCGGGAGCTTGCTTCTTGGGCGAAGCCAGTGATGACGATGGAGAGAATCGCCTCGAGGTTTCGGCGCCGGAGGATGTGATAGAAGCTGGGGGCGAGACCATATGCCATGAAGGTTCCGAAAGAGAAGAGAGTCTTCCCTTAGCTACCTGAACGTCTTTCTCGTCGTCTGTATGCTCAGGAGATTCCGGAACCGCGCCTGGTGAGGGGGTAAACGGAGACGAATGCTTGGAGTGAGTGTTGGGCGAGATAATAGGCACAGGAGGCGAGGCCTGTTTTGCGGAAGTAACGCTAATCTTCTCCGTAGACGCAGCACTGGGACGTCTGTTGAACTTGGAGACAAGAGCAGGTTGATAATGTGTAGCTTGCGCTGCGAACTTGTTCTGCTGAGATTCTGACCGCGAAACTTGGGCGACTCTTGGTGTGACTGCCTCGGAGGACTCCTCTGAATGATAATATGATGAGTCCAATAGAGCCGGAGATGTGTTGGCTCGGAACCTAGGTGAAGGCAGAGGCTTTGATTTATCTTGAGAACCAAAAGTTGGTGAGGGTTGTGGCGAAGTTGCTCTCCGTGGCCGAAGAGACTCGTCTCGATTCTCGGCGATTGCGTCCTTCACAGACTTCAGATGATCGAGAGTAGCTTGTCGTCGAGCAAGAAGTGAGGAGGCCGACCCCTGCGGTGGCTGTAGAACGCTGTTAAACATGACACTGTATCGATCCATCTTGATGCTAGGAATCTCAATATCAAGCAGAGAGTGAGGGATAGCAGGCATCGGAGGCGGGGATGAGGGCGGCGGTGCAATTGCTTTTTCTGATCTCTTCTTGCTAGAGTCACCTCGAAGGCCTCTCAACGACATTTTGCGGCCTATACCTCCTGAGCCCGGGTCCTTGAGCTTCGCTTCCTTTGATGCCTTTCGCTGAAGAGTAGGCTTCTCCTTTGTTAGTTTTCCTGGCGAAATAGGTTTCACCTCCGCCGACGTTGGTACCGACCGGGGCACTTCAGCAATCGTCTCGGCGGGTTCTGATATAATTGGTTCAGTTTGAGATCGAATGACGATAGGTTTATGCTTTGGCATTTTTCGTGAACTCTGATCTGCTGGTGCTGAAGTCGGCATTCCAGAAGAACTTAATGACGTGGTAGAAGTATTGACACTCTCCGTCATAGATCGTTGAGGCTTCTCTGGCCGTGTGGTTCGCTTCGATTTTGATCGAAAAAGACCCCATTTACGAGCCTTCTGCTGAGTGTCTTCGACAGGCTCTGGCACAGGCTCTGGCATCGGCTCCGGGATGTCGACGACAGCATTCATGGCTCTGTTCTGTGGGTTCCAGGGCGCCGGCGCAAGGTCTCCCATTTGTGTTGGACTTCCTATTGCCATACCAACAGCAATGACACCAGTCTCACCAGAATCTATCATAGAATCCGGAGTTGAAGTTCGCACCCAAGTCGTTCTCGTCAGTGACGAGGTTCGCGGGCTGTGTTCGGGGGATGGAAGTCGGCCATGGATCGGTATATGAAACGCCGTCACGCTGCCCTTCTTTGAACTCTTAAGAATGAGTGCAAGATCGTCTCTGGAAACCCGCTTGTCGAATGAATGTTTGGAAAGAGGATGGCTGTCTGTCCAGTCGGCGGTGAAGCTTCCTCTACGACGTTGATATCCGGAGGCAGCCGATACAGTAGCAGCTCGTGACAGATTTGTAGTCATGACTGAAATCTGTCTCGCGACCGCGCGAGGGGTCCGTTTTGTAAAGCGTCTAGAATAGATTGACACACAAACAGTGGGTGAAGCAAAGCAAAGCCCAATGCAGCGCGGGGGCGAGATCTATGCTTGGATTTTGAGGATAAAAGGCCTTTGTTTTGACTGATTAGTTCCCTGCATCGACAGGGTCTGACACAGAAGACGGTTCACTAAGGACCGACTTTCTCAGGGACCAGGATCCTCTTAAACAAAGCCTGCGATGATTTTGGACAAGAACTGACCCTCGTCTCACAGGGACCACCCCGCCTTTCACGGAAGCCTATCGTATGAAGCCGTTGATGAAAATCGAGACGAATGCGGTTAAACGGCCGGCAACAAGCAGGGAACTGGGTCCAAGATGACGATGGAGTGCAAGGGTGGAATGTAATAAGCGCAAGAGCAATTTCGATGTCCAAGAGCCGATCCCCGGATTGGTTGCCACGCCTAAGATGAAGCAAAATGAGATGTATGCAAGCGGACATGAGAGAGAAGAAACGTCAGCTTATCATCTGTCCAACGACAGAGATTTTGAAGAGACACCCCATTTTGACATTGACAGGGATCGGTCTTGGGAAACAAGCTAAGAGGCTTTGGTCAATGTTTGAGATTGATGGGACGACGGTTCCTGAATGTTGACTCTGAAATCTTTAACGCCCGATGGCATTGATTGCTTCAACTTTCCCTGCAACGGCTGCTACGGCCAAGGAGCTACGCTGACTAGGGGGTCCCTGTCGAGAGCATATCAAGGAGTGGGCCCTTGGGGTTCTAAGAGGCCCCAGTGTCGTGTGTCAGAGTCGCCAAACCTGGAGGTTCATTTAATGCCTTGAGAGATATAATCATGCGGTTCGTTGGTTGTCCAGTTGAGGTATCACTGCTTGTGGCGCTTTTTAGAAACTATCTTAGCCGCCGCAACGCAACGTACGAGAGTGGTGATAATAGAGGCGCTGGCTATAATAATAGCAACGAGGCTCTATAAGCCTTAAGATAGGTACAAAAAAATATGTCTCAGTCGGCGAACGCGGCAATCTACGCGGTTGCTAGGATCCTCAACGCTGATCCCGATGACACACGCAACCCATTTACACGGACTTACAGCCAAGGCTGGTAACTTCTGTAACAACAAGACTCACAGACATAATGTGACAGCGATTCATGTGGACGATCCTGAGAACTGAATCGTAGTCACCTGTCAACGAGGGATGAAAAGGGTTCTGATCCCTGTGAGTGTTCGTTGTCAAGAAAGTTAAACAGCTAAGCTGTATGAACACGGCACTGCAACCTTCCTCCCAGTCAACGAACACTGGAAGGGTCTCGTGTACGATACCTCATTTACTGCGCCGTACTGCTTTAACGGCACTTGCATGATGCTCGAGTATGGGGCATGCGCTGAGCTGGTTTTTTAGATTAGAGGAACAAGACGCGGAGTATCCCAAACAATATCCACCCTGTCACAGCCCTTTATGAAACACAAGCTTTTGAAAACTACTGCAGGCAAACCTCCACTGCAAAAGCATGCAACCACCCATCAGAAGACAGATAACCATAGCAGTGGGCAATTAAGTGGCTGGCCCGTCTTCTAGAATTTTCAGGTGGCGGCACGGAACTTGAACTTAAGTTGCGCGCGGCTCGTAGGCTGGCCATTGGCCTCACCCGTCGCGGCTGTCCAACGTCCTTCATCTCACTTAGACACAACGGGAGGATTCAATTGGCATCCGATCCATACAATTAACAGTAGGGCTGGTTGTCGAGCTGAGTCTGGACCGTGCTCAGTAACATCGGCTGGATGGATGTATGTGCCCAGAAGGGGAAGTTGAGCATATAAGGCTTCCGTTGTGAGTGATTGGATCGTCACCGAACAATAAGCGATACAGCCGTAAGAAAGGTGGAATAAAATAAAATAAACCTCAGGGGTTTTTTTGCCCATTCAACTCGCCGTTTCATGTCGTGGCTAGGGTCTCTTCAACTCGTCTCAGATTACCAATTTCCAGTTGTAGCACAACCAGCACGGGCCAAAGAGAAAACCAGGCTCACATACCCTAGAGAAGACAATGTCTAAGTTCGTAGCACCCGACTGTTTCCTAGAAGTCGTCTGAGCATGTCCGGAGGAGTTCCATTTGAAGCTTCAGAGTGCCGTTGATGAAGGAGAACGGCGACGTCTGTTTCACTACGGGCAACATCGGCTCCATAGAGTTATCGGTAATGCTATTGTTCTTAATAAGTCTCTTAAGACATGAAACACCAAGGGTATTGGAGCTTGGGTATCACCCAGAAGCTTTGTCGACGAGCTGTTGCTGAGTCAGTTAAAAGTCTCTTGAACCAATATCCGGCCTGTGCTTCGCTTAGAGTTCGACTCTCGTAGGCCTCATTTCAAAGTTTGCTGGTTTTACTAGAAGCGTTTGAATAACCGAGATAAAACTCTGAACTCTGAACTTCGGCTACAAAATGCCTGTTTGATGATGAAAGCTGGCAATTTTGACCAGACTAAGTGACCTGGTGCTGTCAAACGGCCCTTTATTCTCAGAAACATTTAAGGACATTATTTGATGTTTTCTCTAATATGGTCGTGGTCGACGTAACAAATAAATCTGGCCTCTACCTAATGGAGACAGATAGCGTTAAGCTTAAGCTCATTGACTCAACAATCAATGTTCGAGAATCAGAACCTCCATGTTTGACGGGAGTTGATCTGGTCGATCTCTAAACATTGTCAGCGCTACCGAAAGCTACCTTCACCATACGACGACTAAACCGAATATGAAACATTCGAGGAACTCTCAATTGCCAGCGCCTAAGTAGGCGTTAAGAATAACTACAATTAGATACTCTTGCGATATTAGTTCTTGGTGTTTGCACTCGTCTTCTAGGTAGTTCCTAGAAGCGAACATGGACCAAGGGCAAACCACCCTTGGCGGATATTGCCGTCTGTAGTAGCAGCGGGCCGTCTAGAGTCGTTTCCCGTAGCTCCAACGCCAGCTCAAGCTCTCTAGTGACGTCGAAAGTTGAATAGCTTCCTCAGCCAGGTATAGGTTAAGTTGAAAGGTCTGCAATCTTTTCCTGCTGAGTCAACAGCCTCTGCGTGCCTGGGTCGAACGTCACACAGGCAAGTGATCTCGGAATGCAGAAAAATGCGTGACATGAAAGCATGCCGCTGCTGCTGATCATGCCGACCGACATATCTGAGAACCGTTGGGTTTGCAAGTACACTGTACCAGTCTCATGACCGATGAGCTGTCACCGACAAAAGTATCCAATACTCATTGGACAGCACTGGAGCTTGATAACATTTTTTGGCGGGGACTCATGGCGGCCTGGAGGGGCAAAGCTCCAAAGAATCACCACATCAGAGCAGTCGACAACCTCCCCCGCCAAAACAAACCTCACCTCTAAACCTTCTTACCCTCGCGTCGCAACTCTCATCTTTCTCGTCCTACTTGCAACCACTCAGTTCCTATAATCTCACACATCTCACATCACTATGTCGTGGCAAGGTCAGTTACTTATTGTCTCTACTATTCTACACCGTCCCGCTATCAATTTCCCCTCCCCCGCCATCGTCCTTGTTCCTCATCACCGCCTCCAAATACCTCTATCTCGAAACCCTAACTTGAAGCTGGACAAAAAAGCTGACATAGTGACTTTTACATCGATATAGCATACATTGACTCAAGGTACATACAGCCGATCCAACAGCTCTAACCCTAAGCTATTTTCATGGTTCCCGGCACGAATACCGACCGAATGCTGACAATTCCCGTCTTGATAGCCTCGTCGGCTCAGGTCACATTGACAAGGGCGCCATCATCAGTGCTGCTGGCGACAGCGTCTGGGCTTCTTCTCCTGACCTCCAGGTACAGAAACCCCTCTCCTTCACCGACTCAACCTCTCGGATCGATGGGTTAGCCCCTCGTTAATGAACAAAACTGACCTTGTAACCCCACTATAGCTCAAGCCTGAGGAGATGAAGGCCATCTCTGCCATCGTCGGCGGTGACTCGGCTGCCAAGGACAAGGCTTTCGCTGAGGGTCTCTACATTGCCGGCGAGCGTTACGTTATGGCCCGAGCCGAGGACCGGAGTATCTACGCCCGATCGGTACGACGCCCAACTCACGAACCCCATCTCGTTTGACTAACTTCTTTATTACAATAGGGCCGCCTCGGTGTTGCTGTTGCGAAGACTACCCAGGCCATCGTCATCGGCCACCACGGTGAGGCCCAGGTCGCTGGTAACGCCACTTCAACCGTCGAAGGTCTTGCCGACTACCTCATCAAGTCAGGATACTAGATATTCAAAGTGTGAGGCAAGGGTTTGGACGGAATCATCTGTGAGAAGCGCCAAGAAAACGCTGTTTGTCCGTGGAGCGGATAGTCAACTCAGCTGTAACGAGCTTATGCTGAGAGGAGCGCCTTTGTTTTAGAGCACTTGGCCACGAGCTCGAGTGTGTACCCGGGGGAGGACATTTCCCTTATTTGACCAGAAATCGGTCAGACGAGTTTGTTTCTACACGATTCTGCATATAAGCAATCCGAGTGCCCTCCAGAACCAACCTGTCACCTGTATGCCAGATGTGAAAATGATCATCAAATGCCAGCCAACTCGACTTTCCATTACAACTTCTTGTATCATTTATGCTCCATTCGTATCCGTGATGTGCAGTACTTTTGCCCATCTTATTTTAGGTACTCATGATAGTTCTTTATGTCATTAACGCCGATTCCAAACCAATATTTTCCCTTGAACTCCGCCATCCACTCTTGTTAGACGTATGTCGTCGAATGCCTCTTACACGTGATGAATCTCGTTCTCGTTCGGGGGATGCACAAAAGCCTTTGTTAGGCTCAGGGAAGCCTCTAAACAGGAAGCTCGGCGTTTCGTCTTCCAAGGCCTATCCTATCGGCGATCATTCCAATATACGGTCCCACGACAGGCAAGCCTCGCGCAAAGCCAGCAATCGTCCCCAGGAAATCTCCAAACAGGACCACTATGCCGTATGCTTCCACGATGAACCCAATAAAGGTCCACTTCATGAAGATAAGGATCAGGCCTAGGAAGAATGCCGCCGTGCCCTTTGCTTTTTGCTTGCGGGCGAAGAAGAGAAGTGTCTTTTGAGGTCCGATGATGATGGTCAAGCCGATAAGGAAGAGGATCTGTTTCGTACGTCGGTCGTTAGCAATCGCTCGTTCGCTATGATAGAGGGGGGAAAGAGGCCGTCATACATTTCCCATAGCAAGCCTGCATACAAGTCAGCAAGGAAAACCACTAGACGATTGAATTCGTCAATACTTACATAGATCGGTCGAAGAATAGCATGACACCTCCTATCAGGAAGAAGCCTCCTAGAATAGTCGTCAGCCTCCATACCTTGCCCATGCGCAGGCGTAGGCGCAAACACACCGCCGGAGCAGAAAACAACTCCAATTTCTATCGCGAACGGTCAGCCTTTGTCCATATCGAGCAATCCCTGATCCAAGGGGCAGCGCATCGTTGCAGTGCTTATGATCGCAACTCGCGTGCCTGCGTAAGATAAGGCGTACTTTGAGTATCTGTCAACCACATCGACATCTTTGCGGTTCTGTGTATCGCTGGTTTGATTGATAAATTCGGTCGGTATTAATAATTTCGACGGTAAAACGCACAATGAAGCTTCGACTGGGAAAAGGGCGAGATTGAGAGCAGGGAGAAACAACTGAGGCCAAATTACTGAAATGTTTCCTTTTTTCGTCACCAGCTCAGCTTCCCTCGAGGACACGTTCCAGGGGTTTACATGCGATTGACAGGGCTGTTCCAAACGGGGTTTAGGTGGTGCCTGGGGCTGCTTCATGGTTATTGGCTGTGCTGTATGAAAGTGGGTGCGCGTGGATTGTCTTGAAATTTTGCTGAAGGACCAACTTTACGAGACTTGCATCTTTCTTCATCTTCCACTGGGAGTTAGAAATGACTCACGACTAAACGCTCTTGGCTTACGACAATTCAATATGATTGCAGTGCAAATTGCTGTAAACCTTTTCAGCCAATTCTACAATCGTTAGCCAAGAAAGAGCAGCTCGTTGAGAAACAACACGTTTGATTCATTCTATCGAACAGCTTGCTATACATTTCCTTCTGACAGATTTCCTGTCCCTGCCACGACGGCCAACGGTGTTCTTCGCCCTGGCAACTGAGATTCGTTTCTTCCCCATACGCTCTCGGTAGTCTGTCGACCTAGGCATAGAACAAGCTCATGATCACGATTAAGCCGGAGCGTCAATTGCCATCCCTTGGCCGAAAGGCTAAGGGTGCATAGTTGGGGCTTGACTTTGTTGGTCGGACACTCCTATTTGTACTCTTGAAATGGTATCTTTGTGTAACGTGCATATGTCTGGTGATTCCTCGCATGAAACCCGTCAGACAGATTCCCAGGCCTCCTTAGGTTTTAAGGTTTTTGTCATTTCATTAAATGGCCATATCGAGCTTAAGCCATGCTCACTTAAGGACTGTATGGGCACCACGAGCCTCGAGGAACTGCTCTGCGACACCCTGAGGTAGCGTCCTAATGAGACCAAACACTTCCTTATTGTGATAGCGAAGTCGCGTCTTGGGGTCGAGGTAGGGAGCCGGTAGTCCTGTCACGTCACAATAGTGTTTGTTATGCGCGAGTGATGGTGCCGATTCAATGTTTGTGTAAGTGGCAGTTGGAGCCGACACACCACCTGCCGGTTTAAGGCTCTTCTCGAGGACAAGCTTGGACAGGTTTCGCGATGCTTGTGCCAGATTTGGGGGTTCCTTGCCGCTCTCGGTGGCTGGCGTGCTGGTACCGCTTGTTGAGAGTCCATCATCGGCTGGTGTAGCGATACCGCTCGCGTCCATGGGCGTGCCTAGAGCTGAAGCTTCTCTTCGGGAAGCATCACCGACTATGGCCTTGAGGTTCTTGTTTCGACGCTGATTGGGCTTCCAAGCCGGACTGCGGAAGTTCTTATGGGTGGAGTGAATGTCGAGCTTCTCTATAAGCTGTTGATGGGCGATTTGCGCCTCGGTTGGGGCGGCCATTGTTTCTCGTTTCTGGATAGCTGGTATCGAAATACTATCGAAGTTGGTTTGAAGCTGCTAACGGTTTTATAGACTTGTTTCACTCGGTGATTAATGCAGGGAAAAGTGATTTGGTTTAAGGTCTCTTGGTTGTCGCAGTCATGAGCTTGTCGCGTTGGAGATTCTGCCGTGCTTCACCGTATTCCTAGCTTGGAGCTCTGACCTACAGGAAGGTGCCCGCCCAAACATGGGATAAAGTAAACAGAGGACTCCGCCAACCACGAATACTGCCTTGAGCCTCTTTTCATCACATTAACACCGGTAACCAGCGGAAATGGTAATATTCTTGGGAATTGCGACGATATCTTACTCTGAAGCCTTACCTGACTTATGTATAGGAATCCCCTCATGAGCACCAGCAGAACCTACTGCTTTCCCGTATCATTACCAATGTGGTATGTTCGGCGAAGCTGAACTCGTCAGAGAATGGTCCTAACGACATGCAGGAAAAGCTCAATGAAGCCGTCGTTGTTATGAATAAGAGCCTTCAGGTCAGTAGAGTCGCATTTTACATCAACAATATAACTAACAAGTCGCTTTAGGATATCAATATTCAGAACATGAACGTTGAATTGGTTGCGCAAATGTTCAAGAACTACCAATCGAATGTTCTATTTCATCTTGAGGGTAAATATTTTCATATGATGATTTGTTAGCGGCCACTGATGATATTGGGTAGCCACGGACAACCTTAAGCCGCCGAACTGAGTATCAGTATGGGTGGATAAGACTGGAGTTTTTGTAATTATGATGGCGCATGACTGTAAATGAAATAATGACTTACTGCCACTCTTCCAATATAGAAAGGAGGTTTTGCAAAGAATTCGACTGGAAGCTTGCTATACCAGAACCAAGCTTGCCTACCTTTACCTACTATTTGCCTAAATTATGTGCAAACTCTTAAAAAATGATGATGAGCCAGGCTTGACAGTGCACCCAATATCTAATCACGACAAGCCACTAAGGTATCTGACAGCCTTGCCTTGCACTTATAGAAGACATTACAATCTCTGCATGTGATCAGCTTATGGGGAGGTCAGTACTAAGTGTGTCGTCTCTCACTGCATCACTTGCATTGTCGCGTAAGTGGATCCCAGAATTGAATGACACGGCCTAGATCAGCCTTGTAGCCTCGCACCTTCTCAACTTTCCAACAACGAAGCTCCGTATTTTGTGTCTGACAAACAATTGGCCACTAGAGTCAGGCATCGACCAACCTAAACCTTTTTGTTCCTCCCGTCATGACTTCTGTCCCTTACTTGTAAACTCCATCCGACCATCCTATTCGCAATCATGGCTCCCTCGGCCATTGATGAGCCCGCCATCAAGGCGCCTGAACAAAAGACATATCCTCCCGCCAAGATCTTCCCCGTCAAGGAGACACGCTTCGAGAATTATATTGAGCCTACAAAGGATGGCCGCGAACGCGCTTTGAAACAGCCTGACAGCGCTGCCATCGTCATTGATAATGGTGAGCTTCGAGCGCAAGGGGTTTGCGACGGCCGCGAATTGACATTTCGTCTTTAGGATCATCTGCCGTGCGCGCCGGCTGGTCTTTCGATTCGAAGCCAAGATTCAGCATCCCCCCGATTATGGCCAAATACCGCGACCGAAAACTGGGCAAGACGTTTTCTTTTGCTGGCTCAGATTGCTATGCCGACACGACCGCGCGAGGTCACATTCGAGGCGCCTTCGAGGCTGGCACAGGAATTGTCAGTAACTGGGATGTGATGGAGCATGTGCTCGATTATATTTTTCTGAAGCTTGGTATGAACGATGCAGACGGTGCCATTGAAGTGCCAATTGTTATGACAGAGGCCGTTGCCAATCTCCCTTACTCAAGGAAATGTATGTGGAACGTTTCATTCGCGCAAGTTTATACTGAAGTTCTTAGCCATGACTGAAATTATCTTCGAATGCTACGGCGCGCCTTCGCTGGCCTACGGAATCGATTCGCTCTTTTCATACCGACACAACAAGGGCAAGACTGGTCTCGTGGTCTCGTCATCATATACATCAACTCATGTAATTCCTGTATACAACTCGAAAGCCTTACTCGGCCAGGCCACGCGACTGAACTGGGGAGGCTATCACAACGCTGAATATCTCCTCAAACTCATTCGACTCAAATACCCGGCCTTTGCTGGGAAGCTTAACGTCTCACAGGCAGAGCACATGCTACGGGACCATGGCTATGTATCCCGGGACTATGACAATGAGCTCGCCAATTATCTTGATTGGACAGGGCTCGAGGATCGCGATATTGTCATGCAATATCCCTACACAGAAGAAGTTATTGTGCAGAAGAGTGAAGAAGAGTTGGCCAGGGTAGCGGAGCGCAAGAAAGAGAGTGGACGAAGACTTCAACAACAGGCGGCTAAGATGCGCCTGGAGAAACTGATGAAGAAAGAGCAAGATCTGGAATACTACAAGCATTTGCAAAGAAACATCACAGATCAGACGAAGAAGGAGATTCGACGCCAACTTGACAGCAACGACATTAAAGATGAGAACCAATTGGAAAAGATCATCAGAGATTTGGAAAAGGCTATCAAGAAGGCCCGGACAAAGGACGTTGGTGGCGATCCTGAGGAGGAACAAGAACAGCCTAACTTCGATCTTCTTGACATTCCCGACGACCAGCTTGATGAGGCCCAGATCAAGCAAAAGCGTCAACAGCGTCTCCTCAAATCCAACCACGAAGCTCGCGCGCGTGCGAAGGCAGAGAAGGAAGCAGAGAAGGCTCGTGTCATCGAGGAAGAGCGTGCCGATACTGAGCGACGAGAGAATGATCTCGAGAACTGGCTTGATGAGAAGCGTCAACGACGTGCTGAGACACTGCAAAAGATGAAGGAACGGGAGCGACTAAAGCAGGACCTGGGCAACCGTAAATCCCTCGCCTCTCAGATCCGCATGAAGAGCATCGCCAATCTCGCATCGGACAACCCGACCAAGAAGCGAAGACGTGGCGGTGATGATGACAATTTTGGTGCTGACGATGATGACTGGGGTGTCTACCGCCAAATCGCCGTTGGTGACAACAGTGATGACGAGCATGAGGAGGAAGACCTCCATTCGACTCTAAAGTCACTAGAGCAGGACCTTTTGCGTTATGATCCCGACTTTGAGTACGAGCACACCCACGAAGCCCAGTCTGACTGGTCAAAATCTCTCCTGCACGCCTTTGCCCGAGGTCCCCGACCCTTCGATCCCTCCTCACAAGCTGAGCTCAACCAAATTCATCTCAACGTTGAGCGAATCCGCGTTCCCGAGGTTGTCTTTCGCCCCTCCATCGCCGGTGTCGACCAGTCAGGCATTGTCGAGATAGCCGGTGATATTCTCAACCAGCGTCTCGGCAATGTTCCTAATCGCGATGACTTCCTTCGCGATGTCTTCTTGACAGGCGGTAACACTCTGTTCAAGAACTTTGATGATCGTGTTCGCGATGGCCTTCGTTCTCTCCTCCCTGCTGATGCACCACTGACCGTTCGTCGTGCCGAAGACGCCATATTAGATGCTTGGAAGGGAGCGGCTGGATGGGTGGGCACATCCGCTTGGAAGACAGCAAAAATCTCGAAAGAAGAATACCAAGAAAAGGGACCAGAATATATCAAGGTTTGTCTAACTTCATACCCTAGGGGCATGCTCTTGCTAATATGTATAGGAACACGACATGGGTAACTCCTATGCGTAGATTGTATAGTGATGGGACCTGGAGTCAAAGGCGAGTTCTTTATTAGGGGCGGATCGGGATGTGAGGATAATTTACATGTTGCGTTAATAAAGGGTTTCTTCTCAGCAATTAAAAAAGCAAACGAGAAAACGGCTGACACTTCCACGCAAAACCGTCAATTAGCTGCTACACACTAAATATGGTTCCCGAGACACTTATTTTTTACTACAGGAGCAGACATCTGGACTAGCAAAATATAATCGTCTTGGTGATATCATCCGTAAATATGACGGCCCAGGTAAACAGTAGCAAGGCGGAAAAGACACCGCAAAACTCGCCAAGCGAAGCCCGCAAGATCGAGGAGCCTTTGTTTCACATAAAACAGACCCGAACGCCCCTCTCTTTATAAATATTAAATCACGACAATCAGTCCCTTAACGCCATAATAACAGTTGCAGAGCCCCGCGCACATGGATATCATGCGGTTCTCTAGACCGCTGGTTGTTGTGCTTGGGGTTCTTCAGAGTGTTGTAATTGCTTGTTGATCTCATCAGCAGTCCTTGTATCCTCAGCATTTGGCTCAACCTTGAAAGGCTCAGTCTTGAAATGCGGTGAGGGATACCGTTGACGCTCGATTTGTTCCTGAGCCGCAAGACCAGCCACAGCTTGCGCAACAGCCTCCAAAGGTGTTCCTGCAGCTGGATTGCTAGGCGCAGGCTCAGCATGAGGAGCAGGAGCCGTTATAGCAGGAGCCGATGCTGGCTGAGGAGGTTGAGAAAGGTTCACGTTCGGCGGGGGCGGGGGGTAGTCGCCCGACGTCTCCAACAATCGCGTTTGCAAATGAACGACATACTCCCGGAGCGCGTAATGATCCGCCTGCATTGCTTTGAAAGACTGTTCCATATCCGTATAATCGCGTACCTGCTGCTCGAGCTTTTTTATGTAGCCTTCCTTTCGTTGTCGGAACGCTCTCTGTGAATGAATCGTCAGCCCAGGAGCTCAATTGGAAGGTGATCTGACGGCGCCAGTCAACAAGTCATCATCGGTCGACTTACTTGGGCAGCTCGGTTCTGTGCCGCGCGCTTGGATTGGGATAGCTCCCGCTTTGCTTTGCGACCATCTCCCATATGATCGTCTGCCGACAAAGGAGCTGGGGGCGCTGGAGCAAGTGGAGCGGTTGATGGGCCAGCAGATGCGCCTGGACTATGTCCAGACGGAGGAACAATGGGCATCATGTTTGCTGTCGGTGCGTGGTTGGCTCGCGCGCGAAGATCAGGATGAATGTGAGCTTCAACTTCGCCTTTAGTGGCTAGAACTCGGTGTTGGTCTTGGGGACTAGACAGATGATCGAATCCATTCGCCGGCCGCACAGGAGCGGGCTGTAAAGGCCGAGATTCACGAGGTCCGGGAGGAGTTGGTGAGGATGAGCCTGTCGCGTCGTGGCTCTTCAGGAGCTCGAGCTGTGCGCGCAAATGCTGCTCTATTTGGAGGGGTCGGTGTTAGCCAATGCACCCAGCAGCTACGTCAACAGTAATTGAACCAGACGCGAAGCCAAGATGGTCGAAACGAATATCGGATCCAACTGTCGAAGACAAGAAGCTCTAAGTGTATTGTATATGGGATTGCGCAAAAGACGCGACAAGGATGCTATTCAAATGGTAGACAGATGCAAGGAGCTCTATAGATGTCGCGATGGACCAAGGCCAAAGTGAGGCGTAGTATAGTGTAGATAATAGACAGAGCGGTAGGTCCAAATCAAGAACCAAGACGCGCTCAGACAAGGAATAGGCAAAGCAGAACAGGAAAGGAAAAGAGAGAAGAAGAGTTGTCTTGACTAACCTTGATTATTGGCGCCGCTGGCTGAGGAGTTCTGCATGCTTGAGCTCTGGGGGAGGAGAGTCTGACTCAGCATCCAAGTAGCAGTGACCCAGGGCGGGCGATGATGATTACTACAACGAGGGGGGACCTGACGCGCTGACTGACGGAGACGAGTGAGGAGAGAGTTCCGGCGGATGGATGACGGATTATGTAACCTGGATCCGGGACCTTTCAAGTGTGACTGTGAGTGGTGATCCAGTCGGAAAATGGCGTGGCTGGGCCGGGGGATGCTTCTTCTCTCCGCTTGCTGGACCAACTAGACGAGTCTAAACCCAAGGAGCTAGAACGATTTGGTTATCGCTCACTTGCTGATTGTTCGCTTCTGTTTTTGGCTTGCTCGTCCCGCGAACTTTGATGGCGGTTGTTACTTACGGTACTGCATGTACGGGCGGAACTCGGAGCCGTTACTCGCTTTGCTAGGATCAATTTATTTTGCTCACTGAAGCAAGCGTAAGTGCTGACGACGATTTTTGCGGCTGGTGCGGGAAAAGCCCCCCCAAGAATGTACGCGGACCGCTGTTGTATCCTGTATTAGAAGTCAAGTCACCCGTTTCAACAGGCAATCTTTATTGTAACTTTAACTCGGAGGATAGAGAACGACGCGTAAACTGAACAGACAAGCTGGGTTGGTTGAGAGGAATCCGGAGTCCGGGCAATGCCCAGTCAAAAGTCCTGTTCGATTTTCCTTCTTCTATTTCTCTTCCTTTTACCCCGGCACCAGTAGTTCTGATGCTGGCCTCGATGGGAATAAACGACGGGTCTGAGTCAAAAGATTGGATGGATTTGCTGACTGATGAGGAGAGGGGAACGTTGTTGCAGTAGAGAAAATATTTGTCAGCGACCAACCTGAGCAGAACTGGAAGAGAAGCAAGGAGCTAGGACCACCTCAGGCATGCACCCGCCCATGCCAGTCATGCACCTTCCTCGTGAGCTTGCGACCCCACTCGCGAGATAAATGTCCTATTCTGGAAAGTCCTGGATTTTCGAGACTTCGGGGTCCTTTCGATCTGACATTCATGGCGTATAACCACATAATACGACCTCGAATCTTGCGGTAAAATCATGCATAATCACGAATTGAGTTGAACTATTTATTTGCGGTGTAGGGTTCTTTTCCAAGCTCTCGATTGGTGAGAAATGACAGAACTTTATTCATATTATACGACCCAATAAAACATCACACTACACTGCTTATTCTGTTCGCTCAATAACTCCTGTTTGGTCTCACTACTCTCATCTCAAACGCAGGTCTCGTGTGATTTCTTGGGGCTGAGACTACCACTCTTCAAAAGTGCGAAACCTCTATCTGTTTGACACTTCCGGGCCATGTCAGAATATGCTACCTAAGCATGATTGAGTAGGGACACATTTTTCCTGCCTGGCCCCCATGAGATACTTCAAACAGCAGATCGATCTCCTCGTGCTGCTAAAAGCCAAGACGCTTGAACTTATCCATCTCTAGAGCTATATCCAATTATATCGGCGCCACTTCCGACTCTTCCGGCCAGAGACAAGAAGAAAGGTTCGAATACACGACTTGTCTAGCTTGGTCGAGCTCCAAAGCTCATGGATCTTCCTGTTGTGATATAAAAAGAGCCGACGGATGCAATTACTAATGCTCTCTTAACCGTTATAGGTGCTTGTTAATATCCAGTGAGGGTGTGCAGCGTTTGCACTAGCTCGGGCTTCATTTCCTGGTCATTGCCATTGTCATGTATCGGATACTGGAACATCTTTGCGTCTAGGCTGATGAGACTTGCTTGATCTAGACTCTTAGTTGGATGAGACTAAGTCTCTTCAGGTTGAATACGCAGAATGGCCCATGCGTGGGTAGTAATAGTCCCTGTAAGTTGTGAGAGTGTTGAACCAAGGCTCGGGGACTATCTGAGTATGACAGAACACGGGCAGCTAAGCACTCAGAATCGAATGATCAATCGAGCAATGGTGATCTCTGAAATATCCCTGTCATTCTCAGCTTCACATAGCAGTACAAAAGACACGATCCTGCATGATTGGAGTTGTTCGGTGTTAGTCGACTTTGTTATTTGGTGCGTTAGTGGATACTTATGCCACAGCCAGTCCCACCATATGTCAGAAGTACTCACCATCTGCACCACTTCCGCCACTCATCGGTCAATCCTTTCAGCCTCATCCTTCACCTCACTATCACTTACAACCTCATCTCTTGGCCGCCTTACAATGCGCCCTTCTCATATCTCACATCACCTTCCATCTCTTTCCCGTCTAGCTTCGACAATGGCTCAACCGCGATTCTCTGCAGGCACTGATGCTGCGAGTGTTACGCCTGCGCTTAAAGCACTCACCTCCGAGGGTGGACGATGGACACTCACTAAGGATGGCACTGCTTTGGAGAGACAGTTCAGGTTTAAGACATTTGCAAAGACATGGGTAAGTGATTGAGACGGGGAGAACGCGATTCATTCGCAGTTGTTGAACCACCAAGAAGTATGAATGTTGAGGAGTACCTTCAGAGTTAACTCATCTCAGGACTTCATGACAGGGGTATCTCTGCAATGCAAAATCAAGAACCACCATCCCGAATGGTCCAATGTAAACTTTTCTTCCGTTTCTATGCCAATTATCACATCCAGCTAACCACATTGAAGGTTTATAACACAACCTTCATCCGCTGGACAACACATAACCCAGCAGGACTCTCGGACAAGGACATTAGCATGGCTGCCCAATGTGATGCTCTCGCAGCACAACTAGGCGAGCTGCCTCCGGAGCCGACGGCCCCAGTTGCGGCCGAAACGGAAGACCAGAGCTGTGCTATCCGTGGATTGGCGGACCGCGCAGCTGGGGCGGCGGGAGACTGCTGTACCCCCAGGAGTAAATAGAGAGGGTAGGGTTGTTCTAGAAAGATGTGAAATGAATTCCTGCGCGGTAGGATTCGGGCAGTTCTTCCAACTGCGCATGCAGCTGGCAAGGAATGTATCAGCAAACCATTGTGGCTGCGTGTATTATTATCATAAACTCTGACAACTGCGGCGCTACGTCACTGCGATCAAGGCGGATGTCATGATACACGTATAGATGGTTACTGGTAATAGTGGTTAAATGTCAACGAACGATGTTGATTATTAAATATGTCTAAAGCCTCTCCAGGGCAGGTTTTTATATACAAGCGTAAAAAGTCGTTCTTAGTTAACATCCCCAACGCCATGCGAATGCTCGAGCCGCGAGTTTAGCGACGGAGACAATGTGCCCGGTTTGCGAACAGTCTAAGTCTTCATGATCAACACCCTCCTCATTTTATTTCCGGTCGTGAAATCCCTGGGTCGGACTCGATTCACCGCAATCGATTATCTGTCGTCGTGCCAGGCTTTCTTTGCAGCACTCTATTGCGCCTTCTTGGCCTTAATCTCGGCGAGCTTCTTCTCGCGACGGCGCTTGTGAGCCTCGGCACCAGCCTCGGTGTCCAGGCAGTAGTCCCACCAGCGGAAGCTGGAGGCGTAGTTGCCGATGAACTTCTCGTGGTGAAGATCGTGGTGGGCAGCACCGGCCCAGACGGGAAGGAAGTGGCGCAGACTCCAGGGGAAGTCGTAGCCGCTGTGAGAGTCGATGGCCTGGAAAAGACGGAGGACGATCCAGGTGTACATGGTGAAGAGGTGGAGCTCGCCGGTGATGGCAAGGAGAACAACGGGGCATCCGACGACACCAATTCCGAGGAGAGCTGTTTCGATGGGCGAAGCGTACTCAGCGGCGAGACCGAAAGGAGCAGAGTAGGTGTGGTGCATCTTGTGGATGGCCTTGTAGAGAGGACCGTAATGCAGAGCACGGTGGAACCAGTAGTGCCAAGCATCCTCCATGACGAAGCAGATAGCGATCTGGAGAGCCATCTTCCAGACAGGAGGGAAGGGCACACCGTAGTCCATACCGAGGTAGGTAGCGATAGGGTGGAAGAACCAGATCTGAGGAAGTTCGGCGGTGAAGTGGCTGATAAGAACAATGGCGGCGCAATCCCATTGCTCCTTAAGAGTAGGAACCTTTTGCTTCTGAATTCTGAATTGTTGGAAATAGGGGATGTAGTCCATCATCATATAGGGAATACAGCGGCCGAAGTAGACGAGCTCGTGGAGGACGAAACTCATGATGCCGGTCGCGAGGGTATCGTTCTGCATCCAGAGGTACCAAGCCTGAGTTGAATGTTAGTATTGTTGTGGTTTCGCGACGTTGGATCGGGTTGGACATACGGCCCAGAGCTTTTCGACGATGTTGAGCTGAACATTGTACTTGGAAACCTCCTCGAGGACAACAAAGTAGTCCTTGGTCTGGTTGAAGGACGCGAAGGTGGTCGCGTTTCTGCAACAAAAAAAATCGATGTTAGAAGGGGTTGTTCAAAACATTGGCGTGCTCGAATGGCAATATCAGGGAGGCTACTCACAGCGCATCCATGGTGAAGTTAGTAACTTATGGCAAAGTAGACTGAATAGGGACCCTCTAGGTAAAGAAGAAAGACACCAGTGAACACCGGGTCAAGCCAAGAGTCGTCGGAGAGGCGGCCCTTGTTATAAAAGAGGAGTGTTGACAATGGCGATGGTGGTGGTGAAAAAGGAGACCAGACGGTGGCTGTTGGGGACGTTTTATCATTTCCTCGATTGCCCGGCCCAGAGAATCTCTAAGGGGGGTCCCATCCAAAATGGTGGGCGGCGGGCCTTGCCTGGCCACACGCCCACTACAGGCATTCAATTCACTAACTTTACGGAGATTTACAGCCAGAGAAGCAAACGGACCACCTGCTCTTGCACCGTCTCGGTACGTACCGTTGCGAAAATTGCACCGGGAGCGACGCCTCAACAGAGTATTCACACACATTGTAAGCCAAAGGTGGTAACGTAAATCTCCCAGGCCCTGTGACAGCCAGCCATTCACGACACAAGACCCCTGGGCTTTCGCTGGTCCGTGCCCGATACCAGATGGAAGAAAGAAATGGTTCCAGAATGAGACCACTATCAAATTGTCCTCCCGGCTTCCGGGCCCATTTACATGCCTCTGCACCAGTCAAAGCGAATACATATCGCTTTAGCATTGTCACCGCTTGAAAAGAATCGTATGTGTGTTTATCGACTTTACGGGGATCTCACGGGAATTTGAGGAATCTCCTCAGATCATTTCGAGGTCCCTGGTATTGTCCTTTTTTTTTGCCCTTGTCAAGGGTCCAGCAGTTTGAGGGGAGCCGGCCGTCTCTTTTACACACTGCCATTGAAAGCGGTGAAGATCCGAATCAGACCCAATTTGGCCATTGCCACGACTTGTGATTGGCTTACGAGCGATGTCTTTTACACAGATTGAATTGATCTAGATTTGATCCTGTAACGCAAAATAACACAGAGTGTTCATGTTTCAGTCTCTGGAACACCCTTGTTCCTAATGACAACAGGTGATTTTTACATTGAACGCGTCCTGTATGGATCAAGTGGCAACATTCAGCACAGGGATTTTCAGTCTAGGATCTCATCAACAAAGCATTGCCGTGCAAGCTTCATCGGGATGGCGCTCTCCCGGATGCGAGAGATTTGGAGAAAGTGGTGTGTTCTAAGCAGCGGGTTCAGAAGCGGCCTTTGCGGCCAAAACTTGAGGTTAGATGGTTACTCGTCGATAAAGTGCAGATCGCGCCCAGGGGCAAAGTATCAGATTATCAACCGATCTGCTGGGTCAGAATCAACCGCCCCGAGGCGTGTCTCTTTTTCGTTTTCGGCTCTGGATTTTAGAAGTTCTGCACGTTCTTCTACGCCTCTCCCGCTCGTTCTCGCTAACACGATGAAGTCGTTGAAATTCCAGCGCTTATTGATTCTCTCTTCACATGTATTCCGCTACATCCAATCGAGCTCCTTGCAATTGAAAGCTTTATTCCTGACAAGAGATGGTATGACTTGATTTTGACTGTTTTGTTATGTTCATTTGCTTTTAGATGAAGTACATATGCATTCCAACTTAGGTTTAGTGGCCCCGTACTCGGTATCTGGTGTGAGACCCGAATACGATGTGAACTTTAGACCGCCGTCTAAAACGGTCTACATTTTAGAGTCTAGGTTAACCAGAATTTTATTAACAAGTTTGTGTCAGTGACCTCTCAGTCTTGGGTATATGGCTCTGTATTGGATCTATGATATTGCACTGTCAGGTTGAATTCCAAGATATGATCGAGTTGAGTTGTCTAGTATAGTTGGCTTAAAGCTTTACTTGTACTTTGCACGCTTCAGAATGGTTTTCGACCAACATGCAAAGCAAAACAAATCACTGAAGAAGTGTTGCGCGCTCCATTTCCGTTAAAAGATAAATCTTTGTGATATTTCGATCTTTTGATATTGAAAATATATGCCCATAATAAGACTACATAGATAACCACATTTGATCATGGCATTCTCTTACACGCAATTGGATTGAGGCAAGATCTCAGTGAACCGCTGCCGAATACGAATAAGTCTCTAATCAGCAACCACACCTTCTTCTCAAGCTTGTGAAACGTCATATCGTGGTTAGATCATTATGCAATGCATTGTGCAAGGAAAGCTGTGTAATTGATGATTACAACGGGTGTCAGCCTTGCAACCATTCAACCCCAGTATAACTCTGCATCTTGCAACAGTTTTGGTTGTTTTCCTATGTACGGAGCCGGACTGAGCTGATCCGTGTGGCATGATGCAATAAACGTTCCCCACATTTGCTCATCTCCCGCCCGCATTCGTGTTTGGAGCTTGAGGTACAAGCTCAAGCTCAAGCTTACACTCACACTTCTCACCCTCGTCTCGCTTCCATCCGCACGCGATTCGACGCCCGGCGCCAGTTGCGCAGCCCTGCTCCGAATTCTCCGTCGAGCCCCCGTGACTCGGCGCTCCTCCTCCCGCCGAGAAGCTGCTGCCACCGCCGAGAAGCTGCTGCCACCGCCGTTGTCGTCGTTGTCACCCCGGGGTCGTCCGCCGAGCTCTCCACCGATTATTCGGAGCTACCGTCCCCTCTCATTCCGCGTTATCCCCGGTCTATAGTTGCTCCCTGCAACTTCAGCTGCTGCTGACAGATGCCGTGCTTCACACATCAGCCTTGTCGTTACCAGATCTAAGCAAGCTCATCCTTGGTCCTACCATGACGCTTGTCTCCGAGTTCGTCAACCTCAACACCTGGGCCCTGCTACCATTGCCCCTCATCTTACATAATCCATCAAGTTACTAATCCTGCTCATAGCCAAGTACGGCGGCTCGATGCCTACCTTGACCGTCTCCCAGTTTTATCCGAAGTTGCTTCAGAGGATGATCAATCAGAGACTGAAGAGCATGGGTTTGCTGTAGCTACTGCCTTCTCATCCCCGCGTCTTGATCATTTGCTCCGTACCATTCAGTCATTGAGTACTACATCATCCTCGCAACCTCTTCTGCCGGCATGGCGCATCAGGGATCTTCTCATATCATCTGATATCCCTGCATCTGCACACCTCTCTGTGAGAGAGGCACAACCAGGTGATGAGGTTAAAAGCCCTTATGAGAATGAGCTCGAGTGGCTGCTTGTGAGCAAGGCCACCATTCAACTTCATGGTGTTGTTCTTAACACACTCCTGGATCAAATTGTTCCCCTCAATGATGACATCTGGTACTGGGATGATGTTTTAGGCTCGTATTCCTACAGCAGCCTCTATGCTGTCCAGAGCTCGCCTTTGCGTGTCTGGGCATGGTCCCAAGAAGTCTACACTGCAACCAAGTTACGCATTCAAGCTGGTTCTCTTCATCATGCCCCGGGTGAACTCGTAGATTCTACGACGTCAAGTTTGTCGCAGCAGTGGACGCAGTTTTATAGTATTGTGCATGATAGTATCCGGGAACGATCAATTGCCAACATTCAACGGAGAGTTTTGTCGCCTGTTGCGTTATCTCGATCCGAGGCACGACGCAAACAGGCACAGCTCAAGAAACTTCGTGAGATAACGGCAAGCGGACTTGGCGTACTGATGGATGAAGGTCTGCAATTCGGTCTGGACGACGATAAGGCTGAGCTTCAGGACCACCACGATCTTAAGGGCGTTGTCGAACGTAGTGTTGCGCTCATCGATATGGTTCTCAAGGAAGTCTCTACTCTGGACGTCAATATTAGCGATTTTGAGGACAAGGTTTTTGCTGGTGTCGAGGAAGACCCTGAGCTTTCTGTTCACATCGAAGAGAGCAACACCGCTGATCGTCCAGCCATTCTAGCCCGACGACTGCTCACCATTATCGACAAGTCCCTTCCTGAACATCTCACTGCAATGCACGCCCTGGCTAAGGAAAATGGTCGACCTTCGACTCTGATCAGATACTGGCTCCCTGCGATTGTTGGTCTTCTCTCTTCGACAACCGTCTTGCGTATTCTGGTCAACCGGAAGGCTGATATCATCGAATGGTTCGTTGGATTTGGTGAAACTGTTCGTGATTTCTGGTTCAACTGGGTTATCGAACCGACGTCAAAGATTATCTCAACTATTCGACACGACAAAACCAGCGAGATCGCCATCATGAGTAGGGACAGCCTAAAGGCTGACCGTGAGAGTCTCGAGCGTATGGTGGTTGACTTTGCCCTCGACAAGCCTCACTTTGCCAATGAAACCGGAAGCACCTTGACCGAGACCCAAGTTGCTGACATCCGACACAAGGTTGCTGAAGGTGATGTTACCCCGGTACTTCGAGCGTTCGAGAAGGACCTGCGAAGCCCTTTCATGGGTACTATCCGTGGAGATCTCGTTCGATCACTCCTTATTCAGGTTCAGAAGACAAAGGTCGACCTTGAGGTCGCCATGACCGGCATTGACTCCCTTCTCAAGAGCCAGGAACTTGTCTTCGGTTTCGTTGGTCTTACTCCCGGTGTCCTCGTCTCTTATAGCATGTTCCAGTACCTGCGCGGTGTTTTTGGCGGCCGCTCTGGCCAACGCCAAACCCACAAAGCTGGCAAGGCCATCCGTGTCCTCCGCAACGTAGACCGCATTCTCTCCGAGGCCCGACCGACAGAGACCAACCTTCTCTCATATAAGGACCACGGTCTCTTGCTTTCTGAAGTTCATATTCTGAGGGATCTCGTTGATAAGCTCATGCCCCGTGAGATCGCGAGGGAGTTCCTTGAGGATCTTGATGATTTGTCAAACATGAAGGGTATCCAGCTGCAGACCAGGGCACTGGAGCGTATTCGTTGGGCTTATGCGAGATGGCTTCATTAGGCCAGTCATGAAAGGTGTTTGTCACGGGTCTAAATATAACATGTATACTAGCCCTTGCTGGGCAGGTAAAACAGTTCCAATGTACTTATACACATAGGTAGATTGCATAAAGGAGTCATGATTAGATGCACAACCATTTTTGTTTGGCGCTGGACCTTACGGAGCCGTAGTGGTATGCTTACAAAATGTCCTGGTATCGGGAACGATTTGGTGTCTCCATCAACACACAAAAGCTGGATGCCAGCATGTTGATATCGCGACAGGAGGCACCGACGTTTATGATGAAAACTCTTTATTATAAGGACTACACTTATTAACACTCCATTTCTCGCATCTCCGATGCTGAGCATACGAGTCCCTTTTCGCACCCTATATATACTTTAAGTCTGGGTATTTTATAACCAGTAACTCCCTACCAAACCAACGCCTATGCTGTTATACACACCCCTAGCCAAGTAGCTTAGAAATATCTGCCGCGCGTGAATTCTCACGCTTTTTGTTCCCCTTCTCTTGGAATGCTTTCGTCACGAGCTCTCGCTTCTCGCCCTGCACATCTAGCACGCGCTCCTCAACCGAACCTTCCATGACGAGTCGGAAGATAGTAGTCTCGCGGGTTTGTCCCAAACGATGAACACGGTCAATAGCTTGGTCCTCGATGGCGGGTGCCCACCCTAAATGTATTAGTATTATCCTAGAAATGTGGTGAAATGGACTTACAGCTGTCGGAGAGGATGACGGTGTCAGCTGCGACAAGGTTAAGACCAACGCTGCAAACAGAAAGACTGGCGAGCATCACTCGTGTCTTGGGATCGTTGTCAAGAGCCTCTATGGCCTTGTCACGCTTATCAGCTTTCATGCTGCCGTCAATACGCGTGTAGCCTATCCTTTCTTTCTTGAGCTGCGCCTCAACAATATTAAGGAAGGCAGTCCACTGAGAGAACACAACCACCTTAGACCCCTCCTTGTTCATAGTCGCTTTCAGAATCTGCAGCATCGCTTCTGTTTTGGAACTCTGTGAGTCGGCATCAAAATCACCTGCATCATCGCCCGCATCTTCAGGCGCCGGTTCAAGAAGACTATTCTCGTCCAGCTTGTTGCGACACATTGGGCATTTATGCTGGATTTGGATAGCGCGCAGGATGCAGTTTCGGCAGAAGACGTGTTTGCAGGTGGTAATGACGGGGTCGTTCGGGTTGTCATAGCAGATGGCGCATTCTTCCTGGCTTTCGATGTACAGACGGAGAGCTTCCTGGAGAAGACCGCGGTTCTTGGCATTGAGGGGAACGACCTCGTGCTCATCAAGGAGTTTGAGGATATCACTGACACGCTCTCTACAGAGAGTCCAGTGATTGCAGCTATGAAGTTTCAGTAGAGTCCTATAATGGTGGGATTTGAATTTACATTTGTCGAAGACGAAGAAGACGTTCAAGGACGTTCTGAAAACGTCCCTTCTGTCCTGATTGTGAGCCTGCCTGCCACTGCTCAAGTTCACCCCTCGCCTCATCCCTACTATCGTCAGCGCGCATTTCAGAGACCTAAGACTTGATGGACCTACAGCAAAGCATCGTACTTGCGCTTCTCATCCTTGCGGAATGGAATCCTGTGGATGTACTCCTTCTTGGCTGGCAATTTGAGATCTACAAACTTCATGTCCTTCCTGCGACGCAGACAAAGGTCATGCATGAGTGCCTGAAGAAGGACTTCACCATGACTATCACCACTGGCAAGTTTGCGAGTGATTTGAGCGTTGAAGATCTCGGATTGCTCAATACCGCCGGTGATGTGGAGGAACTTGACGAGCGAATAGAGATCCTTGACTGAGTTTACGCTGCATCGGATCAGCCACTGTCGATGTCATCGAAAAGGAGTAGGACTTACATAGGTGTTCCTGTCAGAATCCAGCGAGACTCTGCGTTGATCTCACAAGCTGCTATAGCTACCTTTGTCCTGGAATTTCGGATGGTATGGCCCTCATCAAGAACAACTCGTCGCCACTTAATTTTCGGGGAAGTTATGGCCCTGGCAACGCTCGAGTCTCGCTCTCTGGCAAGTCTTCCATAGCTGGTGATCACAACATCATATCTCTGAAGCTGTAACGGGCGCAACTTATCACCTCCGTGGTAAACGAAGATGCTAGGTTGCTGGTCTCCTTTGACATGACGCCTGATCTGTTGACTCCAGTTGCTCATGACACTGACGGGCGCAACGATGAGGGTTGGACCCTTGCCACCAGTGAGGATTAAGCTGATGATCTGAAGGGTCTTTCCGAGGCCCATATCATCTGCAAGAATACCGCCCGAAAGGAGCTTTGGAGCTGTGCTTGTGACAAAGCCGGATGCGATATTGTGGAAACGGTTGTTGGATTCCTGAAGCCAGAGCTGCACTGGCTCTTTGGAGCCTTTGGTAGGGAGTTTGGGGTTCTCCTTAGAAGCCATCCACGCAAGGCCCTGCGACAAACTGGTCAGTAAAATGCGTTCCCCGCTTAGGAAGAGACAAACCTGTAATTGATATGGCAGAAGCTGTGCCTTAAGCTGTTCGGGCTGCTCAGCCATTGGCATCTTCGCAAGCTCATCCTCGCCAATAGCGAGTGACTTGATTGCGTCTCCGCCTTTGCGCATCTCAACCGCCTCACTCTTCTCAAGAACATTGTCCATCGTAATCTCAGGCTTCTGTGGAACAGCAAGGTCTTGGCCGAGACCATGCGTTGAGCTACCATTCACAAGACCCATCGCTGCCTTCCTACGGGCTTCAGCTTCCTTTCTAGTGTTCTTGAGCTCCGTGGCCTTGACAAGCCTGTCCTTCTTGAGTGATTCCTCGATTCTAGAGCGCTCTTCCGGGTCGCTAGGTCCATAGAAGAAGAGCTTAACCGGACAGTCGTAGAAGCCTTTCTCACCCGTGAGCTGGGCTTCGAGGACAACGTCGCCACAATCCTGGATTCGCGTCAGACATGGAGATGGTGAACGGCGCAACCATTCGTCTTACCAAATATGGGGCGATTTTCTCGACAACCTTTCGAGGAAGGTGGCCGATTTGATCACCGACGACGTTGTCAACCCGAATGGCGTTGGAGTCGTACTAGAGGGTCAGAGGTCAATTTCAGGCCATGTCGCAGGAGAGACAGAAAATGAGACCACTTGGAGTAGCACGAACCTGGTTGTTGGGTTCTCGTCTGCAAAGAACGTTTTCTGTAAACTTGTGAGCGTTTGTCGTGTGACCTGAAGCATGAAAACATACCACCCGCTGAAGCATATCCTCTGTAGTACCTCACACCAACAATCTTCCCATCTGTTCATGTTAGTGATATGAATGAAGTGTGATGAACTTGTCGTACCCAAGGTTCCGTAAAGTTCAAGAGGGGGACCATCATCATCTTGTGTCAAGTCAAGGTAATCTGGCTCAGCGGTAGATGAAGGCACAGTTTGCGATGAAGAAGTCCCATAGACGCTTGTTCCACCCTGCCCAGGATAGTGCTGGTGTTGGTTCTGGTGACCGCTAGGGGCGGGCCGTTTCTGACGCGTCTCAGACTCATCGTCACCTGTAAGGTCGACGAGGTCGTGCGCGCGTTTGGCAGGTCTTCGTGGCATTTTGGCGATGTAAAATTTGTGATACGACGAGAAGCGAAAGAAGAAAGAGAGGCTCTTCTCCTTTTTGATGATTTCTAAGAAGTGAAACGCTTCACCTCACGGTTGTGTTTCCTCGCCTTGGATATGATCTCGCGTCACAGAATTAATTGCTTCTTGGAGATGGTGCGGATCAATCGGATAACCCGGGATGTAAACTCTAAACAACGGCGGATGGAAATGTCCATTTAATGAACAATGTAACCAATATAAATTCGGAGGAAAGTTTCATACGAGTTTATTTATCTGTTCCCTTCTTTGAATTGCATTGTCCTATTGTAATGTGCATATGGCGAGTGAATGGCAGACACCTCGAGGTACGCGGGTGACTAACACGACAGCCAACTTACGTCACTGCCTTGCAGTTGAGCCCAATCCAACCCATTTGATCGTCAACTGCACAATAGACCTCCTCGGTAAAAGAGAAAACAAGCACCATTGTTGGCTGGAAGTCTTTTCATCTGACATTGTCAATTATTCATTGGGTGTCCCTCTGGTTATTGGTATAATGCAATTCTTGGGGGTCTCTTACAAGGAGTTGGACTCGGGCTCGGGACAATAAACAATCCAATTGTAGCCCAGGACCACAACTATCTCGAATTTGATTATTCAAAAAAGTAGGGACGCGGCACAGCCAGTAATAATAATAATATCACGATAGATCTGACTTTCACGGAGAATTATTCACTGCAGGCCTGATTCCCACTCAATCAACGTTGGGAGAAGTGGACGGGAGGGCCCGATGCAACCCTTTTCCGGTGGCCCGCTATACTGACCCTGGAAAAGTGTCAGGTACACGAACCATTATGGGCAGACAGAGGCTTGGCTTGACATGGGCACGCTATTGAGATGTATCAGTAGATGCATCGACAGTTTTTACGTATCTCTGTTAACACAGTTCAATTGATACTTGTTAGCAAAGTGTCTAATTGACCTGGATCGCCTTAGCACTCTTGGAGATATACAACCCTGTAAGGCTGGTGCCAAGTTTGGGTCACCGGTGTTAGTGAGCATTGGTAGAGAGATAAATGTAGTAGCAAAGAGTTTTCATTATCCAAGCTACAGAAGTTTCCTATGCTAGTCCCAAAAAAGGAAATCCCATCCGTTCTTGACAGCCCGTCAATTGTTGGGCATTGCTCGGGCGTTCGCCATTCTCGTTATATCATCACATGGCCACCAGCCGTATCCTGCGACCTACCACCAAGTACAGTCTCAGTGTTGGAATCCACCCCTGTCTAGTAAAGACCGACAACGATGTCACCCTTGACTCGGGCAGTCAGGTGAACCTCGGCCTCGAGGTCGAGCTTGATACCAACGAGGAGGGCAGCGGACTTCTGAGCACCGTTCTCGTCTGTGGCACCCTTGAGGAGTTGACCTAATACTGTGTGAGTAGGTAGAAGATGAAGAGAGGTGAGTAAGTTACATACCAGCAGGCTGGGAGAGACCAGTGGAGGTGGGCAGAGGAACAACGAATTGCTGCCTCTGGCTGCGGCGACCACCTCGAGCCTGACCATCGGAGTCAGAGTCAGAGGCGTAGGCGGGCTTAGACAGACTATTAATGGCAAATAATGTTAGCTATTAGTTGGAAACTGAGTGGTGAGTTGCTTACGCGGTAGAGTTGCGAACAGGAGCAGGAGAAGAGGGAAGGTTGGCAAAGGGAAGCTCAGAAGTGGGAGGGGGAGAAGTGGTGCTAAGTTAGTCAGTGTGAGGACTCCATTGGTGTTGAGATTGAGCCATTGGGGGCAGTGAAGATGATATGAAGCAAAAGGGAATGCTTACGAAGTAGGGGCAGACATTGTGCTGGATTGTGTTGGAAAAACTTGTCAAAAGTTGTTGAGTGTTTGGAGTGGTGATCGGAGCTGGGGGCTCAAGTAGATGATTGTTGAATGGTTTGAATGGTGAGTGCTGATGAGAAAAGTTGAGTTGAAGGCGACGGAGAGGCCAGCTTATATAGAAGATTTGGCCTCAGTCAAGGGTGACATTCTTCAATGTGCAAGTCGTGATAGCTGTGTCTTGTCTGTCGCAGGGTACCTTAGACGCGAAACATCCCGATGAACGACGAGAATGTCGACCGGGCCTGGCAAGAAGAACCCGGCAACTCAAAATGGCTGCTGATGAGGTGTCAACCTGTACCTGCTGTCTCACACTGATGCACGCTATAGTGTCTAGGTTCTAGGTTGACGAGTATATCTGCGTTGCGGTGGATATTGACATTTTCTGGGGGTGTCGTGCTCCACGATGCATACAAGGTGGTCCCGGGGGAAGACTTCAGCCGCAGATCTTCAGATTCGAGAACGTCTGGGTTTCTAGGGGCCTTTCCAGCTGTTACGGGTATTGAGATCCGGTATGGAGAATGGGCTGAGATGGAAGTGTCACGGTTACAGACCGGGGTTACTTTTGTGCTGTAGAAACGAGAGAGGGGCTATGGAGTGACACGTATCGTATCCCGCGATATCGTCCGATGTTGGTAGGTGCTCTGGCGGCGCTAGTTACAGATACTGTCCTGGGGAAACAGGGAGAACGGGAGTTGTTGATTGTGTTCAGGCTTTACTGAAATGGCGAGGACACTGCTGGCAGTTGGTCAATTGACTCTATCAAGACAACATATTCACTCCATTAACCGTGTAGTCTACTCAATTGGCTGTTTTATGAACGAAATACGTTCAATTAACGTCAATTCGCCGAAACACAACGTTTCTTCAAAGGGGTGGCAGAATCTCCAGCCCATCAACAAGGGTCCTTTAACACCCTCCAGCTAAACATTTAAGCCTCTAAGAACGGGATTTAAAACGGGGGTGGCTTACGGGAAGTCAGGGATATCCGTGCTTGAGTTATGTTTCGCATCATGTCCCTCTGTCCAATCTCGATCACACATACAGGGATCAGGTCCCCTTCGATTAACTTTGTTTTTTCAACACTGTAGCACTCGGATCGAAGGATGGCATGATTCTGTCGGGAAACACCGGCAATCCGCCATGTCCGACACGCATCATCCTGGTTTATACAACTGTTCTGCGTTTTTGAAATTTCTTGGCTGGGGGTGTCTCTTCAGCTGATCAGAACATTAGACCAAGGTACAATATGATAATACCTGATATATAGCTTGCCACTTTGTATAATCTCGCTCAGAGATTACTGCGAGTATCCTGGAGTAACACGCCCCCTTCTTCTACGTGCGTGTCTCGCATTCAACCCATCCCAATAACTTTTCAGAATATTCCCTGTTTTGTTTATTTTTTATTTTTTTTTGCCGCCGGGAATATCGCCACTTGTCCGACGACGTTCAATGTCGTCCCCATCCCCAAACGTTGACTCTGCATCCTCATCTCCCAACGTTGATTCCTCATCGCAACCCCAACAAGACTCGACCCAAAGCACACTCCAGCAACTCTTCGGCGGCTTGTGCAAGCAGAAGCTCTTACAAGAAGTTGATAAGCTCAAGGAAGCTGTTCAGAAAGACGACCCGCAGAAAGTTATCATGTCTTTACCCATGCTTCTAGCTTTGACTGTCTGCCCGGCTATGCTTGGTACGCAAGAAGCCATCAGACAGTCGCAGGCGAAGACAAAGCGCGAAGAGCACCGTGGTCGGCGCTGCAACTTGGTTGTCTCTTGTGTCAAGCCGAGTATCAGATCTCGGGATATCAATAACAAACTTGTTGTCTTGAAAGATTCAAAGGTCAGTCCCTTATGCTTTCCAAGTTATGTAGTATGATGATTAACATCGGAACAGCTCTACATCGCCAATGAGCATCCACTCTACAACCATGATCCCAAAAATAACGTTAGCAAAGGCTACGCCTTTTCAGGATACTTCCTCCCCTTCCCAGATACAGAGTACGAGGGTCTCGTCACTACTATCAGTGATGACCCTCCTTTCTTGAACTGGATCTATATTGACAAGAAGACATATGAAGTCAAGTACGGTGTTCGTGCCGATACAGAGGGTCACATCACTGGTCCGTTTGACTGCACGAAGCAAGACCGTCGCATGACCTGTGAAGGCTGGGAGGGCTTCTGCGCTGTCGAAGAACTCCCCGGCATCTGGGCTCTATACTACGACCGCGATGACGATGGCCTCAAGTCAAAGGTTGCCATGGGTACTCGCGTGCTAGAAGTAGAGCTGACCAGGCGAGAGAAGAAGGAGCCCAAGCCTGCAGGCGAGCCTGAAAAGCCCATGACCATGGATGAAAAGATGAAGCAGCACAAAGAGCAGACTGCCAAAGACGAAGCCGACCGTGCTGCATTTGTCGCAACTGGTCGTCATCCAGGTGCTGAGCCACCTTCCCCAGCTCACAAGCCTGAGCAGAAGAAGAACGGGCTCCTCGATTCAGACTCCAAGGAAGCTAAGCGCCAGCGCATCGCCGATGCTCTGAGCCGTCTGAACATCGACAGTCCCACCAAGAGTGAAGGAGGGTCAGATGGAAGTATTTTGACAAGTCTGAGTCAGGACTTCTCTATCTTCTCAATGACCAAGAAGTTGACTGGGGAGGAGGCTGGTACAGTGGCAAGTTCAGTTTGGGAGCCAGAGAAGGAGAAGGATAAGGATCACAAGAAAAATGACTCTGCGAGTGAGGCGGGATCGTATAGGAAACCTACTGTTGAAGATGCTACATCTGGATAGAATACTTTGTTTGGTAGGGTGTTGCATTCACATTCGTTTGGTCACTGGCGTTTGGGCATCAATGTTATTACGGGGAAAGGAACTATCATGTACACTGGATCTACTCGAGGATTTACGGTTATTCTTATGGCCAATATTAGCGCATGTACTATAATTGATAGTGTCAAATTGATCTGAGTTATCTGAAAACCTTATCCAAGTTTCGAGTGCCAAATCAACCAGCAAGTAGTGCCCCCAGCCGCGAAACTTGTTATCAATTAATCTCATAGCCTAACTGATACCCATGCAAAGTTAATTGGTAATAAATTCTACAGTAAAACGTCACTGATGAGTTGTCTAGCATAAGGACCATGCATCCGGTTTCTATCCGGTCGCCCCCAGAACCGCCACAACCGCCCCGGGAACAAGGGCCAGATTTAATGCATAACTCTGCAAGGACAAGTATTCGCTGCAATGTGCCACTGAGAAAAAATCCGGGGGCGCATGCATGCTGCAGGAGGAGTTGCAGCATCAGTTTCGCAAGCCTCACCCTGTCAGATCATGTGTGTCACGGAGAAGTTTAGAAATACTCTACCGAGCCAAAGGATTCGATAAAGATTTGAAAACATAGGGATTTCTCCAATTGTTTGACAATTGGCAAAACATATGATGATATACTAGAATCTTTCGATTTTCTATGACTATGTTTCAGATTAAACCTCACGCGACAAAACATGTCTCGCAGATCGGTAACGAAGTGTTTCTTACACGACCCCTTAGAATCCCGCTACACCTTGAAATCTGACAACGGAGGGTAGATCATGTAACCCTCCCACTTCTCGAACAAGGTGTCGCCATTGGATGTTGAGATTTCTTCCCCAGACCGTGAAGCAGGGGTGAAGCAAGTACAAGGACTAGGATCTGAAGAGATCTATCGGAATAGATTCGGAAATGATGTGCTGCTGCGCGCATATCCGGTGCATGTTTGCGCTGGCGGGTTGGATTCCAGAATGAATTTCGGACGGGCGGTTATGCGTGACATCTGAAAGTGAGACATTTGTCCTTGAACCCGATATATTCCGCCATGAGAGTGGATGTTGAGAGAATGGGGCTGACTGATATCTCAGCGCTCAACATCAAAAAGAAAAGAAAGTAAATGTTTTCCTGTTTATGAGTGGATACTATCGTGCTTGTGATCTATTTGGAGTTACAGCTTCATCCACTCTCTCAGCCCCAGCTGAACCTTGTTGGCCTTAATCTCTTACCCGCCTCGATTTGTCAACTTGCACTCGATCAGATGTCGCCCATCTCATCCCGCACCCGCAGAGCCGCTCTGACATGCATATTAATATCCCGCCTCGGACCCGGAGACAGGTCCTTTTGTCATGCAGCAGCGGAGATGAGCCGGGCGTTTATCCAAGACATGGCCAGCTTTCCCACTTCTCCCTCCACTTGCCGGTCCTTCATTGGGAATCCGCGGAGTAGATGCGTATCTTATCCATCAATGGTTATTAAAAGTCCTTTTTGTTTCGATGTACAGCTTCTGGATGCCTGGGTCGTGATACTGGCTCAAGGGTTGGTTCGTCGAAGTCAAGAAAAGCAAATATGAAGTAGCATTTCGTATTCAGCTTCGGCATATATATGTGATCCACACTTCGTTGGCATTGAACTCCACACGCTAACCCTGTCTGCATATTGGGTCAATACCAACCTCTTCTATTAGTGCCGCCTGGGAGCCTGGTGAGTCTACCTCGGTTGTTGGTGTGCCGTTCATCTTTGGCTGTTACAGGGACAGAGCTACAAGTCTAAGAACCCAACTGTGAGTTTGCTGCTCACACTTTGAGCCTGCGTTATATGCTCCTTTTCTCCTCAGCAATCATTACGATATTCTCTGAAGCCTCCTTGAATCACATCATAGTTAAGATATCTTCGCCATGGAGAGGACGCCTTGTCTGTTTTCTGACATGATCCTCTTTGAACTTTCAACAATCTCTTCATAAACTTTGGCTCCGAGTCCACTCTAACCAAACGACTGAGAGACTACAAATCATTATTCATCAACTTTGGGCACTTAGTTGAAATACAAAAAAGTCCCACCGCTGATAACATAAAAACGTCCTTCATCGTGATTTTATGATGCTATAGTCACAAGATGCCTCTGAGGTCATAGGCTCAAACACGCAGAACTAGAATGATACAACCGTCAGTATGCTGCCTGAAGTGTTATTTTAAGTTGATAAACCTGATAGCTGATGCTTGTATCGCGCGCCTTACCTCGATGCAACCATCAGAAATTAAAGAGGCAGGGTCGAGCATAGTTGAGACGTTGATGTGAAGTTGGTTTGCATGGCCAGCCTGAGAACCCCTCCCTGTATTAATAGGGTTTATCAGTAGGGATAGGTAGTAGCACCTCAAACAATCGAGCATATATGAAATAAAATTTCAACTGCAGCTGCTGTCGTAGATATAACCGAGGGAGCAAGGTTAAACTTTCAGTCATGGGTCTCGACTTCAGACAACGCCTCTGGCCCATAGTTCAACTTAAGCTATTGAAGATCAAACTCGGGTCTGAACTACAGACCTGACCCTGACGTTACATTAATAGATTTGGGTAGCAGAGACACCTACTCTGAGCATACATTACTTGTCACTGAAGTTGCAATCGGGAAATAGTTCATGGTAAATTTTCCAAGTGTGAGCTTGCAGGGACAACTGCGTTGTTGTTTGTTCAAAGGCTATACAAGAAAGCCCAACAACTGAAAGGGCAAGGATCTGACCGAAACCCGACGGTATTCGATGGGTTTTACGTCAAAGAATGTATAAGATCCGACTGAAAACTGTCTGATATTGCTCGAGTTTGTGAGTCGCAACGTTGAATAGCCATGTTAATATGACTGAGAGACAGTTGCATTGTCGAGCGATCTAGAGATTCTTTCCAAGATATGAAATTATCGGAAGACACCTGTCATCGCTCTAGAATGATACCCGACTACTAAAACAATTATAGTCAAATCAAGATATCCTAACTTTAAATGAAACAATGATCAAGCACTATTGATTCAGCATTGGCACTAGAGGTTGCGATACAGGGTATGCTATGTGTTATTGATAAAGACAAGGGCTATGACCATGGCACAAAGCAGCTTCATCGAGGATGATAAGGTGTTTAGTGTTATCTACAAACGTTACATCATCCGGTGCACTTTCAAAGGACATATAGTAATGAAAGCCTAGATGATGAGGTTTAAAATTGTTCCCTGTTTATTCCCCTTATCAGCATCAATGGATGATGATGATGGTGCATCCCCACTGTCGTAAAACACCATGGTGACACGAGTGTGGAGTTGTCGCGTGCAAGATGACGGAGGCTTACGTGGCTGTGCGACTACGTACAGTCTGGCTAGAACTTGGATGGGTCTGAAGAGCACTAGCGGATCCCTCGATGGCTTCAGAGCTAGCATCGCAAATCTGAGGCTATCTCTAGGCTAGTAAACGTCCGGGCGTTCAACGGTCACTAGCTTCAGGGAAAATATATGATCAAAAAGGTAATAAGTATATGAAATAGACAGACAATGTCTTAGACATGTCAAAGAATACTGTTGAACATATATATATAAATATTCAAGGAAATGCAAATGGAGCCCCAACGCCGCCAAACCCAAGTCATATGTCGTTCATGGTTTTCCGATACGAACAATAACCCAAAAGGTCATAATTGTCATTTAGTTCCTGAGAATGTTAGCAATGATCATGGCGACAATTGTTGTTGAACTTACAGCAAGCAAAGAGTGAGATCACCGTGGATTCTCGCCTTAAGCTGAATCTCGATCTCAAGGTTCAATTCAAGATGCAGGGAAAGGGCATCACTCTTCCCACCACCACCCTGTTGTTGCTGCTGCTGCTGCATCTGTTGCTGTTGTTGCTGCTGCATTTGTTGTTGCTGCATCTGCTGCTGCTGAGCGTTGTAGTTGCTCTGGGCCATCTGGCTGTTGTCCTGCTCGTCATCGTAGTCTTCGAATCGAGCGCGTCGCTTGCGTCGCTCGGACTTTTGCTTCTTGGTCTTTGTCTTTCGCGCGGGCTTCTCCTGCTCGAGCTGCTCCTCCTCGAGATCGCTTCTCTGCTCAGCCTGGTTGTGTTAGTGATTGGGCTACCAGTAAGAATGCTTGGGTACATACGGATGATGACGACATATTGCGGCCCGGGAATCAGATCAAAGTGTAATGGGAGGAGGGAAGAAAGCGATGGAATGAAGATGTAGAGAGAAGGATACAGAAAAACTCCACCAGAAGATAGAATATTCTTAAATGTCTAGAATTAAAGCAGATTTCCTGATTTCTCCTTTCTCCGCAAATGCAAACAGGATCGATCATCGAAATTCGAAAGAGGCTGACGTGCAAATCGTCATAATAGCGACGCTGCCATGATTTACCGCTAGAATCAAGTTCTTGACCCCAGAACTTACAGGGGGTGCAAGTTCAAGGGTGCTGTGACGTAATGATGTGGCTGGTACGTAGGCCAATAGCTGAAACAAGACCTCGCTTTCAGATGCCATAACGTAGAGTTTCCTTGACATATGAAATAAATGCAGTGTTACTCCCTTGTAATAATTGGACCTGGTAACAATCACATTGTTCCCTTGGCCGGTTTTGGTGTTGGTCACGTGGGGGGCTCGTATACCCGGATCCTCTACTCCGTAGAGTTTAGATCGAGTCAAGACTTGATACAGCAACCGTTTAAGCAAGAGTCTCTGAAAACGCAAGGCACCAATCACATACGAAAAATCTTCCGAAGCTCGTATATCATCTTCAGTCCAGCGAAAATGCTGTATGGGTGATAGTCAACTGCTTTGTCTAATGAGCTTCTGTTACCACATATAAAGAAAAAGTATCAATATTGATTATATCACGACATCATTTTGCATTGCGTCAATCATGACGAGCTCAAATTGTAGGTCACTAGATTACCCAGTTAGTTGGAATCTCTGTTGGCTCGGTCCAGAGAATATCTCAATAGAGACTCTGCTCAAAACGATACTTTACTAAATGAATCGACCCATCACCAATGTCTTACCATGCTGATGACTGGAAACCTCCCACCATCATAAAGGGGAAAAGAATATTGACCTGTCAAGCCTTTTATTCTCATCGGAAGAAAAACTCGTCAACCCACATGTTTATTCCCTGAAAGTACACGATAAGTATGTTGCTCTGTCTTCATTAATCTTACTGCCTCAACATGTTATATATTTCAAGAGTTATTGAGGGTTTACCCCCATATTCAAGGTCCTAATCCAAACCCAGATTATCATTAGTATGAAAAGAGCTACTCGACTATATTACCTTGAAAGTATACCTTACAGTTGCCGGCATGTTTACTTGGAAGCCAACGGAGTTCGCAAACATGTCATTGCAACATATCCATCCAGGAGCTTTGTTACACTTTGTGAAAGCTCAACTCTATCAATTTCAAAGAATATCCACAAGCATTTATGTGAGTGTGCTGTTGGCTCTGAAACCAACACGCCAAGATGCGGGGGTCTGACCGTTGAATTCTGTATTCATACTGAATCGGGCAATAATTCGAGAGTCGCTTAATTGACAGTGCCGTTGTTGGTGGTACTCTGAGTTGCTTTGCAGCTCACCTTCCTTTCACTGCAAAGTTTGTTCTTGTAACCTTGCTACGCGAGACAAACAATTCTGGGGCATCTGACTGTCTGACTCACGTCGTGATGCATGGCGCGGGTTTATTGGATGAACTACAAATATTGGGGTAAGTTTGACTCACCGTGTTGAGATCGTCGTATGAGACGTCTTAATGCATTGATCTGATGGAATTTTAGCAATGTTTCAGAGAAGCATATCAAGCCAACGCATATAAAAAGAACCGAAGCCTTTTTCTAGATCAATTGCTCTACTGATTCACAAAGATTCTTATCAAAACCCCAAATCGCTTCGAAGTACAGACTCCATCAGCTTACCAATACCTGAGCTCAACATGACTCGAACCACTTTGCTTGACCGAGATTGCGTTGTCACCGATAGAGGAGGCATTATTGAGAATACGCACGGCGTACACATCGCCGTAACGGATACAGAGGGTAATATCCTCCTCTCAGCTGGGAACCCCTCTCGTGTTACCCATTCTCGATCCGCAGCCAAGCCTGCCCAGGCCGTCGCTGTGATCGAGACTGGCGCAGTGGATAAGTTTGGATTCGATGAGACTGATCTTGCTCTGATGTGTGCCTCGCACTCAAGTGAGGATTTTCACATCGCGCGCGCCAAGAAAATGCTGAGCAAGATTAAAGCGGAGGAAGATGATCTTCGATGTGGCGGTCACCCTGCCGTTTCTGAAGAGGTGAACCGTGAGTGGATAAAGACTGGATTCGAGCCAACGGGAATCTGTAACAATTGCTCCGGAAAGCATGTTGCGATGATGGCCGGTGCTGAAGCGTTGGGAGCTGATGTCAGAGACTATCATTTGCCGGATCATCCTATGCAGCTTGAGGTCAAAAGGGTTGTCAACGACCTGGCTTATGACCCGAAACAAGTAGAATGGGGTGTTGATGGATGCAATCTTCCAGCACCGGCATATCCTCTTTTCTATCTAGCACAAAAATATGCAACCTTCGCCGACGCAGCGGACGCTGTGAAGGCATCTTCACCAACAACTCAAAGGACCCAAAACCTGGCACGCGTCTTTAACGCCATGACGAAACATCCAGAGCAAGTCGGCGGAACAGGACGTTTCTGTACAGTTCTGATGCAGAGCTATCAAGGGCAACTGTTTGGCAAAGTTGGTGCTGATGCGTCTTATGGAATAGGCGTTCGAGAGTCTAAAGATACTCGGCGCCTTGGGGCGAAAGGGGCACTTGGAATAGCCGCCAAGATCGAGGACGGTAATCTTGAGATCCTCTATGCGGTTGTTCCAGAGATTCTCGAACAGTTAGGCATCGGTACGCCCGAGCAAAGAGGAAGACTAGATGGCTTTCACCATCTTCAGCGGAGCAATACAATGAGAGAAGTAACGGGGCATGTGAGATTCAATTTCAAAGTACGACCGTTTGGGGATAGAGTAGACTAGAGTACTCGGTATTTCGGCAGGCAATGAAGATATTGTGTTGGGGAGGACTTGATATTGAACCAGTCACAAAGTGAATGCTGATTGGTGGTAAGAGAATATCCCGGGACTAAATATCAAGTGCAGGGGTCATATTAGTCGACAAGCGTACTACTGGTCTACTGCTTAAAGTACGATATTTGCCTAAAGACGATAGTAGCAATTATGCCAGGGGAATAAAAGCATTTCTAGTAAGCGTGTTCTTACCATATATTTCTATAGTTTGATCACTTTGTATCTCTTTGCCTACTGAGTCCCCTGTCAAGTATGTCTATCATGCATAGAAGCTTCGCTTGCTGCGAGAGCCCGGAGCTTTTCAGAATTCCAAATCCCAATGGCTTTAATTCGAAATGATACTTTATGAAACAAGGATCTGAATCTCCTTCCCATCGGGGTTGCTCCGCACCCCACAGCTCAATCACCCCAGATCGACATCCATTCCTGGGGCTAGCAACGCGGGGAATAGTCAAATTAATCTCATACCCCGCCAGAGCTACGACACTGCGTGGAATAGATAACAGATTCCTCGATTATCCTTGGTGGAAACAATGTGGCCGTGGCAATATAAGATGGTCCCTAGTCTGAGTAGTAGTCTGAGGTCTGAGAGCAATATGAGTGACTGACTTATAAGTCGTCTGATGTTCAAGTCTTGGTATTGAGGAACTCAAGAGAGAGTTTAGTGTCGTGACTATCCGTTCGCCAAAATGGCGCACCTCAATATGATATCGATATCCATCTTTCTATTTACTGCGTTTGCTTGGACGACAAGTGCAGCTTCTCCTAAAGCTACAACATTGAATGGAACCTACGTTGGCAAGAACCTACCCAGCTGGGATCAAGATGCATTCCTAGGCATTCCTTACGCTCAACCCCCTGTTGGGGATCTCCGGTTCAAGTGGCCTCAGAGCTTGGACAGTTCTTTCAAAGAGGAACGCACAGCCACTGAGTATGGAGACAGTTGCATGCAGTACACTCAGAACTGGACCATGTCTGAGGACTGCCTTTCTTTGAATGTTATTCGACCAGCTGGAAAGCCCAAGAAACCTCTACCAGTTCTGTACGTCTCCAAAACAACAAATAATTTTTCAAGTCTGACAGCAAGAACACAGAGTTTGGATTTACGGTGGTGGTCTATACGCCGGCAGCTCTGCCGACCCACAATACAACCTCAGCGGGATTGTCAAAGTCAGTCAAGACATTAAAGAGCCTATCCTCGCAGTGAGCTTCAACTACAGACTGGGTATGTGGGGGTTTCTTCAGAATTTCAACCTTCTGAAGGAGGGTAACGCCAATGCTGGCCTGTTAGACCAGCGACTCGCGTTACGTTGGATCCAAGAGAACATTGAAGCTTTTGGAGGTGACCCAGAGCGAGTTGTTGTGTGGGGTGAGAGTGCTGGTGCTCAGAGCATTGCGTATCAAATGTTTAGTTACGATGGTCGAGATGATGGACTGTACCGGGGAGCTATCCTTGAATCAGGAGGTATTACAGGTGCACAGGTATGAACTTCAACGCCGCTGTTTTTGACTTTGCTAACAGAGTTTGTCTAGATTCATGATCTCAGTTACTACAATGTCGCTTTTGAAAACCTCACAAGAACTGTGGGGTGCTGGGACAAAAAGGATCAGCTATCGTGCCTTCGAGAGTTAGATGAGAAGTCATTATATGCTGCGCGTCCATCATTGACATTCAACCCTCTGATTGACGGCAGATTCCTGACCGGTTACCCCAGCCAGCTCATCCGCGAGAAGAACTATCACACTGTGCCTCTTCTAATCGGCGCGAATACTGATGAGGGCTTCTGTATCGGAAAAGTCAACACGGATCAAGATCTCTTCTACGAAGCTTTTCGATGGCGGAATTATGCTCTGAGTGCGCCAACTATCCGAAAGCTCATGCAACTTTATCCTGATGATCCATGCCATCAGCCTCCTTACGCCATCACAAATTGCTCAAGACAGGATGGCAACTATCAAGGACGACGTGCGTGTGCTATTGGCGCCGACATAACCATGATCTCTGGACGCCGCAAACTTGCAGAGCTATATGCCCAGTCTGAGGATGTATACTCCTACCGATTCGATCAAAGACCATACCTGAGATCTGAATGGGATGGCGTGAAACATTTTGATAATGTTGCATTTAGCTTCCAGAATATTTCTGGATTGCTAGGCCCAAGTCCGCAATACGATAGCCACGTTGAGCTGGCCAACGCCATTGGACAGGCTTATGTAAGATTCGTCAACAGTCTGGATCCTAATTCCAAGAAGGGGAAGCTTCCGAAATGGCCAAAGTACAACAAGTCAAAGCCCAAGAACATGGTGTTTAATGCTACGAAGAATTGGATTGAGGATGATACCTGGCGAAAACAGGGTATTGACTATATCAACTCCTATGAAGTGGCACGAGAACTATATGGTTAAAGACGGGGTGAATTTCCAAAAGAGAACAAAACAGGAAAGATATCATCAAGCTGGAGGCATAGTCTATTAATTTCGGTTAGTCTAGCTAGGAGGTGGCACAAAACTTAGGACTTCAACCCTAAGTGATGATTCTACGAAGCACTTAGACAAGTTCATGATAATTCAGGACAGACTTAGCAGGGCTTTTGACTCATTTATTTTTGCCCCCTAATGCAAGGGCCTAATTCTTTAAACAACCCAAGGTCCTGGTTTCATCTGATGTCCAACGGTCCTCGTATAGATCGGCAACGCCGAGGCTCGCTTCTAACAATGCGAGTATTACCCATGCATATTCCTCCATCTGAACTTGCCTCGTAAGGCAATTTTAGCCCGGAAGACCCCAGCTGCCGACGCTATGAGAATCAACCTTGTGTGACAACTCGAAGCAGTTAGGATTTTCGGAGGAGATTCTGAGAATGGTAGTATCGATAGACCGTGCAGACCTTGTATAGTGCACGGAATAAATATAGTCAAGTATATCCTGGACTTTCTCAAACTCGCTAACGGGGATATTTGTAGCACGATTAAACTCTATTTTGAACTCATCAAGACGCTCTGATCGAAGACTGTACGAGCCTTCACTTGGCACTTTTTAACTTTCTAATATTTAGCATGTTGATATAGTAGAAATACCGTAATAGTACTAACGACCATGAACATCCCCATGGATACCGTGCTTCTTGCTGTGGGGAAATAAGCTTTACAGAATGCCAAGACTCATACCGAAGAACAAGGGGCCAAACCCTTGTTTGAAATACGAGTGGATATATCCAGCAGGAAACAAGGAGACAATATAACACCTGGATCATACCCTTTTCAAACCTTCTCTTCCTCAACGGCGACTACCTTTACTATGACCTTAGAATTCCGGCCAAGATGACTGGGAAAGTTGATAAGCTCATTTCCTCTGTGACCCTGGCTGGAAGCCTTTTATCTTGCGTTGCTACTACATGTGTTCTTGTTTCGTTCGTTATATATCGTCGGCATCTCCGAAACTTTCGACATGTCCTCGTGTTGAATCTTATGGCTGCAGGTGTGCAAGCATTCCGTCATTGTTGCCCATGAATTCAACTAACTGCTTCTCAGAGTTTATCAACACTCTCAACAACTCAATATCAGGTAGCATATTTCTTAATACTGGACAGCTCCAGGATGGGATACCATGCGTTGTCAACGGGTTCATCGGCCAGCTGTCAGTTTCAGCAGCTGACTTTTCAGTACTGGCTATTTCTGTCACAACCCTGCTCACTGTGAAGAGGATGTTGTACATACCGACAACTTCAAGAACAAAAAAGGGCTTGATTTGTGCAGCAGTATGGACCATGCCCCTCATCACAAGTATCATACCGACTGCTGCAGGAGAGATGAAGCCAGTGGGCGGCAATTGGTGCTGGATATCGGCAACTAGGCCAGATTTACGCTACGGTATGACACATGGCTGGCGCTTCTTCGTTATCTTCACGACTATTATTATCTACATCTACATCTGGATTTACCTGAGGAGACATCTGGGCTCAAAGCCAAAACAACCTCGGCAGCCTCTAACCTTCTCAACGCACAATACCAACACACTCTTTTCCAAAGGCTCCAAGGACGCGGGATTCCAAGTTATGCAAGAGGATGAAGTCGAGCTGGACACTTTCAAGACGAGATACGGGAATATTGACACACCCATTTCACCCATATTCGAGCGAGGGAACAAGATGGACGAAATCGATGATATGGAAAGAAAAGGTGAGAGCGAGGCGAGTAATAGTAGGGGAAGGGGAGAGTCTATCCGTCATCGGCCAACATCATCAAAAAGAGGAGCAGAGATGGCCTATACAGGACTTGCTAACACTGAACCGATCGAAGCATCACCGACGCCACAGCGCCAGATCAACGTTTTACAAACCAATGCCAGCGAATTCCCTCAGCGCCGAGCCACACACGACGTTGAAGTCGAAATAAAAAGGATGATGTTGCTGAATGGGTACCCAGTTATGTACGTTTTGCTCTGGATCCCAGGACTTACGAATCGGCTCCTGGAAGCGATGCAGACGCCTGTTTCGGATACAACGATTGCTGCTCTAAATACCTCGACGCAGTTCATCGGCTTTGCGAATGCAGTTACTTATGGATTTAATCATCATCTGAGGGATAGGCTGGATGCGCTTTATTGGACGCCCATGATTATGAGAATGAAGAAGCGATTTGGGCAATAATGGGTTGACATTTTTTATACTTATGAACATAAACTCATTCCACAAAAGCCCAAATTTGTACTTTATTGCCAAGACAGCCTTTTCTGATATTGTTCGTTGAAGTGATACTGCCTAATGGAATATTTCTAACCAAGTGAGTACTCTAATTGGAAACGCTGTAAACCACGGCCTAATAGCTATAATTTCAAAGAGGGTGAGCGGAATACCTTCTTTAGGCTAGACAAGAAAGTTATCGACGTCAAGAAGGTCCAAATAACCTCCATTGAAGAAGAAATCGAGATCAAGAGATTCAACTTGACCTCCAGCCCCAGAATTATGACATGCCTTGTTAGCGCTGGTGCTCTGAGCAGCATGAAAATGAAACTGCGACTCTTGCCGTACAAACTCCACCGAATTAACACCATCTACCCTCAAAAAATTGTCCCAAGCCCGTTCAACACTGAGCCGAACTGCCACAGAATACGCATTCGATTCATTGCAACGACGCCTCACTTCTTGCAAGGCAGAATAGAGCTCATTTTTGGCTATCGCAGGGGGTAGCTCATCGTATTGACCTAGAATAAGCAAGGAATAAGCAACGCAGAGGGAGTGAAACTCGGGTAAGTCTCCAGAGCTTGAACTTGGGATGGCGATGAATGCCTGTATGACTCGGAAGCTGAGCTCGTATACGTGGCCTTGGAGGGACTTTGTGGAAGGGTCTTGCATATGCACTGTAGAACTGCGAGACGTCTGTGGCGAGAGCGATGAGGCGTGATTCAAGTCATCTACCTCGACCCTATCCAGAGTTCGTTTCGCTAGGATGACGTTGGCAATACAATAACTGAACTTCAGCATGAGACCTGTAGGTAGATCTTGCAACTATTAGCACCCAGAATATAATTTCAGTATAATATTTGAAGAAATGGCTTACCAAGGAGGTATCCATATTGCTGCTTCCAAATTGCAAACTTGGAGCTGAAACCGTCGTTTGTGAAGGTAGGTTTAACGCAGTCTTCTTTCTGGAGTGTACAGTACAGTGAGATTTCAGCAAGCAGCATCGCGTCGCGCATTGTGGTCTGCTCGAAATTGAGTAGATTTCTGCACTGGCTAAAGTACGAGCTAGGTAATATGGATGGTCTCCCTGTAGTAGCTGACCAACTTTTGAAACTACCATCAGCATTCGAGCTTTTCAGAAAGAAAGCTATTGGGTTCACTCACTGCAGATGGTTCAGACATATGTTTGCCCAGATTCTCATCGATCGAAGGTCCAGCTTCGTTGAAGTCCCAGCGTTGGTTCGCTGATGAATATCTGAAAATTGAATACACAGCATCGCCTGCTGTGAACAAATACCACTCAACAGCCAGCTATCGACATATTCAGCCTCGCACTAGATGTATTAGTGAGGACACTTTCAGACGACACGGGAGTTATTACCGATGGTGATCCGGCGAAAAGAGAGCAGATGAGAACACCAGTGATTTCTTCGAGATGCAGAGGACTCCCCAGCACTACCTGACCAAGCATGTTTCGCATATGCTCGTAGACTTGCCTGTGCTTCAAGGCATCTGTATGGCTTGTGTGCGTAAACCTCATCTCATGTGAGCACAACACAGCATGGAGAAATGGTGATGTTTGGATCAAAGAGCCTCTGGTAACCAGATCGCTCTCGTCATTAATGAAAAGAACGTGGCGTCGCCGTCGAATAAAGCTTTGGGTTGGTATTAGTATGATTCCGAGACTTAATAGAACATCGAGGTCTCTTACGATTTGACGAGATTTTCAGCAGTTGTGGCATTAAGCATACCCATGTGTACAACATCCTCTTTCGTGTGGAACGCTCTTCTCAAGTCACCAGTCACCTGGCAGGCGACACGCCGGATAACTTCAGCTGGAGCAGCATGAACATGTTGATCCGCGGGTTCGATCTCGTCCATCAACACACGACTGTTTGTCGACGCTTGAGGAGAAGCACTTTGCTCAACAACACTTTGCTGTGTTGAGTCGCATCCTGATTGGAGTTTCGCTAGCTGGGCTCTTACATCTTGCATAGAGCTCTCCAAATGCAGCACCTTCTGATGCAAACTACCCAAGATTAGGAGGAACGCTGGTTAGTTGAGAGAGTCTTCTAGGTACCTTTTGACAAGATCTTGCTGTGGAGTCGTTTCTTGTGTCCCATATGACTGATCCAGACTATCGCTTCTAAGACAAGGTATTCTCAAGTTTCGGCATCTTGAGCAAGTGTCGGAGCCAAAGTCCAGCTCGCATCTGCATTTTAGTCGGCGGCAAGCGTCACAGGAGAGGATCCGACGACGTCGCTTCTTGGAGGGTTCATTTTCAACTGGAGTTGCTGATGCTGATCCCTGAGCTCCAATTGAGCCAGTTGCTGAATCCTCACGTGTTCTTTTGTCAGTCATCGTCAGGTAGTTCCAAGTGGTAATAAGAAGCTGGAGAGAAAACCCCGCAAGCCGTCGGAAATCGGCGGAGGATAGGCACCAGCTACCGTACACGAATGTAGAACTCAATTGCAAGCCAATTTCTCAACAAATCAGCATCCGGTATGGTGTAGTGGCTAACATTTCGCGCTCTCATAACCTGAGAGATCAGTTCCGCGGAGCCCAGGGTTCGATTCCCTGTACCGGAGATGGATATAACTTTTTCTTTTTTGCATAGAGATAAAACGGTAACAGGTACGTATAATCTTTTTTGCTCCCCTTGCTGAGCTTACGATTGGGAGATACTTTAGCTTGTGAAGATGTCATAAACTACTGTGCACTAACAGTAAGGTATCCTTAATCCCTCACCACTCTACACCTACTTACTGTGCAGTTAGTAAGCGCATGATATATAGTCATAGGTATGGCTGGAGGTCGCATGCCTATTTCAATATTGATATTAAAAACGTGGACAACTATGCAGCTTTAACATCTATTGAAATAAAGGTTGAATAAATGGGAATATGCCAACGATAAGCTTCTGAAGCTCTCAAGAGACGTCAGGGTCGGTGAGAACATCTCTCCTCTAACTCAATAGTTGAATCTAAGTGTTAGTTGCTTATATAGGTATGTTGAATTCCATTTCCACCTCCTAGTTCGTGTATCAGCTAACGCTTTAATGCTATGGGGAATATGTTAAAAATTTCAAAATCGCCTCACATTATCAGTCTCCAAGACGTTATAATCAACCGACAAGTTAATACGTTAATACATATGAGATTCTTTTCATGCAGTTCATCAGCGAAACGAAACAAATAGACCGTCCTCATAACTCTCATCAACAAAAGAACGTAAGTTGGCCTTATGCCCGAACTCCTCGAGCACGAAACGGTCATCCCCAAGTGTGAGCCCATCGATATCTGAGGCAACACTATTTCCTGCTGCTGAAAGCCCAATATCAATAGATCCTATGTTCGCCTCACATCCTCCGTAATTCACAATACTCGGCCCCGCCTGTGTCGATTCCCAGCCTCCCTTAGGATAAACAATCCGGCGGATACGGTATGCAAAGACAAAATCTGACGATTCCCCATATGTCTCTTCGTCGTAGACATCCCTGGATATGGTGAACTGCGGTCCGCCATCCAACGGCACGCCCAAGCTTTCACCACCAAATCCAGCTCGTGCACCGCCCCCAACACGCCTCGAAGAGGAGATTGAGCCGACTGCACCACGTGCTATCTTGACGCCTGTTACCATGAACAGACGCTGCCTGCGCTTGACGGCCTCAGTAGCAACGGCTTTGACGCTGTCTTTGACATAGTCGTCCGTTGGCTCTATGGAGTATGTATCGAGTCTTTCGCATGTATGAGACACGTCATTGGCGTTATTCCAGTCAAAGTTGGATTCCGCTGTAACGCCTACAGCCTGGAGGAAATTTGCCCAAATCCCCAACGATCCACTACTTGCTTTGCCTTTGCCGATAGACCAAGGGGCTTTAAAAGTATGGTTGGTTTCCATGTCTTCGGGGATGGGGAGAGGCGGTCCGCAGAACGAGCCAGGATCCAATGGGTGTTTCCAAATGTGGCCAAGGCGAATTGCTTTGTCAGGTTCATAATCGAGATTTGGAGCTCGTATATAGATTAAGGCTGACTTTTTGCTCATATTGTGTGTTCGTTGTTGTTGCTGACCTGGCTAAGTAAAGTAGAGAGAGGAAAAGGATGTTATATAACGACAAACTTTCAAGGCAATAGCAACTATGTTTTCATGCGATGGACGTGTTCTCATTAACTTCAAGGATGACGCAGTTCAAGGAGGAAGCTCCTTTTTCTAACGGATCACTGACCGGAGGCCTATCGATTTGTGGCTTGAGGCTGAAAACCAACCAGTTGGTGCAGGGCTAGATCGTTATGGGCTGAGGCTATGCCATACCAGTGCTTCTAAGAGCCTCTGTTCTAGTTGTTTCTGGGCTTTTAGGTTCGCATCTAAAGTGCAAGGCGTTCAGCAAGGCTGTGACGACAGGTACAGGTTATGAGAACTGTGATAAAGTGTTGTCTTCTTGTACGCCCTTCATGGCTTCTACTATTACAAAAAACACCAAATTGTTTAAGAGGATGTTATAATCAGATTTCTTTCCCCTAAAATTTTACCTTACTGTTTACCTTCTTGTTGGCAATAGTTTGAACCTCTGATTAGCTTATTTCGTTAACAAGTATATTCATCAAGTTTGGGTTTCATATGCTTAGTACCTTGATGTCTTGCCAAATGATATAATTCTTTTAACTATATTCAATAGATATCACATATAAGTTGATGGTAATCGTTAGAGCGGTTCATATGTGCAGTTGACTCGGGTGCTTAATCGTTGCGCAGTGGCCCATAATCTAGCTTCTAACCAGACAGATTGATAGAGTGTCTTTTGACAATTATTTATTTGCTCTGTATGATATTTGTCTCTCGTTTCGGAAAGTTTAGCCGACAGCTCGTCGAAAAAGGCTAAAACAACGACCACCTTATTTTTCCCCATAATTGCGGTTTATCCCGGCCCAGAGAATAAGGAATAGTTTGGGGCAACCAGATTCTAGACTGAACCGTATGCTCCTAATGGGACTAGATTAGGATAATCTTACGTAGTAAATTGATATAATGTCTATAGGCGTTACTAAAACAAGCTTATACATCACATAATTGTCTCGGATTCTGGGGCCAGCAACCAGGCACTAGCGTATGCAAGCCGAGTTCGGATATTTTGCAAGTCAGACTTACAATAAGAAGTATATCGTGATTCCGGAATTCCGATCCCAGCCGGCTCTCTGGTCGTTTCTGTGTGTCATTATTCTGATATCGATCTTATCCTCGGTTCGTAAGTTTGGAGTACTAAACTAACATGCGGACCTTTTAGGATGCGAGATTTGACTTGAAGGGAGGAGGTGCAAGCATGCAAAGGACGGCTTTTGAGTTAATGAAAGGGAAAAGACTTCTAGATACCAAATACATACTCAAATTTCGACGTTTATTTAAGGTCACTAGATGCTTGATCAGTCTATTCAGAATGCGGCTCGTTGTCATAGCATTACGAAGAGCCTCAAACAATCTGCCGTGCACCACTATCATTCAACAGCCTACCTAGTAGACTTTGAGTCTGCGATACCCCCATGTTCTAGACTCGATTGGACTCAAGGACTACCCACAAGATCCATTGAGCTTGAATAACTTGGCCTAGTTATCCCGAAGGCCACTCCATAAGACACAAGGGTTGGTACATGAATGTTGTTTATATATATGTACCCGTCCAGCTTCATCCTGCAGGTTGTTCCCCTTCGACCTTTTATATTAGCCACATCTTACCAAATTAGCGTCTTTCCTGCAGCCAGGCTGTTAGCCTTGACACTCTATTCGACTTCATTATCGCCAAGCTATTTTACTTCCGTTCACAGCAACTATTATCTACATCAGTGAGATATCGAACAGGGTTATCTGATCGAAGTCCTACTCGCAACCATGACTGGGTACTCAGTATCATCCACAAAACATGATGAGAAGATTCTCATCTCAGAGCACTGTAAGCCATTGGGAGACAGGATAGGCAATCCGGTATGACATTTTGACGCCCAAGCATACAGATAGCTAACAGGGACCAGGCTCCTCTTGCCATGGGTGGCTTTGCGACGACCCTGTTGTCAGTTTCATTGGCGATGATGGAGTTCCGAGGCGTCTCGCTACAGACCCAATTCATCGGAGACCTGTGTTTTGTTGCCTGTATTGGGTTACTTATCTCTGCCCAATGGTCAATGCTCAAGGGTGATACCTTCTCATACACTGTTCTAACAGCCTTTGGTAAGCAGGCAGCCGTCTCTCCCCTGTGACAGAAAGCAGCAATGCTAACATTGTCAAGCTCTCTTTTATGGGGGCTACGGCGCAACACTACTCCCGTCATGGGGCATTATCGACGCTTACGGAGGAGTCGACACACCTCAATACAATAACGCACTTGGCTTCTTTGTATTGATATGGGCAGTGTTCAATGTCTTCTTTCTCATCGCTTCAATCCAGCTGTAAGTCTGCCCCCACTGGCGTCATACTCTCTTGCTAATTGCACACCAGCAATCTTGTCTACATTTGCATTTTTATTTGCATCGAGTTATGTCTTATATTTGACGCCTCGTCTTACTTTGCTTCCGCGGATGGGAACGCTGCACAAAGCAAAGCGTTAATGCACACTGCTGGAGTGTTTGGCTTCATCGCAGGTCTACTCGGCTTTTACACTGTGGCCTATTACCTTTGCCAAGACGTACTGCCATTCTCTGTTCCAATGGGCGACACTTCTGCTTGGTTCCAAGCTCGGCGAGAGAGAAAGAAACTCATTTCTTCCAGCGCTTGAACAAAGATTGCCCTGGCGGGTATGGGGAAAGTTGATGAGGATGAGCTATGAGAGTTGCGCATATTAGACATAGAGAAATTGATAGAGAAAAGCGTCTGGTAAAGCTACAGAGTTATATAGAATCTTAACTGAAAAGAAACCTTATGATATCGTCCCAGCCTGGCTGTCTACGGTCCATATTTGGTATAAGGTCTCGTGCTTAACGAGGAGTAACGCAATTTTCATCCTTGGGATCGCCGCTCCTCAGCCTCCAGCAATAGCTCTTTCCAACCCCCGACTACTTTTAAACTTTTATAGGGTGGGATTTCTCATCCAATACTTAATAAAACACATTAGCATCACCACTGTGCTCCAGGGCTCTTCTTAATTGTCGGCTCAGAATGGTCTTTCAATCGCGTTCCCATGGCCTTGTTGACAAATTTACACCCTGCGAGTTACTTTGAGACAATTATATTTGCTTCATCAAGATGAGGAGATATTGAAGGATGAAATGTGCAACAGGCAAAGATAGTTCTTAGGAGAAGACTGCAGGGAGTGCACTGAGACTAAAGGGAGAAGGAGAGGCAGTGAATAAGTATTCATGGTGATTTCCATATAGATATTGACATTATGGGTCCTCAAATGAATGCATATTTGGCATCCTATTTCCATTTGATGACCGTTTCAGTCTGGGTGCTCTTGTGTGAGACTCGGACCTGTCGGGTCTACAATACAGCTTCATAAGATGAACAAGACCATCCACTGTTACTTCAAATTGCACCAATCTCAATCGAACAATGCAAGGAGTTTATTTGCCGAATTTAGCAGCAACAGCGTCATACTCACTCTTTGTAAGGGGTGTCACGGAACCATGCTTCAGGCCCTTAGGAAAGCTGGGAAAGTTTGACTTCTCCCATTCCGGAGAGAGAATATTGGAAGTCTGGAAGGGGATATACTGAGTGTAATCATCGAGAAGAAGATGGTATAGCCCAGGTGTGCGAAGATCAGCAAATGCACCTGGGCCTTCAAGGGGCGATTCAGGTCGGACGTAGCCTGGAACGCGTGTCCAGGTTCCGAAAAGACCGGTCGTTGTGGTCTCCTGATACACTTTGTTGATGGTTTCGTTCTTGAGGAAGCGAGCGAAATGCCCCGGTTTGCCTAGGGACAGAAACTCTTGATCGATGAGGCCAGTGTCCTCGGGGGCATGGTAATCCTTCGGCGCGCTGAAAGCCTTGAAGTCTTTGGTTGTGGCATAGCGAATACGATCAAGAGTCGCGGTGCCTTTATGCTCCGTGTCAGAACTTGCATAGTGCCTGGCTGCCCAGAAGACGTAGTACTGCTTTGTAGGATCATCCCAGACTACAGAAGGCGCCCAAGCCATGCCAGCTGTGTCCGACTCAACACTTTTCGGAATTAGTGAGATTTCGCATGTGAACGAAGCATCTTATATCTTACATTCTAAGTGAGGGCTTGGACCAATTGATGAGGTCTTTCGAAGACCAAACAACAAGACCCCGGCTTCCGTTGCGTGTCGCAAGATCCCATGAGAAGCCTGGGGCATTAATGTCCAGATCTTTGGCATAGCCTGTTAGCAATGTACCCATTGGCAATTTATCAGTAACCTACCAGTGGCGATAGTAAAGTACTCGGATCGGGCAGTATTGGTCGTGAGAAAAATGTCTCTGACGCCTTTAGTTCCAACATTTGAGGTCAAGACAGGCTTTCCTCCGTTGAGGAAGTTAAAGCTCGAAGCCGAGTTACCGTCTGACAGATGCCATTGAACTTGAGGGTTCGGGTCACTAAAGGTAGAGATGAGATAGCCGACATATTTATTGTTCGCGGATCTTGGGATATCGGCAGGAAGGGCTTCAATAAAAGAGGCTGAGAGAGCCGTTGCGAGGAGTGTAACGACACGCATACTGGAACTGTCTTGAGATGGAGATGAGTAGGGTCACGGTCTAATATGCACGACCAGTTGAAGTCAGAACAGGTCTCGTATCTTGCTGTCCGTAATATCAGCATACAAGTAACTGCCTTTATATAATTTGTTCATCCGTAGCAGGGACTAGCCTCCGCATCTCAAAGGCCCCCTGCACGAGTCCTGATGGCTGTGATGAATCAGATAACCTCATGCAAATCACCCGCGTATTCAATCGATCCGTGCAAATCATATTTTACTCTCGAATTATTCCTCGGGTGGCAGACGGGAAACCATTATTTCCAGTGTCGATCTTTCGGTCCCGGTTCAGAATACCCATGTAGTTGTTGAAGCGCTCCAGTAAACAGGTGGCGCATAAATGAATGAGGGGTGAAGATGCGACATTCAATAAGCTTAAAACTAAATGGAGAAACACTGCAAGCCGGGGAGGTTCGATGATTACGACGAGTTAGGCAGCTTCCACTTGATGTATTGGCGCTCGAGTCGGGCGACAGGATGAGGCTGTGATGATCGATGCCAAATAGTGAGATCACCATTGCTCAACCTCGGCCGCAAGAAACTTACAAATATTAGCGAACAAGCTAGACAAATCGATCTCAAATCGAAGATCTTATTCAGAACACCCCGATATTAAATATTACAACATCGCTACGTTCCGTAGACTCGGAGCATATCGCAGTTCTTTGAAGGACATCAGAGGTTATGAGCTTCAAAGGGACGAATAGCAGGCTGTCAGTAACAAGAACAACTAGATAAGGAAAGCATAGCCTCTCTACCATGATTGAATTTTGATCCTAGAGACACATTGTAATTGGTCAGGCAACTCACACAACGAGCTTGCTGTTGAAATCGCCAGGCTACCTTAGGGAAGTAGGAAATTTGAGATCTCGATCCCAAGTGACGGGAATGTTTAGGGAGGTTTAGGATAATTTAAATGAACTCGGACGCTCTTTGAGCACCTTCACTAATTCTTGCACCCAGCTCAAAGGTCTGGAGTCTTCTTACACTCCGAGGTCAGGCATTGAAGGAGCAGGTAGTCGGGATTTGGTGATACAATCGCGCGATGGAGTCACGTCTGGGACTCGGTTATCGGTGCAGATAAAAACAACTTCTTTCTCGCAGCAATGCATCGGGGATATGTCATTATATAACATAACATTTAAAAACTACTCTATATATTTTTAAGTTATTTCTTGTGCCTTATTATCGTCTTCACTTCTATTATCATCATCGACGGTTGTCGGTCGGGTCGGTCGATTGCAAAATACAGTGTATTACAGTGCTCACTGCACTCATTCCCATTTTGGGCAAAGCTTGGATTGCGTGCTTGACGGCGATGGGGGATGAAGAAGACGACGAGCAGCAGTCAGTCGATTCTCCTCCTTCATCTCATTATTCACTCTTCGCACGTCTTCGTCTTGAATGCGGGTCTCATTTGATCAAATCGGTTCATTCTATGCTAATATCGAAGTACTTGCTATACTGAGACCATCCTCCATTCCACCTCCACTCTTGCTATCATCTACCATCGAAAACAATCTGGATAATCCGAATTAAAGGAGCGCTTCCAATACTTGAGGTGCTAATTACACAAAGGTCATTTCTCATCAAATCGTGGCTATCAAAGCCTGTCCCGCACCAACTACTCCTTCAGCAGGCGCCCATAAGCTGAGTAGTAGTGACAACCTGGTACATGGCTTCGCCGTCCCGTCTTCTCGTCAAAGATATGACATCCCTTTTTTGCTACGTTGGGAGGAGTGTACACTGCAAAGTTACAGGTTAGTTGCTGCGACAAGTGTCGTGGATTGGGGGGATTACCTACAGTGGAGGGACACAGCGAAGTCGCTACCCCTGTTGGATACACGATGCAGTCCTAGTTCATCTGCCATATATGCCACAGAGTTTTCTTTATATGTTCTTTCTCCGATGATCTTCATCGGTTTATCTTCTTCGTCCTCGTTTGGAAATGCGTATCGAGTCTCGGTGAGGTTGCCCTTGAGAATCTTCATCAAGCAGTGGGCGTTGCCGTGGTCGTGGATAGGGGACCCCTTTCCAGGAGACCATACAAGAACAAGCTGTCAAGGGGTCAGTCACGGTGGGAAAGGGTCAAAGTTGACTCTGACATGCTTACCAAGTTACTCTTGCCGTTACCTTCATCGACGAGATTGCGGGTATATCCCCTACTACGATCCCCGAAGGCATAAGGCTTCCACATATTGTCAGAGCCGTCGTATCCTTCCATCAGTTGTTGAAGGAAGTCAACATCAACGTCATCAGAAGTCAATCCCGATGATGGACCAAGGGCATCCTTGAGTCGCACCACGAGTTCGTCGAAACAATTTTGCTGGCAGATACCCACGCTGGGGATTGTGCTGTGGCTGACGCCGAGTGCAGAGGGGTTGGAGAAGATGCCGACGGCCATGCTTGCTATGCTGTTGATGATACTTGGTTGTTGGTGATATTGATGTTCTACCTCTTGAATATATGGTATCTGAGAAGAGGACAACAAAGGCTCTGGAACAAGGGGCGGGGTCAACAATGCATGGCCATACTCTTCCTTATTGCTATCGGTCAAATCCGGTATTGACAAGCCGGCAGATAGTGTTACCGACATCTTGCTGTGGGTCGTGGATTGCAACCGACATCATATCTTGGGGCGGCACAGACAGGTTCAGTCGGCGAACGACACAGCAGCACTGATCCTGTGAACCGATTTGAAGGTTCTGGTTGGACGTAACGACGCTAACGAACCCCCAAGATTCGAACAATGTACCTGAGGTACCTTGCGGTATACGAGTTAGGTACCCCTTTGTCTGTATCACAAAGAGGTCACTTGATACGAGTCTGAAGATGCGACCAGGAAAATCACAATTGGACGGATGCGAAGGTAGAGAGGGGCTTCATCGATAAGCCAGTTTATGTGCAAGCTAATACTTCTTCTTTTTTTCTCGGGGACTCAAATTCGCAATATTGCGACACCCGCTATCGCCGACCTGAGCCACATGTGGACCCATTTAGCGACTTGGGTATTCTTCTGGGCGGGATTAGCGGTTCTCGGTGACTAGGAGCAAATCCATCATCGCCACGGCTGTAACGGCTTTGTCAACTTTGAAAAAGCAAGAAAAAACAGTCTTTCGTCTCAGCTTATTCCTATATTAAAACTTAATTCTTTATAATAAAAAACATTAGATTGTAATCTGCATCATATCAAGTTCTCAAATTTGTGCCACATTAGCGACTCCAGGCGACCTACCCTCCGTTCTGATTGGCCAGTAAACCGGAAACTTTAGCTTCGGGTCGTCAAATTCAGCGATCAGCAGCTCACGTAACATCAGACACCCTTGAATCCTCGAGAGCAGGCAATATGTCTGACTGTACCACTTCAACTTCGAACGGCGCGGTATGTAGCGGCTCTACACCTAAGCCTTGCGAGTCGACTCTGCCGTGTAAGGAGAATACTGGCTGGAGGAGACTTGTACGCAATTTCACACCATCGTAAGTCATGTACTCATTTTGACAAGGGTTGACCACTAACATCATCAACAGATGGTTCGCCGTTTGTATGGGTACAGGCATCGTTGCCATATTGCTTCATCACTTTCCGTACCAGGCAATATGGCTTCGGTATATTTCTTACATTTTCTTCGCGCTTAATGTTGTTCTGTTTATTGTCTTCCTTGGTATAAGCATTGCGCGATATGCGTTGTATCCAGAGATTTGGTCGGCGATGCTTGCCCATGCTGGCCAGAGTTTATTCTTAGGATGCATGCCTATGGCCTTTGCAAGTGAGCAACACATTCCCTAGGCTAAGTGAGTGCTGACGTTTTGGTAGCTATCATCAACATGATGGTGTTCTGCTTACAGCCTTGGGGAGAATGGGTAATCTACCTGGCGTGGGCATTCTGGTGGGTTGATGTTTGGCTCTCCATTGCCACTTGCATCACGATGCCCTTCATCGTCATGCACCGCCATCGTCCTGGCCTCGAAAACATAACTGCTGCACTCCTGTTACCCATTGTACCAGCAGTGGTTGCGGCTGCTACTGGAGGAATCGTCGCAGAGGCTCTTCCCAATCATGACCATGCGCTTACAACTCTGGTGGCCTCATATGTTCTCTGGGGCATTGGCGAGTTGTTCTCGGCCTGTGTTTTAGCTTTATATTTCCATCGGCTGACCATTCACTCACTTCCTCCGAAGGAGGTGATAACCTCATCTTTTCTCCCGATAGGACCGCTTGGTCAGGGAGCTTTCGGTATCCAACAACTTGGCAAAGTCGCTATGCAAGTACTTCCCAAGACCAATGCTTTCGGCGAAGTTGCGGTTCGAGCTGGTGAGATGCTCTATGTTCTTGGGGTCTTCCTCGCCCTCATTATGTATGGTTTTGCTCTGGTCTGGCTCGCCTTTGCCCTCATCAGCATTGCTACAAAGCCCCCTTCGTTCAGTATTGGTTTTTGGGGATTTACTTTCCCACTCGGCGTATTGGCAACCTGCTCAAAATCATTAGCAGAAAACCTTGACAGTGAATATTTCAAGGTTTCCACGGCGGTAAGTGAATTGAACATGTTCTACTTATCAGTTGCTAACTTGACGGTAGATGATATCCCTCTCTGTGATATTGCTGTGGACTGTGGTTGCGACTCGAACCGCCAAGCTTGCTATCACGGGTGAAATGTTTCACGCACCCTGCCTGAAGGATCTTCGAGACAAATCTCAAGCTGCGGGTTCAGACAGAAGAGTCTAGGTGACCTTTATCTGTCTTGCATCCAACAACTTGACTGTGTACCATACATTGATAAACGGGGGGTGCCTTTCATATTGGATAGACACCAAAAAGTAATGTTCAGCATCGTTAAGGGGAGTTTACGAATTGCTTACCCGGCATTCCGATATCATTATATATAGCACAAATAGTATTGCCCCATATTAGTTATTCTTTCCCCTCCTTTTGACAATTCGCTTCTATGCTGAAGGCATTTACTTCGAGTCCTGGCCGTTCCGCTTCAGACTGTGTAAGCTGCCATCTAATCGCAGCCCCTCCATTGGTGATGCGTGACGATAGCGCAAAGCTCCACTAAAATTCTCGATTCCAGAGGGCGGGGCAACATTGCTTTTCCCCAGATGTCTCTTCAATTATTTGTGTGTGTTTGCTCTTCCCAAAATATTCCCATCTCAGATTCCAAGGGATAGTCGGGCAGTTGGCAGATTATCACAATGGATTGGGCAAATTACTCATCGCCTTCGCGACTCGACTCCTTTGTCGATGGTGAGTCTTGTCGCTATCCCATCGTCGCAAACCTTGCCGCTGACTCTTACAGATCTGGTTGATGTCTGGCATCTTCACCGAACTCCCATTCTCCTAACCCTCTGTGTTATTCTTGTCGCGATTCGAACATACTTCCACATCAATGGTCAAAAGACGGAAATAGTTGCGTTCAAGAAGGTTTACGAAGAGCCTGCCAAGCCCAAGGCTGTCGTCGAAGAAAAGACCCCCACCATCGAGCCAGTCGAAGAGAAAAAGAATGTCAAGTCTCAGGGTCCTCGAAGGATCAAGGGTGGAATAGCGAGGAAACCATCGAAGAACAAGGAAGAAGAGAAGGATCTCACTCGACCTGTCGCGCCTCTGGTCTTTTTCTCCTCCATTACAACCAAGACAGCAAAGATTGCAGAGGCGTTCATCGAGGATTTCTGTGGAAAGTTGGATGAGTTATCCAAGCTGTCCGGTCGCCAATTTCTCAAGCCTGAACTTCGAGACCTCACTGAGATCGATTTCGATGATTATTTCCTTGCGCCGTACAAAGGCCACGGTGACGCCGATCTTTTCTACCTCTTCTTGATTCCCAGCTACAACATCGATACCATCAACGACACTTTCCTCGAGCACCTCCAAGAAACCCATCATGACTTCCGAGTAGATACCGCTCCTCTGTCAGGTATTCTAGGTTACTCAGTATTCGGTTTTGGCGACAGTGAAAACTGGCCTACGGAGGCAGACGGTTTCTGTTTTCAGGCTATGGAAGTCGATAAGTGGATGGCTAAGCTCACTGCTAGAAAGAGGGCGTACCCGGTTGGAATGGGCGACATGAAAAGCGATCATGAAGAACGCCTACAAGAATGGAGTAAGGGTGTTCAAGAGGTCATTGAGCACGTCGCACGTACTGGAAACCTGGGCGAAGGAGTTCCCGGCAGCGGAGCAGCCGAGGAAAGCGATGTTGAAGATATCACAGAGGACGAAGATGATGGTGAAGTTGTTTTTGATGATGAAGAACCCAAGAAGAAGTCGAAGAGTGGAAGAGATCTGGATGATGTTGAGGACCTTGGACGCATGATCAAAAAGGACGACGGTTCGACGACTCAAAAAGCACCCCTCGCTGTTGACTTCACCACTTACGGTTCCTCTACAAAGAAAGCAGTCCCTCAAGGTCCCAAGGAAATGGTCGCAAAGGAATCACCAACATACAAAGCTCTCACCAAACAAGGTTATGCAATCGTGGGGTCTCATTCCGGAGTCAAGACATGCCGGTGGACAAAATCGGCTCTACGTGGACGAGGCTCATGTTATAAATACTCTTTCTACGGAATCAAGAGCCATCTGTGCATGGAAACAACTCCTTCACTGTCTTGTTCGAACAAATGCGTATTTTGTTGGCGTCACGGCACAAACCCCGTTGGAACAACATGGCGATGGGTCGTTGATCCTCCTGAACTGATCTTTGAAGGCGTCAAGAAGAACCATTATCAGAAGATCAAGATGCTACGCGGTGTGCCTGGTGTGCGAGCGGAGCGATTTGCTGAAGCTATGCAGATCAAGCACTGCGCCTTGTCACTCGTTGGAGAGCCGATCTTCTACCCCTATATCAACGAATTTCTTGGTATGCTACACGCCGAACGTATCTCTTCGTTCCTCGTGTGTAATGCCCAGCACCCTGATCAGTTAGCTGCTCTCAAGGTTGTGACTCAGCTCTACGTATCCATTGATGCAGCTGATAAAGAGTCACTACGGAAGATTGACAGACCTCTCCACCGAGACTTCTGGGAGCGATTCAACCGATGTCTTGATATCCTTCGCGAGAAGCGCTTCCACCATCGTACTGTCTTCCGACTGACACTCGTCAAGGGGTTCAATGTTGAGGAAGAAGCTGAGGGCTACGCAAGACTCGTGGAGCAAGGTCTGCCCTGTTTTGTTGAGGTCAAGGGTGTTACATACTGTGGCACATCGACATCTTCCAATGCGGGATTAAGCATGTCCAATGTCCCCTTCTACTGGGAAGTCTGCGACTTTGTCAAGGCGCTTGAGAAGAGGTTGAAGGAAAAGGGCCTGAAGTACGGCATCGCTGCCGAGCACGCCCACAGCTGCTGTATCTTATTAGCTAGCGAGAGGTTCTACGTCGATGGCAAGTGGCACACTTTGATCGATTATAAGAAATTCTTCGAGTTGCTCGAATCAAGGGGTCCTCCTGATGAAGGTGGCTGGACCCCTGAGGATTATATGGACGCAACTCCAACACCAGAATGGGCGAACTGGGGTAATGGTGGATTTAACCCAGAGGATGAAAGAGTTGATAGGAAGGGACGTAAGATTGAGGCTTGATAGTCCCCAAGTAACGGAAGGGAAAATAAAGATATTTAAACAATTCATGTACCACGTCTCTTGCACTCTTTTGTCTAGCACAAGTCGATGCCCCGAGTGACATCTCTACATCGCATGTTAGTACAAGATCGTTTTGGGCTGTAAACCCACCTGCTTTCATTCGGCAAACAGAATATCATACCGGTCAGCAGATGTCTCCAATCGACCACATATACTGCATATTACGTCACAGACCACAACAAGGCATATATCGAACTTGTCCATCACGAATGGCCTTGGCGCTGCACGTACCTTTGGAAAATTCTGTGGCTTCCTTTCGCCGATACTTGGCATCCTCATGAGTTATTGTGCTGCTGAAATGCAGCCAGCAATTGTTGTTCATAAACCTATTCGTTTCAACGTACATTTGTTTACACAAAGCTCTATGGAAGCTGGAAGAGCGGAACTATGGTACATTGAAGGCCGTCAGGTCTCCATTAGACATTTCTTTGTGAAAGCCTGTTGTTCAGACTTTTCATGGTACAGATTTTGGGGGAAAGGGTGTTAAAATTCAAGAGCATTTCCAACGTCTGGGTATATATGTGCCAGGAGCGGAGAGGAAACTCGGACAGATGACATCCCTCTTTAATCGAGACCAACGTTAGGAATGTCGGAGAGGTTGATGCCTGCGGGAGCGGCGGGCGCTCGGATGTCAAGAGATGAGTCGTATGCGATCATCTCGGCCAAGATGTCTAATATGGGCTGTACAGGTGTCAGAGAAACAATTCAACTTCGAGGTTCATGCTCGCCATCATACCTTGGGAACAGTGCTGTCGTAAATTCGGATCAGGTCACCGGGAGCAGGGTAGACCTTAAGGCCCTTGTAGAAGGCCAAAGCAGACTCGAGAGCCTTAGAAGCTGCAGAACGACAGTCAGCAAGTTATTAGTGAAATCCGGACCAAGGTGATTCGTACGATCTTGGCTGAGCATCTCTCCAGCCATAACCTGCTCGTTGAAGAAAGCTTCCCGCTCCTCAACACCGGTAGGGAACCCCTCCTCCTTGGCCTCCTCCACTCTGATGCGAATGCTCTGACGTTGTTGCTGAGTAGAAGCCTCTGCCTCCTCCTTTGCGACGCGGGCCTGCTTGCGCTCGTTCCTCCTCAAGTTTCGGCGGAACTCGGCCTGGTTTCGACGTTGGTAGTCAAAGTAGATGGCGTAACCTGATCAGAGGGCATCTTCGTTAGCCAATGTGTACCGTAGCATCGCTGGTCCGTGACTGATCGGTTGAATTGTATAACGCAATCTCATAGAGCAGAATGAATGGCGCAGTCTTACCGACGATGGCGGCGGCAGCGGTAGCAACGGATGCCGTCACGAGAGTGGTGGGCTGCACCATTTTGGAGATAGATGATGTAGGTGAGGAGGTTTATAGCTTGGGTCGTAATAAGCAAAAGACCGGATATATTCCCACCGTATCAATCACAATGAGTAAGTCCGGGGCTCGAGATGTTGCTTGGCGACGTCGGAGACCAAGAGACGGAAGATATTATGTCGTCAATGCTCGAGGTCGGGTTTATTCTCTGTTTGAGCGTCGGGAGCGGCAAGCTTTAGTCGTCGCGATAAACCAATTTTTTAGAACCGGAGCAAGCACATGATGTGGCGCTAAGCCTATTTGGGTCCAAAGTTCGAAGCTGGCAGAAGCTGGATCTTCAGAAACGATAGGTAATTGTAAGAGCGATCAAGTAAAGAAACTCATTCTGATAGCTCTTTTGCTCTCTATACAAGCAGTTGTTTCTTCCATGTCTAGTTATCAGAAATCTTATTTGCCATAGAATATTTTGGACAAGCTCTGTCTCATCGATGCTGTCAACGAAACCCACCTCACGTAACCTGCTGAGGCTGGCTTGCTCGGTACGTACCCCACCTCCTGATGCACTGGACTTCCATTCCGAAGGTAGCTGCTTCACTGAAGAGCTGACGATTACACGTACAGCTCATGGAATAGACCACCTGTCGGCTGGCGCCAAAAGCCAGACAAGCATTTTAGATCTCACTTGAGACACCACTCACGTTATCCTCCTACATTGCTATTTCAGCTTGATACCATCTTTTACTGATCAAGCTCGAAGCTTCCGAGTCGCCATTGTACTTACAACATTTGCCCAAGATGGAGGATCGCAATAAGATATCCCTCCGCAGCGGCAAGAGAAAGAAGAGGCCAACTATTAGTGCTCCTCGCCAGATCTCAGGTCCGATTGCTCAAGATGATTCAAACAGACCGCCCCCTCCAGGCGACCCTGGCCAAGCTCGTCCTCGTCCGCGTCCTCCCCCGATGGCTGGTGGAAAGGTGAGTCTTGTTGAGAAGCCGTCTCCGGTGTCGCTATGCTCACATCGTCTAATAGACTTCGGATCTTGTGAAACGACGATACTCGA